TTACACAATTCTCTTATGCCTCATTTGTCAGGCGAATTCATATAAAATTTATTACTCGCTGAAGATTAAAAAGAGCTTAAGAAATAAGAAATATGGTGAGATTAAGTCTACCTCCTTTTATTATGTACGCATGCTACAACTACTTCTTTCAAATTACAAGTGCATAATAAACTATCGTCGAGTAAATATCAACTAATGAGGTTGAAGCGATTTGCAGGGACGAAAAGTAGGTTTTGAAATTTATTCTTTCGAAATGAGCTTTGACGTATTTTTTAAAGTGAATTATGGGTAGATATATAAATTCATCAACGGCATCATTTCTTTGAGCGAGGAATAAATGATGATCTATTAAGGACACTCAATTCATGTACTCTAGCTGATTGGGGTTTAGAAAAGCGCGCTACGCGTATGATTTATCTCGGAACTTTTCTGCTGGCTATTTGTATTATTAACAACCCGAAGTCGAACGGTGAAGGAAATTGAGAGAAAAATTTATCTGCCTTCCTTTTTTCGCCGCAGAAAAACGAGAAAATATCGTCGAGAAAGTCATACAGCCCGTACATCTGGCTTATTTACTATTTAAATCCTCGGGCGTAATTAACTTGGACGGCATTTCGTGGTAGACAAATCGCAAAGTTCTCCTTCGGCAAAAGTCATTGATTTTTTATTTCGTTTACTCCACTTGCCCGTGTCGGGTGCGTATCGATTTCAATATAGCGAATAAATGAAAAGTCAAAGTGACGAGTGTTCACCTCCTTCTTTTCTCTAGTCGACACAATTCATCCTCTAAATGGCGTGTAGCCTCGCACAGCACGCTGCTGCAGCAGCGCAGAAGCTCGAGTTCAATCGGAATTGGATTAGGTGCCAAATTTGGAGAGCTTCCAAAAAGATGGAAAGCGCACATCGAGCATATTAGCTGCCGCAGTCGGGTTCTCTATTACGTGCGAAAGCCGAAATCTCGCCTTGGCCCTGTCGTCGGGCGGGCTATTAGATCATTATTGACACTTCGGGTCAGTGTTGGACACGCCATAAACATCGATTGCTCGGAAGCTTGCAAGCCTCATTAAGCACAGACGCTCCGTATATTTTCATAATAAACGATCTCTCGCCACTAACAAGAGGCCGATTGTTTACAAATGGAAATAAGATACCCAGTCGATTAATTTATCTGCCTTTAGCTCGGGCGAATTTCCGCGTTTCATCTTTATTTGTGCGCGCGCGCGAGCACAAAAATGCTCTCGAGGAACGTTTTGCGCATAAAGAATATGCAGTGCAGGCCCGATGCAAGAGTTTACCCACGTATGTCTACAAGTTTGTAAACGAAAATAAATGCGTATAATAACGATGACAGGCGTGTGCACGTGGACACGATAATTCACCGAAGAATATACAACTTGCACTGCGCAGCAGAAACTCTACGCTCTCACTATGCTCTTGAAAAGTCGTCGTTTATATTGTTTTCTCGTATATGCACTCGAAAGAGAGAAAGAGAGAAAGAGAGAGAGAGAGAAATGAGACGACGTTAGAAAGAGAGGGAGAAAGAAAGAGAGAAGAGATGCACACAAACACTGGCACACACGCGCGCTACAATGGGACAAAAATAAGAATCAAGTTCGCCATCGGCACATTACCATCGCGCGAGGGACAAGATATGCGTGGCTGCTATTTTCGTGTACATGCGTCAGTGATCAGAGCCGGCACACAAGCTGCTTCTCGCTTACTATCGTACGCTACTACGGTAGCGATCATCGAGCGTGTGCGCGCGCGAATTTTCGAAAGTTTGCGGCCTCCTCAGCTGATCGGAAACGATGGAAAAAAAACACCGTAAAAGGTCGGGCACAGGCAAAAAAGGTGTATTTAGATCGATGCATAAACACACGTACTGTATAGCTAACAAGCTCGCGTGCCAACGCGATAAATGAACGAGAGACGTGGATCTATGTAATCAAAAGGTATATACGATGGTCTGCTTTCACGTAACTACGGGCTCTCTCGAGTGCCGCGACCTTTTCTCTACATTCAGTCCGCGATGCGATGTTTTCCATTACTTACACGAGCCACGAATGTCTGTATATAGAAAATAAGGCGTATAGGTACGCAAGGGTGTGCATATATATTCTCCATCCACACCTGGGTACGTAAGATGCGCCGATGTACGCACGAGTGCGAATTCACTCGGTGAACTTAATCAGTCTCGCGCATACGCGAAAGTACACTCGCAGGATCTCTCTCTCTCAAGACTGACTTGGTTTTTTTCACACCCCGCGACTTCTTTGAGCTCTTGCAAGCTCGCACACTTGCCCTACATCTTTTTTCTTCTTCTTTGCCTTTTTTTTTTCTTCGCTCGTTTCATAACTCGGAGCCTAGCTTTTTAAAAAACTATTTTATATTTATTTTTCGCCTTTTGAGAAAAAAGCTGCTCTTTGCCACGCGCTTGTTTACTCTCTCTCTCTTTCTCTCTCTCCCGGTATTTAATATAACTGCCAAGCTCGAGCTCGTGTACGTCCGAGCGCACGTTTACTTTGCTCTCGTAAATTCGTAAGTCAAAGAAGCGCCAGCTTGATTAATGCCACGTGCGCGCATCTCTCTCTCTCGACCCTCTAGGCAGATCGACCGAGTGTCCGTGTTACATCTAGCGCAGCCACAGAACGCTTATACTCGTGATTTCGCTGGGCCGCAAAATTACTGATCAATCGCTGGGAAATCGGCTACCGCTCGCTGTGCGCCCGATCGCTCCGTGTACAAGGGTAGTCGAATGTGCGCCAGTTAGTTTGGTTTATCACCCGCTGCGTTTACACTCCTGGCCTCAGCGAATGACTCCGCGCGAGTGTAATACACGCAAGGGTTTCTGTATACACAAGGATGGAAGGGCACACAAGGGCTGCGGGTGGCGCTGGCCAATAAAACCAAACAATTCGAGAACGAAAGATAGTGAAAATATTACGTGTTGTAAGTAGCTATGTAAACTATAGCGTACGCTAGTATACTATTTAGCTATATATATACACGTAACGTACTCGTGTCTGTATACGGTCTTTGCGCGCGTATATATACATAGACGCGCAAGCGTCCAGCCACCGTAAGCTCGCTGCCTGCTGCTCGCTCGATCGATAGGCGCTGGTATAGTGATCGTGCAATGCTGTGCACGACGCGTACACGTACACATTTATGTATATATACCAGACCCGCATATACACACGTACGAGTGTGTATCGCAGCTCTATACATTATACGAGTTTCATTCTACTTTAGCGCGCGGACTCTTCTGTCTCTTTCGAGCGCACGTTTTTTGTAGCATTTTTTGCCCCTCTCTCTCTCTCTCACTCTTTCTCTTATATGCTCGCACCATCACGTGAAAGGTTATTATTACGGGCTGCGGTGCGCTTCCAGTTTTACCTCTTGGCTTATTTTTATAAAAAGATTGCCCTGTGCACACACATACACACACACGCACACGTACACCAACATACACATATACGACATATACTCGCAACATATACAATATACTTTATACACCAAGGAAGAGTAAAATAGACACTGCTGGTTTCAGGGCTTCGTCGAGGCGCGCGTTGTGCATTTACTTTTTGAATTTTCACGAATATATTTTTTTTTTATGACACTGTGTCAGGATAGATCAGAGTATTTATTTAAGATATAAGCCCATAAACTGTTTCATCGAATCCTCATTCAATCCTCTAACGTTTTATGTCTTCGCGTTTTAACGATTTCGGTTACAAGCCATTAACTTCAGGATTAATGAACTCGGCAGAAAGCGATTCATCCTTATTATGCTCGAAAGCTCCCAAATGTATCGATTCTCTGCAGTTGCACATCTTATTTCGCTCTTCTGATGCCTCAGCGTTTAATTTCACGAGAAGCTCGAATATCAATTTGCTCACGCATTGATTTATTCCGCGTTCCGTTAAATGATTATTTTCACCCTCGCTGAAAATTACCTCCACGTATTATCGGGAAAAGCGTAACAAAAAATTTATGTACCGTAAATTTTAGTGGCCCTAAAGCAACTCGTGTCACTTCGAACATTGTATACCACTGGGGTTAATGTAACCATGACGTCACGTTGTTTTGTTATGGTTTTGTAATGCAAATATAGGTCGCTGACTCGTGAACTATAGTCTAATAACTTACACGATATTACGTGTGTGCATTATAAATGCAACTGCTCCGCTCCGCAGTCGTCCATAAGCAAGAGTTCTTTGAACCGTTGCGATTGATTTTACGTTTCCACGTCTTTGTTACATTAAGCTAAGTCTCGGCTCTTCTCACAACACTATTCTTTATTCCGTTAGCGAGCCCTAGAGAGCGTGTCAAAAATTTTGTAAACACGAGAGATTAAGAACTTAATCATGATTATCAATTACACGATTAACGCCCACTACTTCCGTGTAACGCTCGAACTCTTAATCCGAAAAATCCCCTACGCGCGCGCACTTAACATCCAAGTCAACGACGACAGCTAATCTTACATGGTCATAGATATGTATCTATATAAACAAGCAGGTGGCAAATATAAACACGATTCCGATACGGAAACGTGACGACGTGTTTTTCAATTATAGAACTCCGACTCGAGGGTGCAAACGACACTCCGGGGTCGAAAGTAGTCGATCATATTTCATATATACCCTTATCGGCCACGAAGGTGAAAAAGCATCGTGTGCAACGCCATCCGCAATGCATCGCTCAAAAATTCATGTCGTGCGGTGCGGGCCCCGATGGCTGCCTATACTATCGCCGAAGCTTGAATGACACCCACGCACACTTGTTGCGAAGAAGCTCGTTCGCTCGCCTGCGTCACTCGAATACGCGCGACTCTAGGCTACTGCACCCTTTTCAAATGCAGCGAGCTATCACGTACGCAAAGCTCGGCTAGCTCGTATCAAAAGAGCAACGGTCGTTCACGACCAGCCAGCACATCTCGGAGATGAAAAAAAAAAGAGAGAGCAACGTATCGCGCGCTATCAGCGGGTAACACTCACCTGTTCAAAAGCGTCGGCAGTGTCGTTCCGTCACTCCGACAACATGGGCTGCTGCTAACGTCGTTGCAGCAGTGAAGGCCGTACGCAGCTTCGAATCGCGCATGGCACACCACTGCTCTATTGTTGCTGCTTTTGCTGCTGCTGCTGCTGCTGATGCGTGAGTTGAAAGCGCATGTATGCAGCGACGATCTTTCCTTTGTCGAGAAGCGTCTCTGATCTCTTAAAAATCTTTTTACTGCAGCAGCTAACTCGTTCACAGCTCCGCACCGCACACACCTGCTGTCAAGAATCACACATTTTTTTTTCTATTCACCTTTTATTATCTTTCACTACGCAGATTTTATATGCGACAATAACTATGGAAAACTGTATCTCTCGCTCTTTCTATGCGTGCAGCAGTGCTTGAGGAAGCAGAGTTTTTTTTATAGCATCTACAAATTTCAAATGGAAGTCGAAATTTATTTCCTCTCGGTATCTCGAATTAGGTGATTTTTGATTTTTACAACGATATTTATCATCGAGATGGAAAACAAAATAACGCGATTCACTCTAGCATGCGCTTTCTGGGGGAAAACCTCAACTCCTATCAAAATCGATCATAATTTATTCGTTTTTTATAAATAAAAATCTCGAAATGCTGCGCTCGAGGTATGAAGGAAAGTTTGGCTAACTCATGTGCATATGTATTCACGTCGATGAAAACAAAAAAAGGTACGAAGACATGAATGATAAATAAAGCAAGGTCAGCAGCCGCCCCCAAATATCCTTTTTGTATGTGCGAGTTGAACGGGTAAAAGACGGAAAGGAAGAGAGAGAGAGAAAGAGAGAGAAAGAGAGAATGTGTATGTGCGTGTGTGAGGTTGAGTAAAAGAGAGAGAGAGAGAGGAAAAACGCGCGCACTCGCACGGATAGCTATATGACCTAGAAAAGCTTGGTGGTGCTCTGGTTGCTGGTACTGCTACTACAAGCAGCCCCAGGGAACGTAGGAAATCCCTTGATCATCGTGTACTCCTGCATTGAATTTTTCATTTTGACACACGAAGAAAGAGCGAGAGATGGGTGGCAGATGTCGATGAAGGAATGTAAAATAAAATCGGGAGATGAAAAAGCACACTGCACTACTAACACCCGTTTGATTTTATCGCCGTTTAATTATCGTAGCCCGCCGTCCTTGTATCGAGCCTATCCTAGCTTCAAGAAGTTCTTCGAGAAAAAAAATTACAGCCAGTGTAACGTTGCTCGGGAGAAAAAAGAAAAAGTGTGAGAGAGACGGGCAGACAGACAGAGAGAGAAAGAAAGTAGTGAGCTAAAGACACTACGTATACTGACACACAAGTGGGTTCGCTGATAAAGACGAGCGTTTGGGAGAGAAAGCTCGAGACGCGCTTTTTTGTGTATATCTTATGCGCACGGGCCGGTGCTGCTACCGCTACTGTCGTGTTCAATGACTACTGCCAGAGCTTCTGGCTTCTGCTGCTGCTCAGGCAACGACGCTTTTTCGCTTTCTCTCTGTCTCTCTCTTGCTCGACTCTTGGAATCGGGCCAGCCATGCGCCGCTCGACTCTCGCGCCGACTCACACGCGCCGCGCGTGCTTTTCTCTCTCTCACTCTCGCTCGCTCTCTATCTCTCGCTCGCGCGCGCACGACTCGAGCTTTTCTCTCTGTATATATATCTATGTGCATCAGAGAGAGGGAGAGAGAGAGAGAGAGAAAGAGCTTGGACGCTTTCGAGCCGCACCTCCTCCTTTACAACGAGCGCGTGTACATACACTCGTATGCACACTCTACACACCTGCGTGTAGGTGGGCAGTCGCGAAAGATATGTACGTCGACCGTGTCGAGGATGTCGTCTAAAATTGTAATTACAAAGAGCAGTCGTTCAAGTTGATGTTGAGTCCTTTTAATTTCACTCATTTTTGCTTTGCCTGTTTGCGTATAGAGTGGCTGTCAAGGATATGGACACTGATTGATAATTAATTACTATGAAGCTGCTATGAATGCTTTGTTGAAATAATCAACAATTCTTTTTTACGGTTTCAAAAATAAATTAGCACGCGATCTAATTTAAATTTCATCATTAGTTTGTAAGGATTCAGAAATGTAAATTTTTTAATAAAATTTTAGCCTTTCGTACTAAATATTAAAATGCAGATCACTTTGATAATATTTTGGTATTTCACGCAAAGTTTATTATTTTCTTAAATGCATACGGAAAAGCATATGTCTCTTCTCCAAATAAACAATTATTTCGTCTGTTATTTCCGGGACTCAAAATATTTACGATTATTAATGATTTCTATTCGTTATAAAGAAACATTGAATGAAGAAATGTATACTATGTTGGTGTATCTTACTTTTTGTTATAAATAGGGTGTGTGTGGATATTAAATCTTAAAAATGGTGAATCGTGCGAATTAACTTCGATTTATGGTCGATTAAAGTAACTAAGAATCCGGAAAAACCTTATTTTTGATTTTTTGGTTTTATGCTTATCAATTTTTTTTATTTTGAGCGCTGTTTGGTTCTTCTTGATGTTCAAAATGTTTCATGGGAGAAAGTAAGGGGTATTATTTTATCGAAGAAAAGGAATTTAGTTTTTATTTACGATCACGTAATATTTACGAAGGAAACTAAGTTCTTTCAACTTCAAAGCGTCATGAAACTCTCTTCCTCGCCAGAAATATTAAAAAACAATGTATGCACAACTATTGCACAAGGATGATCCATGATGACCAACCTGCATGAGGCCAACCTGCATGAACCACTCACTTGTTGCATATTATACTATATTCAATTGGTATTTGAAATTTCAGCCATTTTAAATCTGTATGTAATTCTCGTAAATTTTACTTAAATCCTTCATGTGAAATTCATATGAATTTCATTTAGGTCTTTCAGTAGGGTTACGTTCACCTGGTTTGACTTAGTTTTTTTGGATTTCTGATTCATTGTTATTAAAAAAGAGCAGCTAGGCTTTAATTTACGATTGATAACTTTATAATTTTTTGATTACGTTTAAAGTTACGTACTGAGAGAAATATTTTTAGGAATTTTTCACTTTTCGTATATTTCGTTGATGAGATATAGTTTTTCAGAATAATCGTACAAAAATTGTGAAAACTGGGGCAATTGAGCATTGAGCCATTTCGGCGAATGAGCAACACAAATTAGAAGTAATTTGATGTTTATATGCAAAGATTTTTGAAAATTTGTCGTTCTAATGTTTATGTAACAGTAAAAGAAAAATTAACTGACTCCTATAATCATCCACATATTATACCTTGTTACATACTTTTCAATTATAATTTCAATATGGGGATGCAATTCAATGTGTTTAATGGACTAAAGACGCCCTAGCGTCATAAAAAAACGTTGAACAACAATCTAAGTAATATTGTTTTTATATAAAGTAGAGGATAATTCGTCTTATTGGAAAAGAAATATTTATTAATAAACTCAAAAGTAAAGAGAAAGTACTTTTCCACTCTAGGGCGACGAAATATAGAAACCCCTCGAAGTCTCACAAAATAAGCAGGAAAAATGAATGAAAATACTGTGTCAACGTATTTTTCGAGAGGTGACCCAATGGTGACCTTGGTTTTGACCTTGAATATAACCTCAAAGATACAGCAAAGAAATAATTTATTTTATGAACAATAACTCTCATTTTTTGCAGATGTGAACAATAAATAATTTTATGTTCAAACATGACTTGCTTTTTTTTTCAAGTCATTTCGGAGGTGCAATAGTAACAAATCAAACCTCAATTTCAATTAAAATTTTTTTTTCCTTATTAGAACGAAATCACCTTTGCTTATTAGTCCCAAAACAACTCAAAATTTGCCCCGAGAAAAACCGAGAATTTCACCAATTGCAAACCATCCAATTTCATTCAATTTAAGGATCTATTCGGTGTTTTTTGTGAGAACTCGCTATTGATTATCAGGAGTTTTTTTTTTGAAGAACTTAGTTTTTAAAGGATTCAAAATTCTTCAAAGGAATCGTTGCCAAGTTAGAATTTTTAATTATTTCAAATATTGTACGAATAATGTATAAGCATATAAATCCGTATTTTAATTGTAAACAATATGATCATGAACGATTTCGACATCGTTCCTCGGACACTAATTGTGTTTATAGAAAAAATAAGTTGGTTTGATTGTTGTCTTTGGCTATGAAACAGATCATAAACACCAAAAGATAAACTTTGCTCAATTGATATTCGTAACACTAAATAAAATCCATCGTTTAATTCAGGCACCAAAATGGATAAAAGTGAGAAGAAATCCGAGGAATTTGTTTCACAAGATAACTCATGTGAACACGAGGCATTTAAGATAACACACCGAAACACAATTCATAATGAAAAAAAGGTTTACGCATGTGATAAGTGCGAAAATAAATTTGAGTTCCGAAGTCATTTGAGCAGACACCAAATATCAGTTCACAAAGGCTGCAAAGATTTTGCATGTAATAGATGTGAGAAGAAATTTGTGAAAAAGTCGAGTTTGTTTACACATCAAAAATTGGTACACAAAAATCCTGAAGGTTTCACTTGCCAAAAGTGCGAGAAAAAATTTGAAAATAAATCGACTTTACTTAAGCACAATAAAATATTTCACGAAGTTTTTAAAGATTACTTATGTGAAATGTGTGCGAAAAGATTCGGAAATAAACAGAGTTTGCTCACGCACATAAAGACCGTCCATGAGGGTTGCCAAAATTTCCCATGTGACGAGTGCGGAGTAAAATTTAGAAAAAAATCTTATTTGCTCTTCCACCTGAAGACAGTCCACGGAGGTCGAAAAAATTTCGCATGTGATAATTGCGAAAAGAAATTCGTACGAAAAGCGACTTTGCTTTGGCACCAAAAAACAGTCCACGAAGGTTGCAAGGATTTTGCTTGCAACAAGTGCGAAAAAAAATTTGGATATAAAGGGCATCTGCTCATTCACCAAAGGACAGTACACGAAGGTCGGAAAGATTTCACATGCGACGAATGTAAGAAAAAATTTGGACGAAAATGGACTTTACTTTTGCACCAAAAACTAGTGCATAAAGGTCATAAAGATTTTGCATGTGACAGGTGCGAGAAAAAATTTGCATCTAAACAGTATTTGCTTCTCCATCAAAAGACAGTACATGAAGGTCAGAAAGATTACGCATGTGACAGGTGTGAGAAGATATTTGGACAAAAATTGAATTGGCTTGTGCACCAAAAGACAGTCCATGACGGTTACAAAGATTACGCATGCAACAATTATGAGAAAAAATTCGGGCAAGCGGGCAATTTAAGAAAACACAAAAAAACAATACTCGAAAGTCGCAAAGATTACGCATGCAACAAGTGCGAAAAGGTATTTGAACAAAAAAGGAATTTGTTTAGGCACCAAATGACAGTACACGAAAGTCGCAAAGATTACGCATGCGATAATTGTGAGAAGAAATTTGGGGAGTCAAGAAATTTGAAAAGACATCAAAATACTGTTCATGAAGGTCGAAAAAATTTCGCATGTGACAAATGCAAGAAGAAATTTGGACAAAAATCGACTTTGCTTTTGCACCAAAAAATAGTACACGAAGGTCATAAAGATTTTGCATGTGACAGGTGCGAGAAAAAATTTGGACAAAAAGTGCATTTGTTCAAACACCAAATAACAGTTCATAAAGGTTGCAATGATTATGAATGACACAGTTGCGAGAAGAAACATGATTGATTGTAAATATATGTATTAATTCTTATAAATTTGCTTTTTCTGAAATTTTAATTAAAATTAAGCTGAAAAGATTATATATTACCTGAACCTCGGACATTAAAGTATCATGACACCTTCGTACATGTCGTTGTGGTGTTTTATTTTGTAACCAGATTTCGCGTGCAGCTAATGACTTTTCTCTGTTCATTTTTTTGCCACTTGGTTCCTTTAGCTCTTCATGAGCTCTCGACGACATCCAACTTCGAATTGATCCAATATGAGTTAGTGAACGATTTTGATAAATTTACTAATTATTTCTAACCAGAGAGACAGAAATAATCAAAAATTCGATAAAAATAATTATACACTGAAAAAAATCTTAGAGGTAAGTCCAACAAAAGCGGACAGCTGGATCAGAAAAAGATATTTTGCTATGACAGCAAAATTATTGGGATATATTTCAATGTTAAATTTTTTGCAATGGCAGCAAAATATCTTTTTCTGGTCCAGCTGTCCATTTTTGTTGAAATTGCTTCTAAGACTTTTTTCAGTGCAAGTTTTTACCAAAAAATACTAAAGTAAAAACCATAATTACTTAATTAAAACCAATCCAATTGATTGGTTTAATAAACAACCCCTTTACCCCCTAATTTACCCCATCCCTTATACCTCCATTACTCTACTATTCCACAAACAATCACTTCGGGAGTAAACGCGGAGTTTTACGTATCCATTTGGCTTTCGTATAAAGAGTCGTGAAAAAATTAAAAATAAAACATTTTAAAATTATTGTTATCCTATAAAACCAGTTGCTGATCATTCTAGAAACTAAAAGGGAGCTTTTTATAAGAAATCGATTTTTTGAAAATCCTAGAGTTGTGTTACTCCTCAAAATTAACCCATTAATTACCCAATAATCACTTGAAAATGACTCCATAAATACCGTTGTTTATTGGCCCCATTAAAAACTTTAAAAGAACTCTGAACAACCTAAACAACCTGAAAGCAGACCCATAAATAACAGTTCTTCAGTCAAATAAAATTTGTCCCTTTTATATAGAACTACGTAGAAATTTTTAAACATTTTATCCTTTAAATGTAACATTTTTAATAGGAACTTTTTTGTCAATATTTGGACATTAGTTTTGATTACATATTGGACAAATACCTCGAATATGCTTACAAACAGTAGGAAAAAACTGAGTGTTTATAAAATGTATTTTGGGATACATTAAATTCAAGTAAAGTCGTGAAAATACACGTATAGACGATTTTTTCGAATTTTTTATGCCTGAGGCTATTTTCTTGACTCTACCTGTATACAATCGAATAAGTACGAGTCAAACTTGAAACTGTATACATTTGCATGCAATTATAAAATATTATAATTTTTTCTTAATAGCCTGTACCTACTCCGCGTTAACGAGTATATTTCATACTTATAGAGCTCATCGATAGTTCTTTCAAGATTGGATGTCGGATGTTACTTAGCAAAAAATTGTATAAATGCATAAAACGTACAAGTGGCACATAAATTATTCATTTGGGGTCTAATTCTCATCGACTTCGCTATATATAGAGTAACGTGCCTGCACTACTTCACCGAAAAGTCTTATCCCGAAAAGTAGTGTGGCCGCGCGAAGTTCCCGATGCTTCTATGCAGTAATTCAAATTATCTATGCAGAAACTTCCAAAAGTCATTTGTAGCAAAAGTCTCAATCTATCAGAAATTGAGATGTCTATCTGTAATTCGATTACTTATGAAGTTTCTTCAAAGGATGAATGATAATGGAGTCGAGAATAATCTGCTTGAAGCACGAAATTTATTCGAAAAAGGTAGATAAAACTCGATCGCGAAGTAAACTGACTTTTTGATGCGAAAGATTTTTTAAAAATATTTTAGACATTTTACGATATTGTTTCGAATCACGATTGTGCTTCTAATACGTGTTCTTGCTGGTTACGATAAAAGCTCGATACAAACAGACAAAAATAAAGTCTCTCTTGGGAGAAAGTGGAAACAGAGATCGTAAACAGATGAAGAAGATCCTGAATAACCCAAGTCGCTTTTTTATATCTACAGAAAGATTAAGAAGATGCGAAAGAACAAGACAAGTAGCCTCGAGCTTACGGCATACGCATCGGTTGAAAAAGCTCGCTGCGTAGCCCGGCCGCAACGAGACCCAAGGCGCAATAAAAGAAAGTTCGACTCGGACCTTATACGAGAGGGTAAGTTAGCGGAAAAATCGGAATCAAAATAAGAATGCCTCGAAGGAAGAAGGACATGCCCGCCTCGTTCGTACGTACGCCGGCGTGAATGTGTCATGAAAAGTAAAAGCTTTATGAAAAAGGAGACCCTCGTGAAAGTAGGATAACTACCGTAGAACCATATAGCCGAGGAAAAATCGAAATCGACTTGCAGAGAGCGAGCCGAGCACTTGGCGTGTACACTTGGCGCAGCAGCGTGTGCGTGTGTGTAAGTGTGTGCACAGGGCCGTTCCGCGCGCGCGATTCCATCTCTCGTCCGTGCGATAATACGTACAATACACACACACACACGTGCTTACACAACTATACAGCTTAGGTATAGTTACTGGCCTATGCGCGATCCGCGCCGCTGAACTTGAATCCAGCAAATTGCCGCTCACGAAACGAGAACACGACGCGGTGCTGCGCGATGATTGCTCGCCCCACGGCTAGGCGTCCTTCGCATCGAAAGCTGCCTCTACTATACTATGAGGTACACATATGCTATATATAGTTACCTGCACTGGCGCACGGACTTTTCTTACCCTATACGCGTATCCATATGGGTATATAGGTTGTACCGATGCGAGTATTTCATCTTATTAGTAGACGTTTAAGCCGAGTTTGGCTTTTACGACGAGTGCACACACGTACGATTCATATACACAGAGCCGCGCGCCGTATAGGTCAGCGCGCCTCGACCGATTCTCCTCTATACGTACGGCCATACATTTTTTACGCGCTTCTTTCTCTCCGGGCTCGATGATTATGGCGAGCTTTGAATTATATACGTGGAGTGGAATACGTATGGGAAACGACCCGCGCCGGACATGATAAACCGAGGGAAAGTTACACGTACAAGTAAATATGTGTTTTTTTCGTGTTCTTTTCTTTATTTTCATTCGGCGTGAGCTTTCGAAAAAAATATCGGAGCTCGAAATCGAAGAGCGCGAGAGGCGAGGTGTTCTTTCGCACAAAGGAAACGCTCACTTTGTCCGCTGACTTATCACGAATCTTTTCAAAGGTGTCACAAATTATTTTCGATCTCGCGCATTGAACTGCCTCGAGCGCTAATACTGACTTGACTTTTTCTCGTTTACCCGTGTTTCAAACTGCTGCTCTGTAGAGCGGAAAATGGGATGTTTGAATGGTAAAACAAAAAGCCACCGCTATTAATTTGTTCTTTTTTCTTTCTCATATTGACGTTTCCAATTTCACGCGTCTAGTTTACAAAAATTTGCTTGACAAATTTGCCTCGACTATTCTGCAAAGCGTCCAAGTAGACTCAATAAAACCAAGTAAAAATTAATCATATACAAAAAATCAGTTTTTTTTTTTTTTTGTATCGTGTTTCGTCTTTTCTACAAAATTTTCATAAAAGAATAGTCTCGTTCTGAATAATAAAAAAAATCGTCTCTCCACGACACGTAGACGTCGTCCGTTCGAAACCTCTGCACGACGTTGGTTTTTGTCCAGGGGGTTCCACGACATTTGTCGGCTTTGAATTGCAGCAGTCCTGCCACGGCTATCATGACGCCGTTGTCGATGCAGAATCGCTCGTCCGTGGCGTAGAGCTTGGCGCCGCGCTCCTCGCACATCACGCCCATCATCTGTTGGAGACGTTCGTTGCAGCCGACTCCGCCGACTATCAGCACTTCCTTCGAGCCCACGTGTGCCATCGCTCGTTCTTAAAAACAAAAAAAAAAGAAATAAAATCGTTGAATCTTCTTCGAGACTACGATCGAATACTCGCGCGACCGAACACGCGCGCTGTCTTTATGAAAAATCGATCGCGCTTTCGAGCACTCGAATATATTCGAGGATGGGTCGGTGTAGGTATAGCGTGCCTCAAATTGACTACCCCGCTCTTATATATCGCCGTTATTACGTATCGCGTACAAGGGTGTGTAATAGCTCGGGAAATAGCTGAGGTTACATGTATTTATAGACAAACGCAATCAGATGCATGAGTTAAAGGGAAAGTGCTCCCGATGGTATCATTTTGTTCTTTGCGAAACCGCGACGGTGCGGTACGTATGTAAGGCAACCCTCCTAATACAATCTCGCGCATGCAAGACCGGTATATACATAAGTGACGTTACGGATATGATATAGCGTATAGGTATCGACTGAGCCATTACCCTAAACTAAAACTCGTAATTTTAGAATTTATGATTTTCTGTCCTCGGACTCTATTTTGTTTATAATATATGTGAACGAGAGGCCTTGGTATCGTTTTATCTGCTGTAATAACGTTCGAGACATACACGCGCGTGTACCGTTGAGTAAATACATCATAATTATTTAGTTCTTTTTTTTTCGATAAACAAAACAATTTTTATTACAACTTATAATCGTTAAGGATGGATGAACATAGCGTGAACCACACAGCATACCGGCAGTGATGGCGACCGAATGCCGAGTAATGTCATTATTAGCGATATTAATGGACGCGAGTGGTGCGAAGCGAGCGAGCGGCGCGCGGAAAAGCTGCTTGGAAGATCTATTTTGGCACGCTGTGAATATGACCGTAAGAATTTCAAGATCAAGTTTACGCAAAAGAGCGACGTTTCTATTCGCGAATGCATTAAAGCAGGGTGCACCGCGTGGATCCTAACTACCGATGCGCTTCTAGTTCTACCAGAAAGAGAGAAAAAGAGAGAAAGAGAGAGATGCTAAATGTTATTTATATAATATAGACACTATAAAAAGATTTGAGAGCTTGAAATGAATGATACATATATGATGTGTATGTGTATGATCTTCTAGCTATCCAAATATTTAATTAACTCGAAAAATATTTTCATAATTTTTGAATTATTTGATTTCAAATACAAATCTAATACAGACGCATTAAATAATTTCTTTTTAATCCATGAATCATTTATGATCATAGCTCTCTCAGGAACATTAGAAATATCTTTTTTTTTTTTAATAATAAATTGAAAAAATAATGTAACTTAAAAAAGTGTTATTTTTACCTGTAATTTCTATAAGCATTGCAAATACTGTTTCTTGAAGTGTAAAACATAAATCTTCTTTTGTGTACCCCTCATTTATCCAGGCTTCGTATTGACTTTCTGCATGACTTAAAATTCCAGAAAAAGATACATCCATTCCTTTTACAACATATGGCAAGGTTGCCAATTGTTCTCCTCTAAAACACAGAATATAATATTTAGAAACTATTTTTTAATGACATTAAATAATATAATTTTTATGAAACTATTGATTTATAGTTACTTTTTAGCCAGCTGCTCAATATTATAACCTGGACTGGGATCATTTGACAAATTTAGTAATCTTGCAAATCTATCCAAACAGTTTCCTACAGCTATATCAATAGTCTCGCCAAAAATTCTATATCTTTGTTGTGAGTACGCAATGACTTGGGTGTTACCACCAGATACATATAATACAATTGGATTATCACTTTTAGTTATGAGTCTACCCATTTCTATGTGTCCTACACAATGGTTTACAGCAACAATTGGTTTATTGAACATTTGAGCTACTGTTCTTGCAACTAAAGCAGCTACATTTAATGGAGCACCCATACCAGGGCCTTTTGTATAACAAATAACATCTACATCTTTCAGTTCCAATTTTGCATCTGACAATGCCTTCTTTAAAATGGGAAGAACATGTTCTCTGTGGTGTTGAGCAGTTTCTCTTGGTAAAAATCCTGAACAAAAACAACATTTAAGTTTTTACTGTCAGGCCATAATTAGAGTAAAAAAATAAAAATCAATAAACATTCATGTTACATTACCTTCACCAGGAGGAGTTATGTATGTATGTCGAACGTTTGATAATATTTCGTCATCTTTGATGATTCCAATACCGAGTTTATTTGCACTACCCTCAAAACCAATTGCAATCATTTTATAAGTAATTTATTAATATATTTGAAAGTACCCGGAAAAACGTGCGTCTCTTGATCTTCTCCAAATTAAACAAACATTTCGTCTGCTAGATTTCAGAATGAAAACATTGTATATGGCATATGCGCGTGCATGTGTACCGGCGACTGACGAATTCGGTTGGCAATGAAGAAATTGCAGATAAAGAAGGTTATAAAAGTTACCCGATCTGCTAATATTTACTCCACAATTTCACACTCGCTACGTCAACGATTTCGAGTGTAAACATTAATTTTACTATGAAATGGCGATGAGAAATATAATGAATTATGTAGTCTAATTTTTAATCTACACATAGTGAGAAATACGTAAGCCATTTAAGATTATTTAATAAATAAAGTTCTGTTTTATCAAAGGTTATAATAATATTTACTTTTGCTCAGGCTTAGGTAGTTTGTCAATTTTGAAAAACAGTTGGAATATATTTAAATGAAAATGGGTCTTTTAACTGATCCTAAGGCTGGAAATGGAGAAATGGCTAAATTCATCCTTAGATGGGAAAAAGTGCTTTGTTATTTGTTATACTTTTGTGGTATAATTTGGATGATGTGTTTAGCCCACCCTTTTTTCAACGACAGTAAGTTTTTTTTAATGATATATTCTTTTACATATTATAATAATTAAATTGTTCATTAAATGTTTACTTTTAAAGATACTTACTACTCTGAAAATGCATTATTGCCTGGTCTGGTAAAGAAAGAAAGTAATTTGATGCCTACATCAAAAGCTTTTTATCGCGAATTAAGTTCAGAAAGAGAAAGATTTCCAGATAGAATGCCTTATGCTTGGATAATAGCAAAATTCCATCAATTAAATATTGAAGTTTATACTCATAACTTTACATTAAATTATCCTTTCCATTCTTATAAGGTAAATTGAATTACAAAAATTATTAACTTCATAATTTACAAATTATTTATTATTCTTTTTTAGTACACTGGGCAAAATATTTATGGAATAGTTAGAGCTCCACGAGCTGCTAGTACTGAAGCAATTGTTGTCAGTGTACCATATCGTTCAATTACAAGTGTTCATCCAGATACTACACCTTCAGTGGCATTGTTACTAGCTTTTGCTGATTTTTGTAGACGTAAGTAATTATTCAAGTATAGCATTATTTTTAAAATCATGTTTTTAATTTCTAATTCTTGATTTTTCAGAACAAAGATATTGGGCGAAAGATATCATTTTTTTAGTAACAGAACATGAACAGTTAGGGATGCAAGCATGGTTAGATGCATATCATAATGTAGTAAGTGGGCACGAGGGTATCTTGCTCTCCGGTGATCTTGCTGGTAGAGCTGGTTCCATTCAAGCAGCCATTAATTTAGAACTTCATTCAATGGCAATCACATCAATAGATGTCAAGGTACGTTTGAAGTCATTCAAATTTCATTATAATTTTATTAATATTTTACATAACTATTTGTGTCTGTAGATTGAAGGTCTCAATGGTCAATTGCCAAATTTGGACTTATTTAATCTGGCACAAAACATGATCAGTAAAGAAGGAATTCGTAGATCATTTCAGCGTCGTTTTGACACTTATGAGAGAGATCCAGTAAAAAAATGGTCGTATCATTTTCATACATTAATGTCAATGATAATGGCTCAATCTACTGGTATACCAAATGGTAATCATGGCCTATTCCATAGGTAAAATCGAATTTCACTTTTACCTTAAATAATTAACTCAACTGAATTCAATAATTTTGTTATAAATCATAATTAAACAGATTTGGTATTGAGGCTATCACTTTAGAAGGATTTGATAATTTAAAAGAAGGAGCCCAGCGCAATTTCTACAATGTTGGAAGAATAGTTGAAAGTATCGTACGCTCAGTAAATAATTTATTAGAACGCTTTCATCAGTCATTCTTTTTTTATTTATTAACTTGTACAGATCGATATATATCAATTGGTGAGTTTTATTACATTAAAATGAAATATGTCTGGTATTTTTATCTATTATTTGATATAAATTTAATTTAATTTCAGCCTTGTACATGCTTGCATTAGTTTTGATGGTCGCTGGATTATTCATCAAAGCATTCTCATTATGGTTGAGGTTGCAAGATTCAAGTGTTGAAATGGATAATTCCAAATCAAAAGAAAAGAAAAAAATTGAATCAAACCAGGTATGCAATTGTAAATTATTTATTTTTGATCTATGACAGATAGTTGAACTATTTTAATTTATAGGTATCTGAATTTAGTGTGGGAAGTATAGCTTCAGAAATCTTGTGGACTCACACTGTAGGAGCTCTTCTAATGTCATCTCCAAAGTTTTTCGTTCCTATGATTATTAAACACTTTGGATTTAGAACTGAAGATGCAGTTTTTTATAGTTTTCTACTTATTACCATTATGTCAATTATTTGGCCAATATTTCTCATCAAAAGGTTGGATATAAATTTTTAAAAGTATTAACTATTGCTGAACTTTTAAATCAAATAAGTTTTTCTTGAAATTTAATAGAAAGTCAAAGTACAGTAATACTGCTCTGGTCTGTGTCATCACCTGCGTTGAATTTGGAACTGCTTTAACATGTATAGCAATGCACAATTTTTCCTTGGCTTTCTTAACTGCTGTTGTTTATGTACCAATTGTTCTTTCTATCTATCCAAAACAGACTATAACAAGTCGGTAAGTTAATTTTATAAAATATATTAATCATTATATTTTTATTGTTCATATAATTTTATTTGATTCTAAAAATTATTACTTTTACTTATTCTTGTAGGTATCGAAAAATATTGAATGTCATTTGGCCCCTATTGCATCCATTCAGCATTATCACCATCATTGTATTTATGTACGGTTTTATCAATTATAGAGATGAAACGATCTTGTCTGTACTAGTCAGATCACTAAAAGCTACGAAACAAGCTTTCGTTCTCAGTATTTTTGATTCTATGATTTACGGTAATATGTTGTACAGCGTTACCGTGGCAATAATGTTACCAATTTGGCTTCTATACTGGAATATTATTCACAAAAATACAGAAATAAATACGTAATTCATTGCCACAAATTTTTATTTGTGAGAAATAATCCGCTTAGTGGGGCAGAGGAAAAGCCCGGAATGTTTTTTTTTTTCACTTAGTCGATAAAGTTATGAGTGCTTGTTTTGAAATAAGAATAAATGTAACAAATTTTGTAATAGGATTTATTATAAATATTAATAAAAGTTTTATATTATTTCCTAAATGTATAAAAATTATTTATTAAACATTATTATGTTGTCTATATTTTCTCTCAGCCGTTTTACGTATGATTCATTAATTCACTCTTGTTGGTAATCTTCGTAGGTAAACAAGTTATTGACTGATCAGGAATATATCTGACTTACGAGAAATGGAATAATATTTTACAAATCTCAGTTGATATCTGTCATCATTGCACTTAAACAAATTGTATGTACTGTTTTGATATTAGAAACTTGAACTGCACCAAGTGGTCTTAGTGGAGGTCAATTATTGATAAATTAATGAACGGATACGGATTTTTTACTAAATATTCCTACGAATTCCACAAATATAATAGATAGGTAATGTATGCGTAATTTTTATTTCATTTTCATTAAAAGATTTAAAAAAAATGTAATTGACTATTGCGAAACAACTCATAATATAATGCTTATGATTGTCATAAACATGCTTGAATAATCTGTCAACAACCACAATTAAACTGATAGCATATTTTATGACCTGTTTGTTGCAATCTAGAACGTTTCTCGATGTTATTTTTAGAGGAAACTAAATTGACCAAGGGTGTTATGACAAATAACAGTTCAATGATCAGTTGGAAAAAAATATCTCAGAAATAACTTATTCTTGCGCGATTTCTCGTGGAGGTGTGTCTTTTTTATTTACAAGTATAAAAAAATTCGACATAAGTACACAATCAGTCTTCATTGATGTCATAAACTTTATTTACCCTAAAAAATGATATAATTAAAAAATAGTTAATGAGTGAATAAAATAATCAAATGAATTATAGAGTATTGTATGAAATAATCATCTGACGTTTATTTAAACGAAATCAATTATAGACTCCCGCCTCTCACAAAATGACTAACCAATGGCATTTTAGTCAGCGACGCTCATAAGCTTGTCGGCGTAACTTTTCAAAGACTCTCTTTGCATGATAGCGTCAAACGAGAGCATATTTTTGATTAAAAATCATTTAGTTGTTTCACATCTACGGAAACGGTTACATTAGGCAGAACGGTTTTAAAGTGATGTTGAAGTTTAATATTTAATCTCATTTAATTAAATTAGTTTTTGACTGTAATATTTTAATTGATTGAACAATCGATATTTGTCCCACGTGAGTGTACAGCAATAGTTATATTTCAATTGTTCGAAAATGTAATAATCATTTCTTCAATTTCTTACCAAATATTTTTCTATAACTACACGCATATATTAATTTTTTTCTTCTTGAAAGATCCAAATAGCAGTATAGTAATTTTTTTCATTTCTACCTTGACCTCGATGATTTAAAAAAAAAAAAATTATTTGCGAGAAAATTGCATATTATTTTCTGACGATGTTTTCTTGTGACGTATGGTGATAACATTTATTATTCTTTTCAAGTAATGAATTATAGTGTCATGCATCTTTCTTATCGAATTCATAACGAGAAAAAAGGCAATAGATGCTTGAAAACAATCATCGGTCACACTATTTTTTTCACTTTCTTTTTTTTTTTTAAATCCAATTCTAAAAATTAAGCCACAGGTGGTAATTGACAAATCTAACAAGATAGATTATCTGATTCAAGAAGTATCCACCTGACTTGTATCATGGTGTTTATTCGAGATAAACAGTGTTCATTTATAAATGAGACCACTTATCAGATAATAATGTTGATATTTTTTATTAAAAAGAGTATTGCTGCTATAAAAATTGCTTAGTAATCAAAATTTGGGTGGACTATAATTATGTCATGCTAGAGAGTTTGATTCATACATATAATTTTAACAGAATTTGATTCTTTTTAAGAATTCAAAATGGAATCGTCAACTTATGAAAACCAAATTAATGAAATTGCTAAAACCTACGACCGCACAAGTACCAGAATTATAAACACACTAACTTTTTTCGTGAATGGAAAAGAGGTAAGTCAATTTAAATGCAGGTGAAAATTTTTGTTGAATTCCATTTAAAATCTGCTTATTATTTTTTACAATGTAGTATTTTCAAGAAATAATATTTTTTAAACCTCAAAATAAATGCGAATGAATCTCAAAAATTTTTTCATGAATCAAGTAATAACAATAAATTAAATGTAGCTTTAGAATATCGTAACAAAATTTAACGATAAAAAGTGTAAATTATAACATGATCATTGTTTTAGATTAATGATAGCAACATTGAACCTGAATGGACGCTACTTTACTATCTCAGAAATAAATGTATCCTTTTCAAATTCAAGACATATTCGAAAAATATTATTTTTCCAAAAATTTTTCCTTAACGTCACTTTAAAAAACGTAGTACGTTTATATGGAACAAAGTTGGGGTGTGCAGAAGGAGGATGCGGAGCTTGCACTGTTATGATCTCAAAGTTCGATCGAAAAACTAATAAAATCATGTAAGTGATATCATAAATTTCAAATTAACAATATAAAAACTCAGTTACATAAGGTTGAAAAAATCGTCACTATCTGATCACAGTCATGTAGCGGCTAATGCATGCCTCACGCCGGTCTGCGCTGTTCATGGCATGGCTGTCACCACCGTGGAAGGAATCGGCAATACAGCGACCAAACTTCATCCGGTGCAGGAACGTATAGCCAAGGCTCATGGGTCGCAGTGTGGATTTTGCACTCCCGGCATCGTCATGTCAATGTACGCTTTACTGAGGACGAAGCCATTGCCTAAAATCGAGGATATGGAAGTTGCTTTTCAAGGTAAGTTAAAAAAAAGGTATATTTATATCATGGAATTTTAAATAATGTCGACTTCTTTCAGGAAACTTATGCAGATGTACAGGATATCGAGCAATAATCGAGGGTTATAAGACTTTCACGGAAGAATGGGAACTCTCTCGTTTATCAAGGGATGAAAGCTCCGATCGACCTTGCTCGATGGGTGATGCTTGCTGTAAAAAGGCATTTACCTCGGAACCATCGGAACTTTTTAGTGCTAAAGATTTTTTACCATACGATCCCTCTCAAGAACCTATTTTTCCTCCCAAGTTGCAGGTACATCATAGTGAACCTAAATAAATACTCAATAATTTACGAAATAGATTTTTTTTCGTGTATCAGAAATAAAATATTTTTTCAGTTATCCTCCAATTTTGATGACTCAAACTTCGTTGTCAAGGGTAAAGAAGTTTCATGGTACAGCCCAGTCAATTTATATGATATTTTGGTTCTAAAACGCCAATATCCAAATTCTAAAATTATTGTTGGCAATACAGAAGTTGGTATGTAATTTTGAAAATATTATTAATAAATCAGTTCTTCTAAAATATCTCTCTTTTGGTAGGCGTGGAAGTCAAATTCAAACACTACGTTTATCCAGTACTGATTCATCCAATAAAAGTACAAGAACTTCGGGAAATTACAGAATTAGATAATGCAATGAGAATAGGTGCAAGTGTGACGCTCACAGAAATGGAAGAATCTTTAAATCATCAAATCAACACGAAACCAGGTGACTATTTTTATTTATTTACGTTTATTTAAAAAAAGTTCCGTTTAATATTCGTATGATTTTTAATAGAGGAGAAAACAAGAATTTTCAAGTCAATAGTAGGGATGTTGAATTGGTTTGCTGGAAAACAAATACGAAATGTTGCAGTAAGTATTAAAATTATTTGTACAAATAATGTACAAAATGTTGTAAACTTGTAATCGTACAATTAGATATTAAAGCTCATAATTTCATTAGGCCATAGGAGGCAATATTATGACTGGCAGCCCTATATCAGACATGAATCCGATATTAATGGCAGCAAGAATTAAACTGAATTTATGCAGTCTCGATCGTGGGTTTAGATCAGTTACAATGGACCATTCATTTTTCGTTGGATACAGGCGTAATATCATTGCTCCTGATGAAGTACTTTTATCAATAGAAATTCCATTCTCTACGGCAGTACGTATATCTTTTTCGTAATAACATATGTCACAATTTTATGTAACTACGATAAATCTTACATATTATAGGATGAATACTTTGTTGCTTATAAACAATCTAAAAGAAGGGATGATGACATTGCAATCGTTAATTGTGCATTTAATATATTTTTCGAGCCAGGAACTAGTATTGTCAGTGAGGCCTACATTGCTTATGGAGGAATGGCACCAACAACTATTTTAGCGAGAAAAACTAGTGAATTAATGATCGGCAAGTAAGTTTTAGATTTTCCTTGATAGTTCAATTTTTAAAATTAATTGTGTATTTAATTTAGAAAATGGAATGAACATATGGTCGAAGCTGTAACAGATTCTTTAGTTAAAGAAATACCTTTATCTGGTGATGCTCCTGGCGGTATGATACTTTATCGACGATCGCTAACTTTGAGGTAATTATTTAGTATTTTATAATGTAGTACTACATACTATGAATAGTACACTAGACTACTAAGATTTACACTATTAATACTGTTGATGATAAAAACTAACTGTCTGGATCAATGTTTTAGTGGCGTTAAAATTACTATTACACTTTTTCAGCTTATTTTTCAAAGGGTTTATATTCATTTTGAAAAAGTTACGAGCTGACGGAAAAATTATAGATGAAATACCAATGGAAATTGAAAGTGCTGGCGATGAATTAGAATTCAAACCACCAAAAAGTTCAGTCTATTATCAGATGGTAATATGATTATATCTTTAAGATTAATAGTAGGGTAACTATACAGGACCTGGCACACCGCGGACCTGGCACACTGCGGACCTTACACACCGCGCTGTTTCCCCTGACCTGTCCGACCCACCCTCAGGGCATCCCCTCGCACTCTCCACGAAGAGTCGAAAAAAAATTAAAAGCTAACAGCTTAATCTTATGATTGAAAATATGGGGATTTAAGTTCATTGAGCTTGAGCTATTGAGCTCAAGATATTGAGCTAAATGAGCTTGAGTTTAACATCGGACTATCCGAGTTCGATATCAAACCTCCCATATGCTCAATCATAAGATCGAGCTATCAGTTTTGACTTTTTTTTCAACCCCTCGTGGAGAGGAGGGTGCTCCGAGGGTGGGTCGGATAGGTCTGGGGAAGCAGCGCGGTGTGTAAGGTCCGCGAGTGTGCCAGGTCCGCAGTGTGCCAGGTCCTGTATAGTTACCCTACTATTAATATAAAATTAATATACTTAATAATTTTACCTGGAGCCATCATTTTCCACTTTTTTTAGATTCCCAATGACCAACCTGAAACTGATTTAATCGGGCGACCGATTGTACATATGAGTGCATTTAAACAAGCAACTGGTGAAGCTGTGTACTGCGACGATATTCCACGAGTAGCTGGAGAAACCTATATAACCTTGATTTTGTCAACAAGAACACATGCTAAAATTTTGAATATTGATTATTCACAAGCTTTGGCTTTGGATGGTGTTGAGGGATACGTAGATGCCAATGATATTCCAACTGGTAGAAATCTTGTAGGTCAAAAATTTTGGGATGAAGAAGTTTTTGCATCAAAAGAGGTAATTCAAACAGGCCATTCATCTAAAGAATATTTTTTAATGAATTTATTAAGAGTATGATTTGACTACCTGTAGGTCCTTAGTCAAGGCCAAACTATCGGAGCAATAATAGCTGTTGATCAGATAACGGCTCAAAAAGCTGCTAAATTAGTAAACATAGAGTATGAAGATATTCAACCCCAGATCATAACAATCGAGGTATTTTTCATAAAGCAGATTGCTTTTATAATTATAATACTTAAAAATTTACTGACATGTTTAATTTTGCAGGATGCTATAAAACACAAATCGTTTTTCAATGAGGAGCCTATAACTGTTTGTAACGGTGACGTCGATAAAGAATTCGCTAAATCCGATCACGTACTCGAAGGGGAAATAAGAATAGGTGGCCAAGAGCATTTTTACTTGGAAACTCAATGTACGTTTATAAATTTTCGCGAGAATGGCGAACTCGAAATGTTTACCTCAACCCAAAATCCAACTTCGATTCAGAGGCTCACTGCGCACGTTTTAAATTTGCCGATGAGTCGTGTCAATGTTCGGGTTAAGCGATTGGGAGGTGGTTTCGGTGGCAAAGAAACTCGAGAGGCTCTTGTCGCCCTACCTGCTGCAGTGGCTGCTTACAAGTGAGCTGATAAATAAATAATTGACGGCTAAAACGAAATAAAATAAACCCACATTTTGTTACAAATTATGATTTCTATTTTTCAGGTATAAAAAACCTGTAAGATGCATGTTAGATCGAGATGAAGATATGATGATAACTGGAACTAGACATCCATTTTTAATCAAATACAAAATTGGATTTACTAATGAAGGTATACTGACTGCTGCAGAGGCGGACATGTACAATAATTGTGGTTACTCAACAGACTTATCACCAGCTGTTAGTTTCTTATATCAATACTGCACAAGAACACCATTAAAATTATTTTTATCTTAATTAAAAAATATCATTTTATTTAAAGGTTTTAGAATGTGCTCTGTTTTATCTGACTAATGGGTACCATGTTCCCAAAGCCAAAGTTTGTGGCTACATGTGTAAAACCAACTTACCATCAAATACTGCCTTTAGAGGCTTTGGTGGTCCACAAGGGATGTTTTGTGCTGAAACTATGATTCGACACATTGCCGATTACTTAGGAAAAGATAGTGTCGAGGTATCTATATAAATAACTTTAATGAAAAATGTTAGTAACTAAATAATAAAATAATTCTTTAATATAGATTATGGAGAAAAATCTATACAAACCCGACGATATAACATTTTATAACCAAAAACTAGAACACTACACTTTGAGAAAATGCTGGGAGGAATGTTTATTTTCATCAAATTACAAAGAACGTATTAAGGACGTAAATGAATTCAATAAGTAAGTACTTACTTTCAAAGAAAATTTCTTGAGTCGCACAACACGTTCTTGGAATTTCTAAATTCGATTTGCTTTAAGACGGATCGGGTTTAGCTCGTAATGATAAATAAATGTCATTTTCATTTTTTATTGTTCATGATTGCAATGCAAAATTAATATTTTTAGTCAACACCGTTTCAAAAAGCGTGGAATCAGTGTAGTGCCCACTATGTTTGGCATAGGATACGAAGTCGATTTTCTGAACCAAGGGGGTGCATTAGTTCATGTTTATACCGATGGTTCAGTTCTTGTGAATCACGGAGGAGTGGAAATGGGACAAGGTCTTTACACGAAAATGATTCAGGTAATTGATTGTCGAAATTCTTCAAAATATTTTTTTTTCTCTAATAATTATTTTTAAAAATTAGGTTGCAAGCAGAGCACTGAGAGTCAATCCAGATAAAATTTATTCTTCAGAAACGACTACTGACAAAGTTCCAAATACTTTGGCCACTGCGGCGAGTTTAGGATCCGATTTGAATGGAGCAGCTGTCCTGGTAAGAATCGAGTGAACGAGAGTTAAATAAAAGAAACTATCCAATAGCCGATGAAAAAATTTTTATTCTAGGATGCTTGCAACAAAATAATGTCTCGAATCAAGTACATAATAGATGAGAATCCCGAAGGAACTTGGGAGCAATGGATCGATAGAGCCTACCTTGATAGAGTTAGTCTCTCGGCAACGGGATATCACCGTACTCCAGAAATGGGATACAGTTTTGAAACTAATTCTGGAAGACGTTTCAATTATTTTACTTATGGAACCGCTTGTACGGAAGTTGAAGTCGATTGTCTAACCGGAGATCACGAAGTAAGTGTTATAACCGTGTTCGTTTAAGTATTTTGTAACGAAGAGGTAAATTATTTTCTTTAGGTTCTTCGAAGCGACATAGTGATGGATCTTGGTCAAAGTATAAATCCAGCCATTGATATAGGGCAAGTTGAAGGTGGATTTATGCAGGGATATGGATTATTTACGATGGAAGAAATGATTTATTCCCCCAACGGAGTTGTTTTCAGCCGAGGCCCTGGAGTATACAAAATACCCAGTTTCACAAATATACCTCGAGAATTCAATGTATCGCTTTTGAAAGGATCGTCGAACCCACGAGCGGTGTTCTCGTCAAAGGTACGTAATTCAAATCGATGCATTTATCGCAACCTTATTAATGCAAAACTACTCGTTTAGGCTGTTGGTGAGCCGCCTTTATTCTTAGCATCTTCGGCACTATTTGCCATTAAAGAAGCTATCAAAGCTGCTCGAAAAGATATGGGATTGCACGACTACTTTAGATTCGATTCTCCGGCTACTGCAGCGCGTATACGCATGGCTTGCGTCGATCGTTTCACTAAAAAGGTCAATTAAATTTATGATATTCATCAATAAATCAATGATATCGCACTTGAGCGAAACGTATTTTCCGATAAACGAATATTTTACAGACCACGAGTAGTTCTCAAAAATTTAAATGATGCATTTTTTACAGATTGGCGACGGCGACGGAAAAACTGCGTGGAATGTAATACCATAAATTTTACCACAGTGATAGTTAATTATGTAATGAAAAAATTTTTTTATTTAAATTTTGTATTGCTCCACAGCTACAATTTTGATATTGTATATGGTATACTAATTTATGTAGATATGAATTGAATCGATAATTATTATTATTAAAATAAAAATTACGTTTCGAAATGTCGCACCCGTTATTCACTGCATATCTGTCACAACATCCTTTCGAGATTGATCCTGTTACATCTAAAGTTACGAGCGATTTATGGCAATTGCACAACTCATTCGATCATTCTGAATATTCAGGCTGACTGCAGATTTCTGTATAGTCTCTCCGTGTGCACGTAACAAGCAATAATTAAAAAGCCAGCTTGAATATGGTTAAATGCTACGCAGTACACGCGTACTTGGAGTTTTTCAAGCACACGCTCATTATGCGCCGCGCTCCGTTCCTCCTCTCTGTTTTTCTCGTGCATAATGTTACATTGCATAGCTCTCTTACATGTCGCGCGTAGATTAATATAAACGAGCTCTCTTTCTTGTTCTAGCGCTGCATGCTACGCACTCGCAGCAGAGACCGCCGAGCGCTCCTTCTCTTACAATACGTACATTTATATATAATACACGCTCACTCATGCTTCTCTCTTTCTCTCTCTCTCTCTCTCTCTTTCTGCTACATGGCATCTGAAAAAATACACGATAAATGCCGCTGCGGCCGCTGCGGCGAAGGCGAAGTCGTCACGCAAGAGTATCAGGTTGGCTATGGCATGGAGATATATCGAGCATCAATGCCGCGTACGCTATACCGCCTGCCGCTCTGCAACATGTAGAGAGTCAGTCTCTATCCATCATTACATGAAGTTGTTGAAATTGCCGATGCCTAAGATGATTCGGCGTCCTTATCTCTGATTATTGTTCAAAGCTTGCGAGAAAGAGCAAAAGAGCTAGCGAGCGAGAGAGAGAGAGAGAGAGAGAAAGAGAGAGAGCGAGAAGTCAATCAACCGCGCGTGCGAGGCGAGAGAGAGACATCGGCTTCGAAATTTACAGACAAAAAATCCTCGCGGCTTACACGCAGCAGTACATCTCGTCTTATCGCGGATACTTTGTATGCACACAGCGGTCTGCTACTGCCTCGACTGTGCCGCTGCAGTTGCTTTGGTTGAATTGCAAAATGCAGAACACCGAGTTGCGAGCGTCGTTGTCCGGTACTAGTAGCGGCAATAACAGTGATAATTATCGTGCCAAAAAAAGTGAACAGAGTGATAAAGCTGCCGAGCGCATCAGCAATGTTTTGATTTTTTACGTCAACGGCAAATTGGTAAGGAGTCTCTTTTTATATTTGATTTTTGAATTACTCGTTCGGTACGCGGCTTCCCGTTGCTAATGACAGCGGCTCCCGTTTAAAACGACCAAATGGTTCATTTTTCTCGAGATATATATTCACAAAGCGTGCGATGAGCTTTATCTTATGTTTGTAAATAGGATACGTTATAAAAATATTACGTAATTTCCTTTCGCAAGATATCTACTCAGCCTTTCGCCTCTATGAATACATAATTTATGCACAGTAAAGAATATTTCAGAAATGATATTATTGTCTGTTCTATTTTCAGATAAAAGACTCCTGCATCGAACCAGAATGGACGCTTATATATTATCTGCGACAAAAACGTATCCTTTTGAATTTCAAATATTTTATTGCGAAATTCATTTATCGATTAAATTATTTTCTTTAACAAAATTTATAAACAGTCGGCTTGACCGGTACGAAACTTGGATGCTCGGAAGGCAACTGCGGAGCTTGCACTGTTATGATATCTCGATACGATACAAAGAAACAGGAAATAATGTAATTTTTTTAGATAAACTTAATAGTTGGATAATTTTTACTTTAAATTATTATTCAATAGTAATTCTTAAATTGAGTGCATAATACCTTAAAAACATTGACTTTTTACATTTTTAAACATTTTTATTAGTTAATTTAAACATGATAATGTAGTACAAAGTGATGCAATCTTGACTAGCGAATCTAGAACAAAACTTACGTAAATATCTAGTTCTTTTATCGGAAAATTTAAAAAGAATAAAAATTAGAAAAATTGGCCGTTCATCGGCATTCAAGAGTTTAATTATTCAACGTATTATATACGTACCCTAATAGCACGATACGTTTTCATAACTTTACTGAAAATTTTAACTTTAAATTTGAACGTTTTTTAAACTTTCCTTTTACGTTGTACACATTCAGAAACGAAAGGGAATTTAGGGGCGGACATTTGAACGTTTCTAGAAGGTTCTACAAACCTTTTTTAAACTTTTTTCTGAAACGTTCCAAGGTTTCAAATTTAACGCTTCAGTAAAATTATGAAAACGTGTTGTGCTATAAGCGAAAGACCTGAAATAGTCAAAATTAAAAATAATAAAATTCACTTGATTTACGTTCGTATCAACTTACGCATAAAATGAACTTTCCAGTCATTTAGCGGCAAATGCGTGTCTCACGCCCGTCTGCGCGATGCACGGTATGGCTGTGACAACGGTCGAGGGCATCGGTAGTACGAGAAAAAAACTTCATCCTGTGCAAGAACGATTAGCGAAAGCCCACGGCTCTCAATGCGGATTTTGCACTCCGGGTATTGTCATGTCGATGTACGCTTTGTTGAGAAGCAACATGAAACCAACAATGATCGACATGGATATCGCATTTCAAGGTATGAAAATTATACACTTGAGAACGGTAATTAAAGACCACTTCAGTTTTTTCAAACACGATTGGGCACGCGCTGATATTTTGTAATTTTTCGATGATTTACATAATTATACGAGGAAGAAGTTAACATGAGTTTCTTTACAATCAAGAGCATGATCATTATTATCGTTCCAATAAATTATACTTGACGTTGAATCGATAACGATTTAAAACAGACTCTTCTCTGTAGTAGAACGATAATTATTGAGAATTGATGAATGAGTTTGTTAAAATTAGTTTCAATCCTTTATACATTGATCGTAATAATTTTTTAACACTACAGGTAACTTATGCCGGTGCACAGGCTACCGCCCAATCATTGAAGGTTTGAAAACTTTCACCCAAGACTGGGAAAACTCTCAATCTAATGGCAAAACTAACGACAATGAAGTTAAAGTTTGCGCTCTTGGTAATGCGTGCTGTAAAAAAGCTTTCTCTTCGGAACCCACAGAACTTTTTAATTCCAGTGAATTCAAACCATACGACCCAACACAAGAACCCATTTTTCCACCGGCTCTTCAGGTAAAAATGCTTAATTGTCATTCAAAGTATTAAAAAATTAATAAAAATGTAAGGAATCAATTGACCAAATTTGCAGATGTCATCAGAATTGGACGAAGAATATCTAATCATTAAAGGAAAAGATATAACATGGTACCGACCAACCAATTTAAAACAATTACTTACTTTGAAAAGTCAATATCCTAATGCTAAGATCATCGTTGGGAATACAGAAGTAGGTAAGTTCATCATTTTTTGTAAAGAAAAACTGATTAATTAAAAAACTATAAAAAATTACAATCAACTTTTGTTAATAGGCGTTGAAGTAAAAGTAAAACACTTCATGTATCCAGTGTTGATTCATTCTTCTCAAATAAAAGAATTATCTATTATAGAAGAAACAAATGATGCACTAAGAATTGGAGCTAGCGTTACTTTAAGAGAAATGGAGTGCGCTCTTAAAGAACAAATCAACTCAAAACATGGTACCTACATTTAAATAATACTGTAAAACATGACATTGAAAATATTATATCCACATCCTAAAATTTCAGAGTCAACAACAAGAATATTTAAAAGCATAGTCACAATGTTACATTGGTTTGCTGGTAAACAAATTCGAAACGTTGCTGTAAGTACCCTTTAAAATTATGTAAGCAAAAAATATTGTACGAACAATTTTTAAAAATATTTTTTATTTAGGCTGTAGGAGGTAATATCATGACCGGGAGTCCTATATCAGATTTAAATCCAATTTTTTTGGCGGCTGGTATAACTTTGCATCTTTGTAGTTTGAAAAGAGGTTTCCGGACAGTAAAAATGGATAGCAAATTTTTCGTGGGTTATCGTCGTAATATCGTGGCTCGCGATGAGGTCTTGATTTCTATTGAAATACCATTTAGTAATTCGGTAAGTTCAAAAGTTACTAATTACTTAAGTAATCTCACTCATGACAGTCTCATTTTCACAGGATCAATATTTTGTAGCTTATAAACAATCTAAACGACGTGATGATGACATTACAATTGTTAATATGGCGATGAATATATTTTTTGAAAGTAATACAAATACTGTCAAAGCTGCCTACTTGACTTTCGGTGGTATGGCACCGATAACTATGTTAGCCAAGGAAACTTCTAAAACGTTACTCGGAAAGTAAGAATATTAGAAATTTTTAATAAAAATCATATCGAATGCAATGAAAAATTTAAAATAAGCAATTACGTTGGAATGTTTTGTCATGAATGACAATTTAATTTACAGGCAATGGACTTCAGATATCATTGAAGAAACGATAAATACACTTTCTCAAGAATTACCTCTACCTGGAGATGCCCCTGGGGGAATGATTCTGTATCGTCGTTCTTTAACATTAAGGTAATATTTTCAGATCTACTATTTATATTATAAGCTTTTAAATATATTTAATTCATGACATAAACTTATATTTCAGCTTGTTTTTCAAAGGGTTTATTCACATTTCAAAACAGCTATTGAAAAATAATGTGCCAAATGTTATTCCAATATCAAAGCAGTACGAATCTGCTGCTGAAGGATTTCATTACACACCGCCAAAAAGTTCTCAGTATTATCAAGTGGTATGTGGATTGTTCAAATGCTAATTAGAGAAACTGTCGTAAAATTCAATAAAGTTTTTTTTATACTTCAACTTAGGTTCCAAATAACCAACCGGCTGGTGATCTTATCGGAAGACCTTTAATACATGCTAGTTCATTAAAGCAAGCTACAGGAGAAGCTATATATTGCGATGATATTCCTAGAATAGTTGGAGAACTTTATTTGTCTCTTGTATTATCTACAAGTGCTCATGCTAAAATTAAAGAAATTGACAATTCAAAAGCCTTAGCCCTTGAGGGTGTTGTAGCCTACTTCGATGCCAAGGATTTACCCGATGATCGTCGTTTTATGGGACCGATATTTAAGGATGAAGAAGTTTTTGCATCTGAAAAAGTAATATATAATTTTTTTAATTTCGTTTTTAGGCTTTTTTATTTTCAAATATTTCTTTCTAGGTGTTCTGTCATGGTCAAGTTATCGCGGCTATAGTAGCAATAAATCAATCGATTGCTCAAAAAGCTGCAAGACTAGTTCGGGTCACTTACGAAGAGCTAAAACCAGTGCTGTTAACGATTGAAGTATGTTGAATAATTTCAAGTGATATATTTCACACATAATATAAACGTTCACTATATTTTTAGGAAGCTATCGAGGCAAATTCGTATTTGGGAGAAACGAGAATACTTTCTAAAGGTGATGTTGATAAAGTTTTTCAAGAAGTAGATCATGTTTTAGAAGGAGAAATAAGAATAGGGGGTCAAGAACATTTTTACTTGGAGACTCAATGTACTTTTGCGGTTCCGAAAGAAGAAAATGAAATAGAAGTTTTCGCATCTACTCAAGATCCTACAGGGATGCAAGCTAACATCGCACACGTCTTGGGAGTATCTCACAATCAAGTGTCGGTTAGAGTGAAACGATTGGGTGGAGGGTTTGGTGGAAAGGAATCAAGAGGTTTATTGGTTACTTTGCCAGTTGCGTTCGCCGCTCAAAGGTATCAATAACTTTAATTTTGAATGTGAAATCAAGAAATGCATTGCTCATGTCTTTTATTGTTTTTTTTTCAGTCTGCAAAAGCCAGTTAGATGTATGCTTGATCGAGACGAAGATATGATGATGACCGGTACAAGACACCCTTACCTTTTTAAATATAAAGTAGGTTTCACAAGCGAGGGTAAATTAATGGCTTTAGAGTCACATATTTACGCTAACGCAGGATCTACATGGGATTTAACTTCTGCCGTATGTTTCTTAATTTAAATGACATAGCAAATTGACTCTATTCTTAATAAACTAATGTTTGCAGGCTGTAGCTCGAACAATGACGCATATTGAAAATGCGTATAAAATTCCAGCCATCAGAGTATTCGGTCACTTATGTAAAACAAATTTACCATCAAATACAGCGTTTAGAGGATTTGGAGGTCCTCAAGCTATGTTTGCAGCAGAAACTGTGATGCGACATGTTGCTGATTATCTTGAAAAGGATGTAATACAGGTATAGACAATTTAATTATTTATTTTCATTAAATGCAGCATTTTGAATAATGATTTTTTTGTGCAGTTAACTGAACTTAATTTGTATCAAGAAGGCGATATCACTCATTATAACCAAAAATTAGTCAATTGCACTATGAAACGATGTTGGGATGAGTGCTTGGCCTTTTCAAACTACAAAGAAAGATTAGAAGAAATAAAAAAATATAACAAGTGAGTTTTTTTAGATTGGTTCAATACATTTGATGATACCCGTAATAATTTTGAACAATATTAACAGACCAATAAATAATTCAATTTTTCAGAGAAAACAGATACAAAAAACGTGGTCTATCTGTTATTCCAACCAAATTTGGAATAGCCTTTGAAACATTATTCCTTAATCAAGGCGGTGCCCTCGTTCACATTTATAAAGATGGTTCTGTTCTACTTACTCATGGAGGTATTGAGATGGGCCAAGGTGTACATACAAAAATGATTCAAGTCGCAAGCAGAGTACTGAAAGTCGATCCGAAGAAAATTCACATTTCTGAAACGTCGACCGATAAAGTTCCAAATACTACAGCCACAGCTGCTAGCACAGGATCTGATTTGAATGGAATGGCTATAATGGTTTGTATCAAGTTTTTTTCTATCATTTCAATTGCGATTACAAAACGAAAAAACTACTCAATATGCAAATCGATTAATTGCAGAATGCCTGCAATGAATTGATGAGTCGAATGAAACACATTATCGATGCCAATCCAAACAGCACATGGGAAGATTGGGTAATCAAGGCATACTTCGAACGGATCAGCCTTTCGGCGACTGGATTTTACAAAACACCCGATCTAGGATATGATATGGAATCTAATTCTGGGACTCTTTTCGATTACTTCACATATGGGGCTGCATGCAGCGAAGTGCAAATAGATTGTTTGACTGGCGATCACCAGGTATTTAACATAATCTAAGAAACTTAATAAATTGATTTTTAAAACTTTTTTGTCATATTTTGACAGATTTTACGAACAGATATTGTGATGGATCTTGGGGAAAGTCTGAATCCTGCCATCGACATTGGTCAGGTAGAAGGAGGTTTTATTCAGGGTTATGGATTACTAACCATGGAAGAAATGATCTACTCACCAACTGGAGTTGTATATAGTCGTGGACCAGGCGTGTACAAAATACCAGGCTTTGCCGACATACCCCAAGAATTCAATGTTTCTTTGCTGAAAGGCGTTTCCAATCCCAGAGCCGTTTATTCTTCCAAGGTACATATTTCACTTTTATTAAGAATCTATGTTATATAATTTTCATATTTACAAACTGAGAATTTATACTTTGTAGGCTGTTGGCGAGCCTCCGCTATTTTTAGCTTCATCGGTGTTTTTTGCAATAAAAGAAGCTATTAAATCCGCCAGAGGCGATATGAATTTACACCGGTATTTCAGGTTCGATGCTCCGGCGACAGCCGCTCGAATACGTATGGCTTGCGTAGATGATTTTACGAAAAAAGTGAGTACACAAAGGCATGATATTGTAGTGTCGTGAAATATCCAGTAAAGAGTTGCATCAGAAAACCGACGATAAATTATTTTTTAAACTTGAACATTTGACATGAACATGACTTAATTATGAGTCAAGGTAAACTTGAAAATTCACGATTGTTTTTATTTCAGATTGGAGATGGCGATGGCAAAAGACCATGGAATATAACTCCATAGTTGTGAGAGTTTCATTAATCCAAATGATTGTAAATATAAAATCACATTTACCCGTAAGTGCCTACAATATTTTAGCTTCATAACATTTATGCAATTTATATGTTTTCCAATGAATAATGTTACAGTATCTTCAAGATCATATCAAAATAAATATTTAATCTATGATTATCAATAAAATATTGCAATAAATTTTTGAAAATCAAATGAAAACGTTTTTCTTTACTATTACACACAAGAATACCTTTTTCAGTTGTTATTGCACTAAATACAGTTGAAATAAAGAAGCCTCCAATAGAATACAATTGATTAAAGTAATTGTTATTTCGCCGTATCTATTCAGAGTGATTGGATTTTTTAGTTTGTTTGTCAAACGAATCTTCTCGTCGTCAATTGTTCGATAACGCGCACTTGCTAATGATGTAAAATATTGCATAAAACAATGAAAATCATCTTACCTGATATCGCAAAATAACTTATCGAAAATTATTCGAATTGTTTACAAATTATGAGTCTTATTAATATCCTCAAATATTTCAATGACTGATAATTGGTATACCTTCACGAGTTGATCTTACAAATTTTTGTGACGATAGATCAGTGATGAAAATCGTCACGTGCGATAAAAAAAGTTTGCACAATATTTGATCAGAATTTTCGATACTTTGTGTTTATTTCAGGAGATAAAGATAACATCGGTCAATTGATTAATCAAGTACGATAGAAAAAAATTCCATTATGCAACTGTAATTGTGTGTTATTCAAATGTTGAGATCCAATTCGATCAGTTGTTCGGGAAAATTATTTTCACACTTTCAGTTTGACGTAAGAAATTTAGAAAAGAAGAAGCAATATGTTTATTATTTTGAAAAAGTCTTGATGAGCCATACAAAACAAAACCGACAACTCGAATTCATTACATTTAACCAACCACTATTACGTAGTTGTCGATGTGCTATCTTAGTTTTCCTAGAGTTCTCAGGCGATACTGAATATTCAAAAACAATTCCAGTCTCCACGCGAAGTAGGTATCAAATTAAGTCTTACTTCCTGATTAGCAGCAGATACTTTGTATGATCGCGTAGCTATATGATGATGATTCGAGTAGACTTTCTTATTTACTACAAGTTCTAGAAATATTCTCGGCTCGGTAATCGGATTATTCAGATAAGCCAGGTGTAAATTTTATTTCTCGATCATTAAGAGGCAGATCCAGTCTATCTGTCAAAGATAATAAGAAAAATCGGATGATAGATTCTGGAGTGCTTTTGATTTTGTTATTACATTTTTTGTCATAATGTCAAATTGTAATCTTCCTCGGCGACATTCTATCGCTTTTATTTGATGTTATTCGGAAGATTCATTGCAAAAGGCAATATTTAACGATTCAACAAGCAATCATTGACATTTCACTTATTTGGCTGAGTCCAATTAAATTGTAATTTGTTACGTTCTAAATAATCAGCGCGATATTTAGCAAAGAAAAGGCAATATTTGTCAAGCGGACGTTTATATAATAATTGACAATCAGTGCAAGCATGCATAGCACGAGCGTAGGAATTATAATGCATGTATTTGAAATGGTATATCTCGACGATCTTTTCAATGCTCGGATATGTGCGTTTAAAAAGACTCGGCGGCGCTCTAGCCACTCGTGCGCCGAGCGACAAGAATTATATTTTTTATTGGCCAGGCCTCGTTTTGTTGATTCGATAAGAGAGCGAGAGAGAGAGAGAGAGAGAGAGAGAGAGAGAGAGCGCGCAAAAGTGAATCTTGGTCGTGTGCGCGTCGCACGGGCTCGACCTTAATCTTCGAGGCGCGCGTTGCACCGCAGCAGCTGTGTGCTCGTGTATACGTGTAAATACTGCACATACTCGACGACCTCAGCAAAATCGATGCCTCGCTGCTGTTTTTTTTTCTTCTCGCACTCTTACATATTGGCGACAAAACAACACGCGCCGAGAGCTGCTGCTACTCTATATATCTGTCGGAGCAATTCAGACGCGCTGCGCTATTGGCACGCATTACGTAAAACTCGGAGCGTGTCTCGCGCGCTGTGTGCCAGCACGTCACGCATAAATACATACACATAGCTGCTGCGTCTGCACACATTTACATGCATGGGCCTCTCCGCGAGTGAACGCACTGCGTCGGCCCCTATGTATATAAGTATATAGCAAGAGCTGAGTCGCGCGAGTCAGCCTGCAAACGCATTCTCGCGTCGCGGCGGCAGCAACCTATCGCGACTTTTTACCGCTGCAGCTGCCATATATACGTGGCACGAACAAACGTATAGCTGATGCATGGTGTATCGAGGAAAAAGCAGCGGCGGCCACGCTCGTTCGTATATATATGCGGCGCGTGAATTTCCTGCCGCGCGCGAGAGAGCCTGCAATCCTGTGCAAGGTTCTCCTTCGCCTGCAGCAGCGTAAACGTACATAATACGCGTGCAGGAACGTTTTCAGCGGCGCGGATTCCTCTCGCGATAATCCCTTCCATATAGCGAGGCGGCTCGTTCGGCACGCTATGCAAGCTACCTGCCCGCCTCGTGCCCCCGCGCGCTCGGGCGACTTTATGCGGAGCCCGTATATTATCGTAGCTCGCGGATCGTTAGCCTCATCGGCCGATTTATACATTGACCGACTTGTATTACGTATATACCCCCTTCAGAGGTGTGCGTCTATCGAATCATCTTTGGCGTCGTACAGACACACATATGTGTATATGTTTACTCTGGCGATAGCTATGCAAAGACCTTTGTTTATCGTTTCGATGACTATCCGGAATATCTCGACGCGCGACATATATATAGAGGCACAGGCTTCGCTCGTGCGATTTGCTGCCTCGGAGGAGGCAGGTTTTTTATATGTACATGAATGCGAGAGCGTTTGTTTGCGTGAGTGCCTGCGGGGAGCACGCAGAGAGTATGAGCGAGCGAGCGAGCGAGCGAGAGAGACGCGCAACACCCATCGGATCCGCTAGTGTGCCGTCGCGCACTTGGCCAACTCCGCGTGCACGTGTTCAGTCTTACTTTTCGTACTGTGCAGGCTACAAGTACGTTTCGACGCTTTCCTCGCGCGTCGCGCGTATCGTCCTATACACATATATTCGCTGTATACTCTCGGAACCGATCCTAAAACTGCATTATTGCGCAATTCGAGCCCACTGGTGGTGCAGTGTGTATGTTGTGCTTCTTTCTTTTCTAACTAACTTTTTACCAAGCGAAGCTTCTTCGGATCGCGTGATATTCCTTCGAGATCGACTCGACTTTGAGTTTACGATAAAAATATAAGAAAGAATGCTGGAGAGATTGCATGCTTTTAAAAATACGCAGGCTTTTCATTGCGCACACAAGGTGATTTTTTGGTCGAACGATCGATCTTCAATACCGAACGATCTTCGGTAAACTTTGCTCGGCCGATATAACAAATAATTTATTTGCTTAATAAAGAGTTAATCTGATTTTATAAAAACGGAAGCTTTTCGAGTTTCGCCTTTATCGTTCGTATTTAGAGATCGAAAAATGTTGTTCAAAAAGATAAATCAGCGCATTATTAAGTCCGAGTAAGCATTACTGAATTTATCGCTGCTTTTGACATTGCTAGAATCAATAAGAGACTCTCGGATTCTCAAGTGAACTCTGCTAGATTTTTTCAACGACCGGAGTATAAATCGTCGATGACGTCCCGATCCGATCGTCAGAGAGAGAGAGAGAGAGAGAGAACGATAATTTTTGCGCTCGATAAAAGTCGCTGTTTTTGAGGAAATTTAATAGCCACCTCGCGCGATCCTTACTACGCGGTTCCAATTTATTGGATTGAAAATATCGGCATAAAGCTGTTTATTACGGATTATAGATTAGAAAATACTCCGATTTCAAGGTAATTCTAACGTTTTACGTAAAAGCAACACAGAAATATTATTTTTCTGTGAAGTTGCAGCCAACGACTTTTATTATTATTCTTTCGGTAATTGCGGTATTTATAGATTTTACAAAACAAGTGCTTCCAACACCTTTACGAATTCGATCTCAGTGATAAATGGATTTCTCAACTTTATAGATAAGTGCGTGAATACTATTGCTGAGGTATACTTCGTGCACGATGGGCACCGAACGCGCTAACGATTCCAATTTGGAAAGCAGCGACAGCGACAATGAGATACACAGCCAACCAACGAAAATCACCAACGCCCTGGTGTTTTACGTAAACGGCAAAGAGGTGAGAAGGTTCAAATATACAACATTCCCTTCGATTATGATCGATATATTCCATGGAAAACTTTCGAGACGGTGAAAGAAAACGAACGTGCGTAACTTATGTAAAGGATTGAAAAATGTCATAAATTATTAATGATCTTAGTTACGTATGAAACGTTCGATACTTTGTATTCGCGATTATAGAATAATATGTAGGCAAACCATATATTTTTTTTCAACAACTTAATCGACTGCTAGAAAAATCGCTTCACAAAATTGAATCGCGTCGACGCTTGCCTTATAATTACGCGTCACGATTCGCGATATGAATTTAATTACGAATATAATTAAATCTAACGTCAATTTTCTAGGTAGTGGATACAAATGTCGATCCAGTATGGACGCTGCTGTACTATTTGCGAAATAAACGTATGTCTTTGACTGAAATATATCATTATCGACATAATATATTGGTTTTGTTGCGAAAAATTAATTATTATTCTCTCTCGTAAAAGTGCGTATGCCAGGGACGAAATTAGGATGCGCCGAAGGAGGGTGTGGTGCGTGCACCGTCATGATCTCCAGATACGACAGAGAAGCTAAAAAAATAGTGTATCCTTTTTTGTACGATTTTTTTATATCGTTCATTCGAAACGTCATCGTAATATTGAACATATCGATCAACGATATCGATACTGCAAGTAGCACAATGTCACTCGTAATGAGTGACAAATGGACCCGAGTTTTGAATTCAAACCAACGATCGTAATGAAACCTTAAACAAAAATTGTCTAGTCATGTAGCAGCTAATGCGTGTCTCACGCCCGTCTGCGCGATGCACGGCATGTCCGTGACGACCGTCGAGGGCATTGGCAATACGAGGACGAAGCTGCACCCGGTACAGGAGCGCATCGCCAAGGCTCACGGCTCCCAGTGCGGATTCTGCACCCCCGGAATCGTCATGTCCATGTACTCTCTGTTGAGAAGCATACCCAAGCCGACGATGCACGACATGGAGGTGGCTTTCCAGGGTAAGTTGATAACTTTAACGAAAAAAGACATATCGAGGTTCGACGCATCAAGGATGCACACCGATTAACTTTCTATTTATTACGAATAAGATCGTAAAATACTTTCACTTATTCCAAATTGATATTTTTGCAACGCGAGCAAATTTAATGCGATTGGACAGCCGATCAACACGAATGATCTTGATAATAATGTCAAGATTATGATAAATTACAACTTTTAGGCAACTTGTGCAGATGTACCGGATACAGACCGATCATAGAGGGTTTCAAGACTTTTACCGAAGAATGGGAGCAATCCCAAAGACTGTCTGCCGCAAATGGCACAGAGAAAAGAGTTTGCGCCATGGGGGATGCTTGCTGCAAGAAAGTATTCACGTCCGAACCGACTGAAGTATTCGACTCAAAAGAGTTTACGCCTTACGATCCTAGTCAAGAGCCGACTTTTCCACCAAAACTACAGGTACACAGTTATTACGAGTTGAAAGATCGAGCGCGTTATTTCATGGATTTCCTTTTTTCCAACAGCTGACGTCGCAATATGACGAAGAATACTTAATCATCAAGGGAAAAGAAATTTCGTGGTATAGGCCGACGTGTTTGAAAGAAATTTTGGTGCTGAAGCAACAGTATCCAAATGCAAAAATTGTAGTGGGGAACACAGAAGTTGGCAAGTTTTTCAAAATTCGTAAACATTATTTTAACGGAGCACATTAATAACATGCATTTTTCAATTGAAGGTGTCGAAGTAAAGTTCAAACATTTCATTTATCCCGTTCTGATTCTACCAACTCGAATCAAAGAGATGCGCGAAATAACGGAGCTCGAAGATGGCATGAAAATTGGAGCAAGTGTAACTTTGGTGGAAATGGAAGAGGCTTTCAGGCATCAAATGAAAACAAAGCCTGGTTAATAAATTATTTAAAAATATGCAATATTGAATTTGATCGATACTCATTATTAATAAATTTTATAGAGCACAAAACAAGAATATTCAAAGCATCGGTAGAAATTTTGCATTGGTTTGCTGGTAAACAAATCAGGAATGTCGCTGTAGGTTTAGTTTTTATAAATTGAAACAAATGAAAGGAATTTTTTTCTCTAATTCATGATTTTTAGGCCATAGGAGGAAATATTATGACCGGCAGTCCCATTTCTGATATGAATCCCGTTTTAATGGCAACCGGAATAAAATTAAATCTCTGCAGTCTCGAAAGAGGAAACAGAACGGTAAAAATGGACCACACGTTTTTTACTGGATACAGAAGGAACATCGTTGCATCCGATGAGATTTTAGTATCGATAGAAGTCCCATTCTCAGTACCGGTAAATTATTTCTACCTTTGAAGAAATTACATCATTTTGAAGAAACTATAAAATGAAAATTTTTGTAGAACCAATACTTCGTTGCTTATAAACAAGCCAAGAGGCGAGACGACGATATTGCCATCGTTAATTTGGCTATGAATGTATTCTTCGAGCCGGGTACTGCTATCGTGCAGGAGGCTCACATGGCATTCGGTGGAATGGCTCCAACAACAGTATTAGCAAGAAAAACTTGCTCCGCTATGATTGGAAGGCAAGTTGGAAGCCAAATCGTATTGAATGTAATCTAGGCATGAGACTTATATTATCTTGAATTTCTGTAGAAAGTGGAACGAAGACCTGGCAGAGCTTGTGACAAACTCATTGATCGACGAGTTACCTTTATCGGGAGATGCACCAGGAGGAATGATTTTATACAGGCGATCGCTCACCGTGAGGTATGATCTTGAAATCTTTTAATCGATCATTCATCAATATGTTGAATAATAATTTAATAATATTTTATTCAGTTTATTCTTCAAAGGATTTGTGAGCATATCGAAACAGCTACAAGAACATATTTCTAATTTTGAGCCTTTACCAAAAGAGCTGCTATCGGCGGGTGAAGGCTTTCAATATATACCACCAAAAAGCTCCCAATACTATCAAGTGGTATGAAACAATGCTTTTGACAATTTTTTAAAATATTTGCCTCAAAATTCTAATGCAATGGTACTTTTAGATTCCTCCAAACGTGAATTCCAACGACCTGGTCGGCAAGCCAATAATCCACGCGAGCGCAATGAAACAGGCAGCCGGAGAGGCCGTCTACCTCGACGATATCCCACGAATGGAAGGAGAGCTTTACTTGGCCTTTGTACTTTCGACTCGAGCTCACGCAAAGATCCTGAAAGTCGATCCCTCGCAGGCACTCGCCATGAAGGGCGTGGTTGCTTTTTACGACGCCAATGACGTTCCCGAGCACAATCGAGCGGTGGGACCGATTTTCCACGACGAGGAAGTTTTCGTTTCAAAAGAGGTAAGTCGAAAAGCTGCGCGGAGTTATTGTGATACATGTACAAACGTTTGTAACGACGCAGGTAAAAAGCCAAGGTCAGACGATCGGAGTGGTCGTGGCGAACGATCAGCTGACCGCCCAAAGAGCCGCGAGAGTCGTCAAAGTCGAGTACGAAGACATCCATCCGATAATCATTTCGATCGAGGACGCCATCGAGCACAATTCGTTTTACGACGGCAGCGGCAAGTGCATCAGCCGAGGCGACGTCGACGGCGAGTTGGCCTCGTCCGACCACGTACTCGAGGGCGAGGTGCGCATGGGTGGCCAGGAACACTTCTACCTGGAGACTCACTGCGCCTACGCGATACCCCGCGAGGAGGACGAGATCGAGATGTTCTGCTCGACTCAGCACCCGAGCGAGATTCAGAAACTCGTCGCTCACGTGCTCGGCGTCCAGATCAACAGGATCTGCGTCCGGGTGAAGCGCATGGGTGGCGGTTTCGGTGGAAAAGAGTCCAGAGGACAGCTAGTGGCTCTACCGGTGGCTTTGGCGGCACACAAGTGAGTTCCGATTGAATCTTGGTACTTTTGAATATTTTAACCGGGTCGTTAACGATCTTTCGACAGGCTGAGAAAACCGGTGAGATGCATGTTGGATAGAGATGAAGATATGATGATGACGGGTACCAGACACCCTTTCTACTTCAAGTACAAAGTTGGATTCAATAATGATGGATTGATCAAAGCATGTGAGATTCATATTTACAATAATGCAGGCTATTCTTACGATTTGTCCATGTCTGTAAGTGAAGCTTTCGATTAATTACGAATTAATCATTGGATTTTGAGTATGTTCAAACTTTTTTGGATTATTTGTACTCAGGTACTCGAGCGCGCCATGTTCCACTTCGAAAACTCTTACAAAATTCCAGCATCCAGAGTTTTTGGCTATGCTTGTAGAACAAATTTACCCTCCAATACGGCTTTCAGAGGTTTCGGTGGTCCACAAGGCATGTTTGCGGCCGAGCACATAGTTCGACATATCGCTGACTTTTTGGGTCGCGATGTAGTCGAGGTAATTATTAATCGTGTTAATTAAATTTTGGATCATCTTCCAGATCGATACATAATCCGTTTATCTTACAGATTTCCGAAATGAACCTTTACAAAGAAGGAGACTTGACTCATTACAATCAGGTTCTCGAAAATTGCACCTTGCGTCGCTGTTGGGACGAGTGCCTCGCCTTATCCAGTTTCAAAGAACGAATGGAAAACATAAAACGATTCAACAAGTAAGATAGATAAATTGTTTATATTTTCGGATGAAAATTTTTATACGTAAAAATGGCGTTTCAGAGAACACAGATACAGAAAACGCGGCTTCGCCATCGTACCGACCAAATTTGGCATCGCTTTCACGGCGTTATTCCTGAATCAGGCCGGCGCGTTGGTTCACATCTACACCGACGGCTCGGTGCTCATGAGTCACAGCGGTACCGAGATGGGCCAAGGATTGCACACGAAAATGATTCAGGTGGCTAGCCGAGCGCTCAAGGTGTCGCCCCACAAAATACACATCGCCGAAACGGCAACGGACAAAGTGCCCAACACCTCGCCGACCGCAGCTAGCGCGGGATCCGATTTGAATGGGATGGCGGTTTTGGTACGTTGATGGATTTTAATTGTATCCTCAGTTTTACGACCAAGTCAGATTTTAATTATTTTAATCGCTCTTTTAGAATGCCTGCAATGAAATTATGAACAGGATGAAATACATAATTGACGCGAATCCCAACGGAACTTGGGAACAATGGGTTTCAAAAGCGTACTTCGATAGAGTTAGCTTATCTGCGACAGGATTTTACAAAACTCCTGGAATAGGATATGATTTCAATACAAACTCTGGGAAACCTTTCAACTACTTCACATACGGGGCATCTTGCGCCGAAGTTGAAATCGATTGTTTAACGGGAGATCATCAAGTGAGATTTATTCCAGTATTTTTTTTTCAAGAAGACTTTTGAATTGAATAAATAATAATTTTTAATATCTAAAAAAAGGTACTAAGAACTGACATAGTAATGGACCTTGGAGAAAGTTTGAATCCTGCAATAGATATTGGTCAAGTAGAGGGTGGTTTTGTCCAAGGCCAAGGTTTGTTCACAATGGAGGAAATGATTTATTCACCAACAGGAACTGTTTTTAGCAGAGGTCCAGGCGTATATAAAATTCCAGGCTTTGCTGATATTCCTTCAGAGTTTAGTGTATCTCTTTTGAAAGGTGCTACGAATCCCAAAGCTGTTTATTCATCTAAGGTAATTTATTTTACTTTCAGCTTAATTATAAAAGCTTGAATAATTTAATAATACAACAAATCTTTGAATTATTTCAGGCTGTAGGAGAACCACCTTTATTCTTGGCTTGTTCTATATTCTTTGCCATTAGAGAAGCAATTAAAGCTGCTAGAGAAGATATGAATATTCATGGTTACTTCAGATTAGATTCTCCAGCAACATCCAATCGCATTCGCATGGCGTGTGTTGATAATTTAACTAAAAAGGTTTGAAACTTATTCAACATTTTGATAAAAGATACTGTTTCATAATTATTTACTGAATGTACAATTTTTTAGATCGGAGATGGAGATGGAAAGAAAGCTTGGAATAAAGTTCCCTAAAATATTATGAAATTATACTTGGATAACCTTATAATAAGTTAATAAAAAGTATTTGATATAATTTAATTATATTTTATATAATTTTTAAATAATAAAATTAAATATTAATATCATCTGTAAGAAATAATTACAATGCAAATTGTAAATTATACATTTTTCACTTGCCTCTAATGCACAAATAATATTTTTTAGCTATGTACATAATAACTTAAAGAATAAAATATATTGTTATTGCATTTTCCTTATTTACAAACAATCATTTTCTTTTCATTAATTAAACATTGCTTATTCCTGATTTTTCAACCGTATCTAAAAGACTTTGTAAATTGTTTTCAAATAATTCACAACGTATAGGCATTTCCAGTGAATAAAATGGATTTTTTAATGCGTAATCTGCATAGAGTTCGTAAACTTTTTTAGTTAATATTTCCATGCCTGTTTGAGATGGTTCAGCAACAACCATAAACTTAACACCTGTTAACGTTTGATAACAATATAATCGGAATGTATCTGTTTCTAATACTTCAATACCTGAACATCGTGGCTCTGGACTAAGTTGACTAGCAATAGCGAATAATGGATAAAACATTGATGCTAAGAAAATCTTTTCATTAGTAGTCATTTTTGCTCTACTAAACTTCAACGTAATGGGATAGTTCTCTTGTTTTTTTAACATTTCTAGCACATCTCTGCCATCATCCAATTCTTTACCAGTTACAGGTTGTCCATTGACAGCTGTCAAAACATGGCCAACTACAAAAAATAATAATTTTGTTAAAATAAAGTTTTGTAGTTAATAAGGTAAGTAAAAAAATGATTTGTCGCTCGGAATTACCATGTATGCCGTCTCTTTGATCGAATGCTACGACTATTTTCTTATTCTCATAGGCTAGCTTTATGTCAAGTGGATAGTTAAACGGCTTTTCCACTTCAATTTTTGGAACATTGTGATCATGATTGAATATAAGCCCCCCAGACTTGGAAACTATGTACACTCCGTAAATCACCATTATAAAAAATTGTAATTATTAATAATAAACTGTTATGTTGCAGTCGTGATCAAACTTTTTCAGCAGAATACAAAAAATACTGTCCGAGACATTAAGGTTTCTTTGTAATAACGCAACAAACAAGTTCGATAGCTTGGGATTTTAAACGTAAATTAATCATCAAGCAGATACATTTTATTTTCCAACAATAAATGTAAGATATTCGAACAATGTCTTCATTTGCACCTGTATCTGTTATCGATAATTTTTTTTTATGATAAAGAACTGATTATCAGTAGTAAGAGGCAGCAGGCACATGTGGCAATTCAAAAATGAGCTTGAATGATAACGCGCGCGCAGCCAGAGATCAACATGTGCAAAATCCCGGCGCGGGCACGCCAATCGCCATACTGTTGTTGTCAAATTGTATGTGTATTGTGTGTATACCTGAATGCGCCAACGACGCTCAGTGCGGTCGACAACTGTAAGGGTTCTATATAATAGCACTCCATTTGAACCGTCCAAAGTGTGTGTTATAAAGCAGAGCCGGTACACTCACAGCGCGCGGTCCACCGGCTCGCGAACGCGTGTGTTTTCGTACTAATGAGAAATGGTTATAGAACGCGCGTCGTGTGCTGTGCCGTGTCCTGAGTGTAGCTGTATCGTCCTGACTGTTGAGTTTCATGTCCTTTCGTAAATCACCTGGATTTGTATTTTTTTAAAACAAAGTAGATGTTAGTAAGATGGTGATTGATCGACTGCATAAAAAAACCAAGTTCGCTGCTTAATTTGCTGACAGTAGCTTGATTATCGTTTGTGTGATAAGTTTGTAAATACTGTTCAAGATGAGGCTTATCAAACCAAACTGGGTAACTCACGATGGTTAGTATAATAACCTTAAAATAAAGCTTTTTAAAAAACAGTCTTTTAATTAACAAGAAAAAATCAAATTACAAGCTATATTTTCATTTTATCCTGGTTATTTTTTTAGGATCTCCTATTTTCTCAATTGATATTCACCCTCACAGTAAAAAATTTGCCACAGGAGGATCTGGTAAGAGCTTTAATTATTAAAATTATTCAATTTTTTCTACTTTGATGTTGACATCTTTCATAATGATGTTAATTGTTCCAGGCGGAGATGCTGGTCGAGTGGTTATATGGAATTTGGAGCCAGTCGTTGATGAAAAAAAAGAGATGGATCCTAATGTTCCTAAAATGTTATGTCAATTAGATAATCATTATGGTAAGTTAAAATTATGTAATACATAGACTTATTTTCATTTTAAATGAATTTTAAAGTAAATGAGATAAAAATAATATTGATTTAATTTAAAATAATATTAATTAATTGATTATTAAATTGATTCTAATTAAAAATATTTTTTTTAGCTTGTGTAAATTGTGTACGTTGGAATGCTGATGGACTATTAGCTTCTGGAGGGGATGATAAATTAATTATGATATGGAAGTTGTCAAAATTTGGAGGAGGCTCAGTTTTTGGTTCTACAAAAACAAACGTTGAAACATGGAAGTGTGTGAAAACTCTCAGAGGGCACGCGGGTGATATTTTAGATTTGGCTTGGGCTCCGAATAATGTTTGGTTAGCATCTGCTTCTGTAGATAATACTGTTATTATTTGGGAAACAAATTCTGCAACTATTGTTAGAGTAATAAAAGGACATACAGGTCTTGTCAAAGGGGTTTCTTGGGATCCTATAGGAAAATATTTAGCATCTCAATCAGATGACAAAACACTAAGAATTTGGAGCACAGCTAATTTCAGTGAAGAAAAAATTATAACTGAGCCTTTTAAAGAGTGTGGTGGAACAACACATGTACTTAGGCTTTCATGGAGTCCTGATGGTCAGTATTTAGTTTCCGCTCATGCGATGAATGGCGGTGGTTCAACTGCCCAAATCATTGATCGTAATGGGTGGGAAGTAGACAAGGATTATGTGGGGCACCGAAAAGCTGTTACTTGCGTCGTAAGCATAATTAAGATTTCAGTAATAATTTAATCTTGATTTAAATTTAAATGTACTATAATTGGTTTCATTTTTTAGAGATTCCATCAACGTATATTGGCGAGAGACAAAAAACATTACTGTGTAGCAGCTTTAGGCTCAAGAGATAGATCTATTTCAATTTGGTCAACAGCTTTAAAACGTCCACTGGTTGTTGTTCATGAATTGTTTGTAGCATCAATATTAGATATTAGTTGGTCACAAACAGGATTATGCTGTTGTGCTTGTTCCAAAGATGGAACAACAGTTTTTATTCAATTCAATCATGATGAACTAGGAGAACCATTAGATCCAGCAAGTCAAGTAAGATTGAATTATATGGTTTAAATAATAAAATCCAATTGCACTATAGATTCACAGAATGTAACAATTTTTCGTTCTTTTTTTAGTTAAAGCTCCAAGAAAATATTTATGGTAAACAAACAAAAGGGAAATTTTTGATTATTGAAGATCCTTCATTATACCAAGAAGAATTGCCAGAACCGCGTCCATTAGAAGATCTTTTTAAACCACCAATATCTTCAGTTAAATCAAATAATGTTTCTTCAGAACAGCCTTCATCAATTCCAAAAGGACCTATAAATAAACAAATTGAAACAAAAACCAAAGATGGAAAAAGAAGAATAACACCTATGTTTATACCTGTTACACCTGATATGTGAGTAAATAGTCTAAAAAAATTCTTTGACGATTTCAATTGGAAATGATAACTTTTTTTTGTGAACAGGGAAGAAGATATGGAAAAAGTCACTTCATCTGAAGCAGAGAAACCTTTTTCAAGCAGTTCACAAGCAAAAAGTTCTATTGTCATAGAAAAGAGAGATGAAGTAAAAGAGGGACCTGAGTTAGTGTCTGTAATTGATGAAACTCCTGGATTATCAGAAAAAGCTAGAAAAATATTACCACCCATGAGTCCAACGCCAACGGATTCAAAACAACCAAACTTGAGTGAAGGATCAGATAGTGTTCAACCAAGAGTTGCGCAATTACGTAGAGAGGCAGATGAAATATTTCCACGACTAAAACCAAAAGACAATTTGGGAGCATCTTATGGAAAACTTGTGTTAACAGCATTATATAAAGATGAATTAACACTTCTACAATTATGTCAAGAAACGACTGCAAGTGAGAAGTGGTATCATTATCTTGGGTATCGTCCTACTGCAGTAGCTGTAACAAGTTTGCTAGCAGTAATTACTTTAGAGGATGGCTCTGTACATATATTTTTAACTCCACGAGGAGTCCGTGCCGTTCCTCCGATAATTCCTCCCGCACCACTTTCAAGATTGCACGCATCTGGCAATAAGGTTTATACAACATATATTAATTGATATTTTTTGATATACAAATAAAAATTTTTTTAACTTGCTTTATGATCTTAATTTTTAGGTCATGGTGATTTCTTGTAATGGAGAAGTTCGCGTATGGGAAGTTAAAGGAGCTTATGATTGTAAAATCACCATTAAAACAAACGCTAGTCATTTAGTGGCTCCAAAATCTTCCTTATACGCTTGTCAATTACATAATGGTATGCCGTTCCTTGTTTTTTCCTCTAATCGAGCATATGTGTACAGTAAAGATATGGGTAAGTTTGAGAAAAACTTGATATTATGAATCATTTTTCAAGTATAGAAATTGTAAACCGTCAAATTTTATTATTTTAGAAACATGGATGTTAATCGGTGATAGCGAGGACCCGATATGGCGATGGGCTTCTTTAACTTCTTTAGGAAAACTTGCTGGCGAGCGAAAGCCAGCTGATGGAACTTTAGCACAACTTCAAGAAGGTCTAAATACCTTGAATGGAAAGCATGTGCCCAAACTTAAATTTTCTAGTGGGGCAGAAACTTTGGTGTCATATTATGGTCTGCAAGCATTGACTGCCCGGGCTTTGGGTAGTTCTTTAGAGTTCGGCTATTGGACGAACGTTTATGTTAACTACCTTTGCACTCACGGTAAAATTTTTATTTTTATTTTGTGAATTTTACTTATGCATCAAAATAAAAAATTGTATTTGATTTTATAGATGAGACAGATAAACGAATTCGAATAGTATTAGATGAATTGTTAGGTCCATCTCATAGTATGGCACATCTGAGTAATTGGGATCCGAAAATTTTGGTAAGTATATTTTTGAATGCCTTGTACTTGTAAAATAACTTTAGTTATATTGGACATTAATTTTTATTTGTATGATTTTTAGGATCTTGAAAAACATAAGCTCTTACGAGAAGTTATGCACATTATCAAGCAACATCCGCGTTGGCAAAGGTTGTACATAGAATATAATGAACAATTAGAATTTGTCAGTAAGTTACGTGCAGAACACGTCAATGGGGATACTAAAAATTCTCAAGCAGAAAATGAGATAAAAGTGTAAAAATTGTTAATTTTATAAAATAAAATTCGTATCTACTTAAGATTGTACAGTATGTTTTAATGAGCATGAATGGGATGAACGGATCGATCGTTCAACTATTAAAACAACTATTATTCCTATTTTGTTTTGATAATTATATGTTACTGGAATGTTTTGTTCGTGAATGTAGTCAAATCATTGAGTATTACGACAGGTTTATTTAAACGATATTTATTTTCAATAATAAATTTATTCACAATCAGAATAATGCATTATTTATGTGTCAACACTAATGCTCCTCATATTTTTTTCTCATATAAAAATACATAATCAAGCTCAACATACTAATAACAAACTATAATGAATTGAGGGAGCATAACTGGCCAGCTTACGCTATAATAAAAATTTTATCTGTGAATCGACTGTTGCATTAGAAAATAAATGAAATTTGCTTAATCTGTGCGCTTGGACTTGCCGTTCATTCTCATTTTCATCGCACATGATGCTAAGAACGATATTGAATTTACAAACTTTGCCAGATATAGCACCCTATTTATTGAAATAAATCGTTCAATTCGAATTTTTATTCCATCCATAATTTATCTCACAAAATACGTCCGAGTAATAAATTTATGATGAAATAATTATTTTAGCCCGGCAACTTAAACTAAAACACTTAGTTAAATTAATTTTAAATTCTCGGATAAAATTTGAATTCAATCATGTTAGGCTCACTTATTGTTTTAAAAAAATCAATCGATCCAGAGTAGTTCCTCGGAAAAAATATGAAATTAACTTTTATTATTTACGATAATATACTTAAAATATGATACAGTTGTATACATGAAAAATGTATAAATATCTTTGCGTGTATTGCACAATAACAGTGTCTTTTTGTACAAACAGTTCGTAAAACTCAAAACGTACCTCATTTTTAGTTCTTTTTTGATTTGGTCCATTTTCTATATATTTTTCGTTTATATTTTATGTACAAAAGTTCATCACCACTCGACAAACACGCTCGCATTTTTAAAAAAGAATTAATATCTATAGTTTTTCTATAGGTATTAATCGTATCCGTACGTACATACGCCATTATTTTTTTATGACAATAGAGTTAAGTTTGCGGTTGAGAAACCGCGATTATTAAGCCATTTTCGTGACAATTGGTTCCGACGAGTTGGGCCGCGACGAGGCCCAATAATGCCCTTGTGTTTAAATCGTTATATGGGCGGAGGTCCATTGGGATAGCGAACCAGAGGCGTGAGACTGCGTGAGATCATGCAGCTGTAGTCGTCGTCGACCGACGGCACCATCGAGGCCGCCCCGAGCAGCAGCAGCATCACCGCCTGTATAGGCAACGACGCGCGTAATACTCGTCCGATGAAGTGGTAGCCACGGGCCAGCACCGTAGGTTCGCCATCGTCAGCACTGCAAACGGATAAATCAGAAAAAAGCGTTACTCAACGGACTTTTCGAAAGACATCATCTATGATGCGTATTACAGCATGAAAGATGAGTTTTGTTATATTAATAATTTTTCAACGTGGTTTAAAGGGTGAGATGAAATTGAAGAACTGAAAATATAACGTGAAAAATAATATACCGGGGTAGGTATAACGTACTTTGCGTTAGTGCCGTGAATATCAGTGGTTCCAGTGGTTGCGCCGTCCAGTAGCTACAATTTAACACAAAAAAAAGAAAACAATAAGATACTGGTGCAGAGGTGTATTATGTTATCCAAATTTATATACAATGGCACGTTTTCTGGAATTGATTTCCATTTTATCTGAATTAGTGCTCGGTGTGCGTTTTTTGTGTAAATTATATTTTACTTAAATTATATCTTTCTTACAGCACTGCAAACATATATTTTTTTTATTCATTTTTTTTTTCAAATAAATTTCTTTTTATTCAGTTAAAATAAATGCTTAACTTTGAGTTACTTTCAAATTTACTTTCAAACTACCAAAGATTAGTAAATACTTGTAAATTAAAAATGTTCAATATTAAATTTTTAATAATTCAACTCTACGTATGCAGTGTTCGTTAAAATTAGCTTTCCATTGTTCGGCTTCTGAATATAATCATCATTATGCCGCTTTCCAAAAATTTTTTAAATTAAAAATTTGTGCTTTCGATTTAAACGATCAAAGCCGCAATGTACTTACGTTCCTGGAGAGCAACGCCAACGACGTAGTCACTGTAGCGAGTCCGATTTCGCTCGGATCGAGGCCTAGAGCCGATCCAAGTTTCAAGACGTACATAGTCGTGAGTCGCCTGAGCGATTGCAGTCTCAATTTTAATACTTGAAGCTTCACCCGAGTTTCCGAACTTTCTTCCAGCAAATGATTCGCCGACTCTTGAAGCGACAATACTCGTGGCTCGCAGCGTTCCAGATCGCTTTGCAGCTCTCTAAAAAAAATTAATAGTTCCAATTAACTCTTGTCTTTATTTCAATCACAACTTAGCGATGCACGACTTACTTGAATTTGTCATATTTCGCTCTGAGAACTTGGTCACCTTCGGACAGATCGATCGGTTCTATGGCTCTGACCGCTTCGTCCGTCTTCGTCAGCCAGGCCAGCAGCTCCTCGATTATCTGGTGGAACTGCTGATTGCCCATGAGGGCTATTTGCAACGCGTTTTGCCAGGAGGCCGCGTCGTGGCAGACCTTGTCCCAGCGCACATTGGCGCAGGCCAATCTGTCCCTGAGCTCGGTGGCTCTGTCCGTGTCCTCGGTGTGATCGGCCAGATGAGAGCCGACGATGTTCAGACTGACGATTATGCTCTTGTGGCTGTCGAGATCGAGCAGGAACTCGTGATGGTCTTGCACTACGTCCTCGAGGATCTCGATGTCGGCGGGCGGGGTATGCTGCTCGCTTTGCGTTCCTTCGGCGAACTCGAGCCACTTTTCCAATCGCCACAAATCGTTGTCCAGTTGGGCCCAGTTACGATGAGAGCACAGAGGACACGTCAGACGACCTCCATCGCTTTAATTTTAATTGAAAAATCATTTAATGAAGTGGTTATATTGTTGAGAATAAAATATCTACAGGTATATTATTTGCTAGTGGTTATCAGAGGTACGAATATTTTAACTAGTTTTTCTGGAACTTGGACTTTTGTGGACTACAAGGATGCTTATGATTAGTTTCAAAGTTTTACACATCACTTATCCAAACAGCGAGTTCAAACTCGTACTTACCGGCCATAATAAATCCACAAACGTAAACTATTACCGAAAAATATTCGACAGTTAATAATGAATCTTTCATAAAATTGAAAAATAATTATTCTATTGAAACTCTTGGTAACGGTACGATAAAACATTAAATTTCTTAAAGAAATAATTGTAGCTATTGCTCAATAATTGTAAGGATTCAATTGTTTAATGATTAAAGTTCTACACTATGTAGGAGTTTTAAAAATCAACGCATAGATTAATTCAAACATTCGAAAATCAGTAAGATCATCGCTTTTTACCTTGGATCTTTATACAGATCATTCGTAACTTTGATATCCACCAACTGTACTCATTGTTTTTATTTATAAATAAATATTATGTTATTTCAATATCAAGCATAAAGCATTAGACACTCACTGATCGCAACGAAAGCAAAATGGACCAGCCAGGGGAGACCTGCAGGAGTTGTAAGTTAATATACGGGTTAGTATTTCTAGCTTATTAGAATGACATGGATTTGCTGTTATTAGAAACAATGCAGCATTTTCAATCGTACCATAAGATTACAGTAGTTTAATAGCTTATATTTAGTTGAGCAGATTAGATACAAATTTCTGGATATTATATTTAAAGGTAAACTTCATTTTGATTAATGGTTCAATTAAAATTTACGATTTATCATCGAATGGAATGGTTATGGCACTAAGCAATGAGCATCGGTAATGACTTACTTGAGTTGTCGAATTTGTTGTTCCCTAGCTCGCGCTCGTTGAATGAGGTCTTGGCAGCGGCTAGTCAGCTCCACCACTTCGTTTGATTTGGCTACGTTATCTTCGTCGGATAGCAAGTCGTGCAAATGTTTGACGAGTTCTATCGACGACTGGCAGCTGCCTATTTGTTTGGCCTAGATAAGCGTAAAAAATAAACATTAGCTAACGCATTCCGCAGATTTCAAACGGGCAATCCATTAAGAAAGCTTTTTAACGTATATACTTACGATGGTCCTCGCTGTCGTCGACAGGCCAGTACCGGGCATCGGCTCGGCCTGGATGCTCGCCGCGAGCGCCTCCATCGACGACTTGCACTCGCTCACGGCCGCTTCCAGCTCGATCAGATAGGCGTCGAAGGAGGTCATCCGCGTGACTTTGGGTAGCGTGTTCACCTGTACCGCGGTGTCTCGCTCGAACTTGAGCGTCTCCACCTGGACGGCCTCGTCGACCTCTCGCTTCTGCTGCTCCATCGCGTCGACGTTCTTGCGCAGGCCGTCGATGCGATCCTTGACGTTGCGCCAAAGCTGCTGGTACTCGTCGATCTGGTACTGGATGGCGGCCACGTCCTCGGGGCTGCTCTCGCGCATCAGCCGCAGGCCCAGCTCGTCGGCCCGTCTCAGCGTGCTCGCCTGGCGATTCAGCTCGGCCTCGACGCCGTCCAGCCGCTGGAGCAGCCTGCGCGGCGTGCTCTCGGGCTCGGGGCTCAGGTGCTGCAGCTGCGTCAGCATCACGTCGACCTTGGTGAGTCCGATCACGGCCGCGCCGTGCGCGGACACGAATTCCCGATAGGTCCTCTGGTCCTTCTCGAGGGCCGCGATCACGGCGTTGATTCGCGGCGGTAGCGCGTGCCACCGGTCGATGAGGTCGCGCGCCTCACCGGTCAGAGCCTTCAGATTGTTCAGCTCGAGGCCGGTCTTGGCCAGCTTGCTGTAGCACTGCTCGAGGATCTGGAGCGCGGGCTCGTGCGCCTGAACGTCCACGAGCTTACGCTGCACCTGCTCCAGAGCCTTGTCCGTGTCGTCCTTGGACATGTGGCTCAAGCTGCTCTCCAGCTCCGTCAGGTCCCTCTCGATGCCGATTATCCATTCCTCCTGCTCGGTTCTGACGGACTCGAGCTCAGCGAACAGCTTGCCGATGAGATTGATCTTGCGTTTGCGTTCGGTCGATTTGATGCAAATCTCTTTCCAACGTTTGCTCAGCGCATCCATGTTGTTTCTGATCGAGTCGGTGCTGAAGGAGGCCTTCCAGGCGTCGCAATCGTTAAGCAACATTTCGCAGAGATTCAGGACCTCGCCGATGTTGCCGCTTCTCGCCTCGATGCTCTTCTGCAGCTGCTCGTGGTCGCGCAGCTTCTTCTCGATCGCCACCGAGCTGGCCGACTCGATCGTGTAGGCCTCCGAGAGCTGCTCCTCGATGCTGCTCAGCCAAGCTCTGCTCTCGTCGAGCTTCTTCAGCAGGCCGCTCATGGTCTGCATGAGCTCGATGATCTTGCTGGCCCTCGCTTTGCCGGCCACGAGCAGCTTGTTCCACCTGTCGGTGACATCGTCCAGGGACTTTTGGATCTTGCCCCGGTCCTCCGAGTCGCTGGTCTTCAGCAGTTCGGCCCCGTTGCTCTGGATCCAGTCGAGCTCTCGCTGCTTCAGAGCCATGTCCGCTTGGATCTCGGTCTCGAGCCTCTCGAGGGCCTCCTCGGGCTCGTGATTGGCGTCGAAGCAGCGGATGCGCGCCTCGGTGTCGACGATCCACAGCAGCAGTCGGTCCGCTCGGCTCTCCCATCTGCTCTGCAGACCGCAGCGCTCGTTCAATTTGTACGAGAGCAGAGCGAGCTGGTGTTCGAGCTCTCCGTGCCTCTGCCAAAGCAGGTAGCCCTGCTGATTCAGACTCTTCATGTCCACCGGACTGAGGAACTCGCGGAGCTGCTTGGTCGTGTTACCGAGCTCGTCCAAGTCCCTCGTGGCGTTGACCAACGCGATCTTGTGCTCTTGCAGGGACGCGATGAGGCGTCGGGTCTCGGCCAGACTGCGGCGATCCGTCGCCGAAATAGCGCCGATCGCCTGGCCCAGCTCTCGGAACAGGTCGGTCATTCTGGCCGTCTGCTGGCTGTGCTGGTCGTTCAGGCCCTTGATCTTGAGAACGAAGTCCTTCCACGTTTCGAGACCAGCTCGCGTACTGGAAAGTCGCTGGCCGTTGGCCGCGTACTCCATTCGCACGGAGACCGCCAGGGCCTCGTCGACGTTCGCGAGCAGGTACTCCTGCTGGCTGAGCAGACTGTCGAAGAGCGACGCACCCGCCGGCATGCGCTCCAGCAGAGCGTCGATTCGCTTGAGTATCTTGTCGACTCCTCGCGCGCGGATGAATCTCAGCTGCAGGTTGCTCTTCTCGCGGTCGATCTCCTTCAGCCAGTCGAGCATTCGATGCTGGTCCTGCCTGTACTTCTCCCAAGCGGCGATCCGCTCCTGGACGGTCGAGTGGCGATTGACGATGCGAGCCAGACTCTCGTTGTGCAGATTCGTGAGGATGCTGAACTGCTCGGCGAGGCTGAGGTCGCCGTGATCCTCCTCGGCGCGCACCATGTCGATGAGGCGCTGCTGGTCGTTCAGCAGGTTCTCGTGCACCTCGCACAGGCTGCGGTCCTCCGCGAGCCCGTTGTAGTCGCCCGGCAGCGTCGACGACAAAAAGTCCTGAACGTGTCGCAGGTACTCCTGCCAGAGTCGCAGAGCCGCCGCGACATCCTGAGATCTAACGAGACGCGCCGACAGCCGGTGATACTGCTGGAAGGTCTCGCGGAACACGCTCTGCCAGAGCTGCAGAACTTCCACGATCGACGGGTCGTGCGGTTTTACGTTGTCGAAGGCCCGCTCCTTGATCGACTGTATCTGCGTCTCGGTTCTCGTCAAGGCGAGCAGATGATTTTGCAGAAGCTTCAATTGCTCCTTCGACTCGCCGACGCCGACCGTCGATACGCTCTGCAAAGAAATCCAACGTGAAAAATAAATAATGTGAAGAAATTATTCATTTTATTTCTGGTCTTACCGAGAACCGACTTTAACTGATAATTGAAAATTTACAGAAAAGTAGGAAAAAATAATCATACACCGTGTATCCGGTTACGAAACAAATTATACTAATTTTTCTTGCGCCAGCACAAGTAGCATTTGAACGAGCTCTCAAAAAAAGCAAAGAAGAACGCCGATCGCCGAAGAAAAGTTGCTTATCTCGATTACTGTGCTACATCTCTTGGTCGAGCGAATTCGTGCCTTCGCAATAGTACAAGTATACACGTTATAATACACCTCGAGCCCGCGCGCACACACAAAAACAAAAGCAGGAAAGTGTATGGACGCACGCACGAGCATTCGTATAGGTGCACAGGCCACAGGCACTTGGGCAAAACGCGAATGATACCGTGTACATTGCGAAGGCACGAGGCGTTGTTGCAGATTTCGTGACCGATGCAATAATGCCCCGGTGTATATGAGCTTTCAAAGCTCTTTGCTCGGCTCTGCCTAGCATGGCATGGCCTTGACACAACCAAATAGCTTCGCTTCTAACTTTGTTTAAAATTTACAATAAACTTCTGAATTTTTTGTTTAATGTTTATACATTTCGATGAATTTACTGTACGAATTATCAACAAAATAAAATTTATATATTTTTAAGTGCATTCAATTGAAGATTCAGTCAAAAAGTCCTTTTCGAGATTACGGACAATCGTTTGATCGCGTGCGCGTGAAGATGTCAAATGTGCGATGATTGAAAACTAGATTGTTTCATCGGTGTGATATTAATGTACATTTCGTATGACATTTCAAGTGTGCAATACAAACTTTATTGAATCATTTTCTATCTGCGATTTTTATCATTTTTTATTCACTTATGAATAACTATTACATATTTAAGAAAACTTCTATTTAGATGAAATAGACATTAAAAAACGACGGTTATAAGTAGAAAATTTAAAAATACTGACCGGATGTCTGCAACTACATGCAAAACACTGATGTCTTTTGTGTATGGCACGCGAAGTACTAAACGACATCGTAAAAAAACAGTTCTAATTCTTTACTTTTCCTACGCTCAACTCTTATTTCGAAACGTCATAATTAACCAATAAAATCGTATAATTTTATTTTACCGATGTAAATCTATTGCGACCCATTGCAATTATTATAATGGAGAATAAACAAAAGAAATAAAAAACGAACTCACCTCATGAACGGAATCGAGAAAACTCTTGGTTTGGTAGAGATCATTGCGCGTCATCTCCTGCTTGAAGGCCCTCGAATCTGCCGTATCCGCGATGCTCGACAGACTGTCTTTGACATCGTCGAGTCTTCTCCCGAGGGCTTCGACATCGGTCTGCAATTGATCGCTGGCATCCAAACCGACGTCCGAGGCAATCTGAGCAACGAGGCCCCGTAGCTCGACCAGCCGCTCTTTGTGTTCTGCCAGAGTGTCCTCGCACAGCTGTAAATTAATGGTTATGCAAATTACCAAATTTTCGATCGCACGTGTGTCAATGAATGTAATTGGCCATGTATAGCTATGCGACTTTTTCGTCTTATTTCTCGTATTTTTCGGTACTCACGTACACACGCGTTACGAATCGTTATACAGGCGAGCGCGACTGCTCCGACCAAAGAACTATTCTGCATAGAATGGGCAGATACGTGTCGCGCGCACGTGGTTATACACACGCCTCGGACGTTATTAAGCTTATATTTTTAGCGCTAACGATGAGAGATGCGTGGCTGGGGAATTTTCGAAGAATTTCAGCAAATTACAGTATTTCAAGATCTTCGCACTTGTACAAGTATACGAGGCGAGTGTCAACTTTTCAAAATTCAGTAAAATTGAGGTTCTGTTGGCCAGCTGTTTGCAACATTCGTAACGAGCTGTCATTTGTTTACAGGTTAAACAAATACCGGTAGGCAGCAACGTCGCCTTCTGTCATCGCGATGATTTTGCTTCTGTATTTAGTATTGAGACATTACAACGCGCGAAAGCTTCGATTGGCCAATATTTTACCAAATCAGCTGTGTCTGGTTGTATGAGTTTTGTTTTTCGCGCGCATCCCCACGTTGCATAGCGGTGCAGGTAGAGGTGCATATCGATTTACCCTCTACGACCGACTCACGACTGCCTACGCGCCCGTTGCGCAGCCGGCTGCAAGCTGAAAGCTCTATGCATTATTCGCATGGGTCGGCGGCGCGCGCGGGCACATTTCGTTGTGTACAGTATCGTGTGCGAGCGAGATTCGTTTTAGTTTGCCGCGCAATGTTTAAATGAGAACGCGTCGAATCAACTTGACCCGAATATTCGCTGCTGCGAGCTGTATAGCTGTATTTATAGAGAGCAGCCGCGCTTGTGTATCAAAGACGGCTATTTTACCGGCTGCGAAGCTTTTTGCGCGCTGCGCTTATCCGACCTTCTATCTGTTCCGAGCTTTTGTCCGAAAAGTTCGAGACTTGGCGCATTGTGATTCACTCGTGTAAATTTAATTTTTTTTAAAGAACGCTTTAATAATCATAAATAAGTATGCAAATGACCAAGAAAACGGTAATAATATTTTTTATTGTTCCTTTAACTTATCTTGAAAAAAGTTTTTATTACGATATTTGTAGATTACAGTTCAATATAAATTGGCCAAGTATATCGGTAAGTTTTAAAAACGTAAAAATTGGCGCGAGGCTATTCTTAATACTTATTTATTGCTCTAAACTTGAGAAAAGATAAATTTTTGGAAAAAAACTCTAGGTCGCGAGTTTCAATATTGACCGAGGAAAAGCATCAACGAATGAGTCTGTCGGCTCTCGCTCACCCTTATCTCCTCTGGCGTGCACATAATTGCCGTTGATTCGCGCGCTTATTACAAGACCACCGCACCGGTCACTTATCAATTCTTGCGCCACGACTCGAGTCTTTCTCTCTGTCTTTCTGCGATCCAATGAGACATATGCACGCGCCGCGATACGTGTCCATCCAGCCAAAAGCCAGCAGCAGCGTGGCAGCGGGCCCATGGAAATTATATCACCATACGAAAAGCGTGTAATTCGTCTTCGGTCGAGCACTTTGCACATTCGGCATCTCTGTATTATAGTCTCGTTGGTGTGCTGTTGCTGCTGCTGTTGCCGCTGCGCAGTTTCTAAAATAGCCCGTCGAGCGAATTGACGTTCGTCGTCGTCGCCGCCGCTGATGCCATCCTCCGTTTTCGTGGCAAAACGCGTGCGCTTTTACACTGCATGGCATTTAACATTTTCGAATCTCTCTCTCTCTCTCTCTCTGTTTCACTCTTTCGATCTCTTGTTCAAGGCACTATGTTTAGGTGATAGACTTTATATATACACACGCGCACTACACAGGCTGAATATCGAGCTTTTAGCCATGTACAACACGTTTTCTGCATGGCGAATTTAAGCTCTCGCGCGCGCGCCACTGTTGACGTATATATATTTCCCCAAGCTCGTATATAGGCAGTTTTCTGATAGCACTTGCACACTTTACAACACGTTTTGTATATAAATGGTGCTGCACTTTGGTATTTTAAGTCTCGGTCGCGTGCGTTCGGCAATGGAATCTCCGAGTCATAGTTCGCGGAAGTTCTCGATTAGATTCGGTCGCGAGCTTTAATTCTCTATTATAAAATACTGATGAATTATCTAAAACTGCATTCGCTGTGTTGCTCCTCGTTGATAAATCTCGTTATCAGCGTCTTTGGCACGACGTTACTAAATATCACAAGCACTTGGGATTTTTCACTAATGCAATAACGCAAACATTTAAAATAGATCAATAACATAGCGGTACTAGCACTTGGTCGATTGTCTAATATGCACAGCACGTAACGAGTCTTAGGAATGTTTTTTTTTTTGTTACATTCCAATTTATAACACAAAAAGCATCACAAAAATATCAACCTTCACTCGATAAAGCGTATCACAAAATTACTGAAAAATATCGAAGTCACTGCGATAACTGGAAGAATCGCAAGTGGAGCACCAACGGGGGAACTTTCGTAGAAACCCATAATGAACAGATCAAGTCGTTGGAGGGTTTGGCCGATCGGAAGATCAGACAATGATTATTACGACTCACGCTGCTGTTTTCGAGCAGCAGCAGCCGGCACCTCCGTATGATCGCTACGAGCCACGGCACGCACTAGTCCACGCACATTGTATCACACACGCACGAGGCCAGTCGTCGATCGTACACCGCTGACAGCCTCACCCTACATACAAAGCCCGTATATATACACATATACGTGGACGCGCGCGCATGCCGGCTTTTAATAGTAGTAGTAGTAGTAGTAGTGCACGCGTAGAGATGCCATATACTAAATACATATGCCACAGGGCGCGTACGTCGGACTACTACTTGCGCGACGTCCTGGTCCAGACTGTACTGGCTGCTGCTGGCTGCTGGTGTTTCGCGCAGCGCAGCAGCCGTCCCCGTCGTCGTCGCAGCCAGCATCGATCCGCAACGGACAGTAGCGTGTGCGTGCTTGATATATATATAATACGTCGAGAGAGAGAGAGAGAGCGAGAGAGAGCTATATAGCGCTAAGAGGGAGCAATGCTTGGCTGCGACTTCGCACAGTCACACAATACGTACACAGCATCGAACCGATAGACGAGCGCGAGTGTAACGCTATATGGAGCAGATGCCGCGCACGAGCAAAGGCAAGGACGCTCCCCTATTTATTCGCGCATTTTTGAACTTAAACGCGACCGTGCCGGGGTCTCTCTCTCTCCCCCCAGACTGATCTTTCTAATATAGAACGCGCAAATGAATTTTCAGCTACTCAAGGCCACGACGCGTTGAGTGTGTGTATAAATGTGCATATGCACGAGGTATACATGTAATGCCCGTTTAACGCAAATATATACACGTGCGTTACGAGACAGAAGCCGGGGAGGCGCATTCGCGTTGCAGTCGTTTAACGGGCAATTAGGTGTATCGCGAGTCTGCTGCTGCGCTGCTGCCTTTTATTTTTAGTATTAGACGGGGGTCGGCCTTTTAAACGCGCGAGCTTGTTATGACGTTAGAAACGTATATACAATTGGACGTAGGCTTGCGAGCGATTTTCATACCGAAGAGTTGCGATTTGTTTTTTCGGGAAAATGTACACGCAGTTACGCAAACAATCGGACGCGGCCGCGATACGATGTTTATTTTCGGGGGGGCGAGCCATGCACGCGCCTCGCCGATCTCGAGATTTGTTTTCCTTAGCGCGGGCCGATATTCGAAGATAAATAAACTATTCGATGCACAGTTCGCGCGTTTGAAAACCCGAGCGAAGAAAGGCTAGAGCTCATCTCGCGGACCATTACACTATTGCGGCCTGTTTCGATAAATCTCTCGGCTCGTGTGCTGAAACTGTGTCATGTTGTACAGATTACAAAATGCCAGAGCAACTCTTTCATCTCGATCTTAGTAAACGTTCGTTCGAGTTATCCGTTTGATACGAAAAAGAAGAACAGAGGAAGAAAGAACATCGTACAATTAGAGAGTGAAAGAAAGAGAGGGAGAGAAACGAAATTGAGACGATTCTTTAGATATGAAGTCACTGCTAGACCAGATGCCTTTGAGTAGTCATCTTGGGCGTAAACACGTCATATTTAACGCTCTGTTATATACACAAGCGGTATATGGAAATGATAAAGCCGAGAGAACCGATCGTGGTCGGAAGAGCTCGTCGGACTGATATGAATTGGCTCGTATGCCCGTCCGCCCGCAATTTCCACACGCATTTTATCGTTCGAGGCGGTATTTGATTTTTGCGCGGAGAACTTTTTTTTGGCTCGTTGAAAAGAAAACAATTTGCAACGTACGTTCGTTTGCGCGGTTGCGATAAAAAATGTACCAACGATAATTTGACCGGAGAATTGACCCGTTTCTCGGTGCGAGTATTTATCACCAAATAATCATGCCATTTAAAACTTCTCGCGTACTCGCTTACACGTGTTGTGCAGCGCAGCAGTTTGTTATACACAAAATACAGTATAGCGTAGCGGAATAAGACTAGGCATTTAGATAGTTCAGTTTCTAGCGGCAAAACGACTTGCCCCGCACAACAATTGCAGATCTCTATTTCTCTCGTAAACGATGTATTTTCATGTTTCCTCGTATATATTTACGACGTAACTACCATACACGCTGCTCGCGCGAACGAGCTGGATACATGTGTTCGGTGCCTCCCTGCTGGTAGAAATTGTTTGCTGGCCTAGTTACCCCTATTTCGAACTTACCCCGCGCGGCGGTCGCTTTTTTTTTACAATCCTCGTAACTGAAAGTTGTATACTTTCCGAGCTTTAGTGCAAATTCGTTGCCGATCTTTTCCTCGGAATTTTTTAACTAAATTCGTTTCCACGTAATTACTTTCGGGGAGAAAAAGTCTCGAAGCTCGAAACGAATCGGTATAATCACGGAGTACGATCGAGCTATACGAACCGGAAAGAGCTTTGCACTCACCTTGACTTGTTGAATCGCCTGCTCGGGCGGCAGTTTGCTGTTGGCCGCCGCGACGCCGTCGGCGCCGCTCATCTGCTCGTCGACCCAGTCGTTGATGGCCGCGCTGGCGTCGCGATAGCGCTCCCAGAGCCTCACGGCGCGCTGGTACCGATCGCAGAGGTCGCCGAGCTCGTGCTTCGTCTCCTCCCAGGATTGCACCGTCTCGTTGACCACGGCATCGACGCGCTGGCCCACCTGGTCGCTGCACGAGGCGCGCAGTGGTTCCGCCGCGGCCTTCAACTCATTGATCAGCTGCTCGCGCGTCAAGAAGCTGCAGTTGAGATTCTGCACAATAAAAACAACAATGCATTGGAAATCGAATAAAACGCATCAAAGCATGGGGGATATTTAAAATTATAACGATCGGAAGTGTACGTTAGCGCGTGCCGATCGCTGAAAAAAAAAAAGACAATTCGTATGGCCGGTTATTTTTGTTGTTATACTCGTTTACCGATGTGTGAACGATTAAAGGAAGGTGAAAAATAACTCATACAAAAGAAAAACCAGTAATGGTCTATAAATAGGCTTTTGGTGTAGCGTCTAGAGGGAAATACAGTTTCTCCTTGGGTGACTATTGCACGACGCGCGAATTCGGTCAGCTTTCGTGAACTCATTCCGTCCGTACACTGCACTCGCACACACGAAGTGATCGTCTCTCTCTCTCTTTCTCGTGCGCGCAAAAACTGGGGTTCATTAACCCGACTTGTTTAGTTTTTAATCTTTTTCAAGCGAGCCACGCGCTAGCTCGCCACGAATCGTCTGGCGCAAACTATTAATCTTATTGTTTTTTTGGCACTGCATCTGTTAATCGGCGAGCATAATTCGCGCGTGGGTCATCGCATGGAGGAGTTCGATTGCAAAATTATTGGACGAACTCCAAGTGCTGGTGTTTCTCTGTTAAGCCTGCTGAAAACGAGCGCCATCGAACAAAAGTATTATTTCAATATTCTCGTGTTAAAAAGTAGACAACCGGGTCAACACTTTTTCTTTCTCTAGCGCTCCTCGACGCTTTTGTAAATCTGCCATTCGTATGCGCAACCTCAAACAATGACTCGACTTCATTTCAATAGGCATTTTTTTAGCGATGCACTCGAGGATGAGTTAATCATCGACGACGCCATCGATTAAGACGACTTGAATTTTTCGCGCACGAACGAGTGCAGCGCCGCAGCAAGTACTCAACAGCGTATGGATTGGTACTTATAAACTTGATCGACGATAACTGATTAACGAGGTGAAGTCAATTGTCCGAGTTTGATGATGTATATTGATTGTGTAATAGCCGAATCGTTTTAGTTGCGCGCAAACACAAACACAACACACACATAAATTTACATCCGTGTAATTGCTTCTTCGCCACTTGCAAATCGATCGAGTTACGCGCGCTTACATTGCACACACAGCCTTCTGGAACGCATTGTAATGATTTATCAACTTTATAACATCGAAAAGAATATGATTGTGTGCTGATTTTTATTTTCTCGTTCAATAAAACACTCGAATGATCGCGATCGTTAATAGATGCGACTCAACTAGATATTGTCAATCGTGCAAAATGACATTGAAATAAATACATTGTTATTATTGATATTTTATTATTATAAGATTAATTTGACACTGTACCGCGCTTGTTCTTTTACGCAATCAAGGTGTAAAACTCTAGTGTTATTTGCAAAAAAAAATACAAATTTAGAAAACATGATGTGTCTGGCATTTCTCGTACCGGTGTGTATACAGTTAAGGATTTATTCGTTTGATGTATCGCGTTAAAAGAGCAGCCGAGCTTACTTTATGCAGGCCCCGCACGATTCTACTTCCGGCATTAAACGCGCTCAATATTCCATATCGATTCACTTTTAACGCATTGCAAATAAAGAGAGGTAACGATATGACGCTCGATACAAATAATACTAACGTTGCATCGCCGGTGAATCCATACCGATACTCATAATTTAATTCAAAGTTTTAGCGTCGATTCGTCGGAACGACCTTGCTGTCACATCTATAACTTGTGTGTATACGTAAAGGCCGACGATTGTGTCGGAGTACTTTTATTATTATTATTTTTTTTAAACTTGTACCGTACGCGTTTTTTATCACGTCTGATACTTTTCTTGTCACGGCTATCAGCTGTTATCGTCGCGCAGACCTGTAACCTATACACACGTGCGCGCAGTCGCGCGCGTGTAATGTGTCATACGTTGTATTTATATGTCGAATTTCATTATTCCAGACTCTAGTCAAGATGAAAGGTTTTACGAGTTTTTTTTTATCTCATGAACAATTGACAATGAGCTCAAGAAACAACATGAAAAGTACAATTGTTGCAGTTAGCGACTAAAATTTTAACAAACTTAGCACATAGTGTAATTCAGTAGGGAAGAGAAAAATGTAATCATCGTTGAAAAATATTATTTCTCCCGGAAATGACAGGCAGAAGCGGCTCGACGAACGACACATCACAACATATATCTACAGCAGAAGTACGCACATTGTTACGCGCATCTTCGAAGAAGTATTATGTGCGGACTATATAGATATATCGTATATGATATAAGGCAGTCAACGAACGAAACGCGCGTCTTTGGCCGCGGCGCGTTCCAATCGCCATAAACATTGGTCGCGCACGCGAGGCGTTTACGGACTATCAATGACCTTTCGCCTACCTTGAGGATTATTTACTTTTGCGTGTTCTTTCGCATGTACTAATTTCATAACTGTATATGTTTCTGCGACTCCTGCGGCTCTTGTATATATATACTGTTATAAACATTGATCCACTTTGCAGCGGTGTACGGTAGCATTTGAACTTCTGTACAGACTACTACGTACGATCGTGGGTTAACATTTATTTATTTATTTATTTTTTTTTAATTTATCTTACACGAGCACGTGCGTAAGTAATGATGTTTCATTAATAACGCGCACAGAAGGGTGTGTTGCATATAGATATCTGTCTACAGATAATTATACGAATGGAAAAACTTTGTTCCGAATTCGCATCAAGAACGGTGATTTATCTTTTAGATTACAGCACATCTGACACATTGAGCACAATTTAATATGAAAAAATAATTAATTTTGTATCCATATCGAACAAACGCACTTCTTAATGAGCAAATTTTCCATGAACTAGATGTATTTTCGCGGCTTTTTTTTTAGTCAAAGTTCGTGGCACTTTTTGCAAAACAAACTTATGGTCCACTTGACAGTCCGTAAACAAATAAAAATAAATGGGATGAGCACGATTTTTTCAATCGTGACAGTCTATTCGATCTATATTACTAATAATATAAAAAAATAAAATAAAATAAGAAAGAAACGCACTGATCACTCCGTTTCTCTAAATTTTGCCAATGATCGAGGCACACAATTGACACATTCGCTACAAGCCTTTACTTTTATCACGTGTTATTCGCCGGCTACGATAGTCTATCGTAAACATGTCTCGCAATCGGTAAAGTCAATCGATCAGCTCTCGGCATACTCGTCGTCATATATACGTTAGAATATACAACGCGAGCTGCGGGCATCGCCGGTGAAGTACCGCGCACGACTGATTAGACCGCGCGCCGCAGGCACACGTCTGCGGCGCGTCGCTTAGCCAACTTTGCGCCAGCTCGCGTGTGTACTACCACGCTACACCAATACACACCTATGCTACATTCTATACACACTATGTATATATGAGTGTTGGAGCATGTGCGCCTCTGCTTCTACGTGCACGCACTCGACTCGAGATATTTAGCAGGGCGCAAGTTTAAAGCTCGCGATGATGAATCGCTATATTTACTAGGCTAAAGTAAAGATATATAGACTCGGCATTTTTTTCCGCGCGGTTTATTGCGTATTTTCAAGTGTATAGAATATTTTTTCTTTGAATACGGAAGAAGTATGTGAGTGGCCTTGCATGGAATGACCGTAACTCTATTTGTCAAGACTTTAACTAATAAATGTGTAACAATAACTTTTTCTTACTAGCTTTGTAAATATATTTCCAAGTTTGCGCTAGAGACTTCGACAGTCGGAAAACACGAAAATCCACTTTGAAGAGATAAGACATTTTTTCAACGATTCCGTCGATACGCGAGCTAAGAAGAGAGCATCATCGCGCGTAATCATATAGCCGCGCGCGCGTCAAAAAATTAACATAAGTGAAATTTTCGGTCATATTTTTAAACTCACCTCGAGCCTTTCCGTGGCTTTGAGCAATCTGTCGTAATCGACTTTGCCTTCGACCTCGATCAGTTCCATCATACAATCGGTCTCGGCGACGGACTTCTGCACAGCCTCCACCTGCTTCTCGAACCTCCTCCACAGAGCCAGTTTGTCGTTCAGCCGCTCGAGCAGTTGTCTGCACCTCGAGTTCAGCGAGTCGTGCTTGTCGAAGAGTCCGCTGACGGCTCGCTCCATCTTCTGGGGCGACATCGACACCCGCATGTTGGTCGGCAGAGAGTGGAGCTCGCCCCGGGCCGCCATGATGTCCGGCCAGATCTTCTTCAGGTCCTCGGCGACTTTTTCGCAGCTCTTGATGGCCGTGGCCACGCACTCGCTGGATTCCTTCTCGCTGGCCTCGCATTGGTCCAGCACCTCGGTCTGACTCGAGTGCTTCTTGCGAATGCGTTCGATGGCTCGCTTGAGTGCCCTCAAACGATCGCGAAGCACTCGAGAGTTTTGCAGCTCTTTGCCGAGCTCGAGCTCGAGCTGGCGGCCGCGACCAATGAGACCACCGACGCGTTCGCTGTCCGCTGGCGATAGCAGGCCTAGTTTGCCTAGCTCGTCCTGTAAATAATTGCATCATCAATACGAGCTCGTTCAATATTTATTTACATTTTCGAAGGTATACTACACGCACCTGCAAATAGCGAATTCGATCGTACAAAACCGAGAGCCTTTCGGTGTACAAGTCGAGCTCTTCTTCGACCTTTATCACCCCGTGGAGATTGTGGACGATGCCTTGGATCTCTTGTATTTCTTTGTCGATCAAACTGAGCTTTTCTTTCAGCGTTAGATCCTCGGACGACATTTTACTTTTCAGTGAGTCGCGAATACCTTGCAGTTCGTTCGTTATTTTGTTCCAGCGTTGTTGCATATCACCGTAGAATTGACGTTGCAGCAATTCATCGGACACTGGAATTAATTGCATGGCCTCCTCGAAGGAGTTGCGCGCTTCTTTGCGTACGTTATCGTGCATTCCGTATTGCGCTTCGATTTCCTGCATTGACATTTCAAATTATAAGTAAGTATTGTTCATAAAAATTTTCAGATAAAATTTAGGAAGCAAATATTTACCCAAAGCCTTGCCATTTGCCCGCTAACCGGATTGTTCACATTAGATAATTCGCGCTCGGCTCTGACCATCCAGTTCTCGAGCTTATTAACGAGCAATTCTTGATTATCCCAACTTTCCCTAAACGATATCAGACGTCGCAATGAATGATTAACATCGTTTTTCAATTTGTCTATATCACAGTAGGCTTCTTCATAGCAATTGTCCATGTTTTCAATTGTTATCATTGATAATAGTTCGTGAGAATTTTCGAAAATTTGGAATATTTTATTGTGGTGAGTGGCAATATCGCTAGCGAGAGCCTGGAAAATAAAGCGTTGTCAATTTGAATTTTTATCATTCATATTTCATTAATTTGAATTCGAAATAGTGTAATTAATATTAACTCACTTGGTATAATAAAATGTACTGCTCGACTTCTGTGGATGCCATGCTGTGCACATCAGGGATCCGTTGATGAGCCACTCGAAGCCAGTCGGTTTCCTCCTTGAACCCTTGATCTAATACCGTCCACTTGGAAGCGGCGAATAGCATTTTTTGTAATTTATCCATTGCTTGATCTAACAGCAATGATGTTCTCAATATTATTTCGTCGTGAGTAGATCGATGGGCTTCTCTCGTCTCGGGATCCAAGTTGTCCGCCAACGACTCTAAGATGGCCTTTGCATGATTCATACTCGTGAAAAATTTTCGATAGGTTTGTATCTCGTCGTTGAGATGAGCTAGATTTGAAACAGGTGTGTCATTGGCAATCATTTTCTCTGCCATTTTCGTGCATTTCATAAGATGACGTAAAGATTGTTCGTAGTCATCGCGGATAGTCGATAACTCCAAAAGGCATTCTCTTTCATTTTCAATTCGGCGTCGTATAAAATCTACTGTTTCTGAAGCCGTGTTTATTTCAGGAGGTATCGTTTTTCCAGGATAGTCATTCAACAATTCATGAGCTGTATTAATTAAATTTTTAATTTTCATTGTATAATCTTCGTTGCATAGTTCTATTTTTTCTAGTTGTTTTAATTTTGAAGGAATGGGTTCATTGCTATCAATGATATTATCCAAATGGTTTTTTAGTTCTTGAGTAAGCCTGCGAAAATATTCAATATATTAATAAGTAATTTTATGTAGCAATGCGATAACATAATTATTATACTCACTTTGTTATCTCATTTATTTTATTTACGAATGTATCCCATCGAGCTAATTCAGAAATAACGTTAGACTCGCCTTCGTTAGCTATTTCAATTATTGTTCTTGCTTGACTTTCTAATGCTTGAATGCACTGTTTCATACTGATGCATTTTTCGGGCGGGCAATTATTTTTTATATCGTTAGAAATATCGTTCAATTCTTGAATTCTAGTTCCGATGAAATTAACTTCATCTTTCAGTTCAGCAAAGTTCTTACTATCGTCAGGGGATGGACCGTTCGGATTTCCCTGACCTACGAATATTCGCGATTCAACAGTTTCCAACCAATCTGAGAGGCTTTCTATTACTACCACAAAAGTTTGCTCGATAATTATAATATCGCGTTGATCCAACGCAGATTTCAATGAATTCAACGATTCGTGAACGACGGATGCTTTGTTTTCGAACGAAGTCTCTGGCTCCGACGTTTTTAGTGCTGAGATGTGCAAGACATTTGATAAACGAGAGGACTTCGGTATTTTAGATTTATGAATTTTCCCCAGTACTTCTTTTGTTGCATTTTCCATTGCTGATGTCGATTGGGGCTGATTTTCTTGTTGATCTGGTTGTTGAGGTGCCATCAAATTAACTGTTTCACTAGAGGTTATGATTTTCATATAAATAGGCTCAATGGACGAAGGCTCCTGATCCGGAGACGTTGGTAAACTTCCGAAAATGTCGTCGGTACTCGAACCTTCATTGACTTGTATAGGTTCTCGAATTTCGACGGTTTTACATCTCTGCCGCTTTTGCTTCTTACGATCAATTTTAAGAGATTTTTCGGATGATTTTTCTTTCGATGATGACTCTTGTAAAGTTGAATCCGACGTGGTGCTATCGCATAATTCTATTGTTGCTTGCACTTGTATTTCAATCGATGTATCTGGAGTAGACTCGATAGATGTAAGTGATAATTCAGAAGTTTCAGAAGGTTTTATAGAAGTATCTTGATAAGATGATTTTTCAATTATTGGTTCAGAGTCTGAAAATTGTTCGGACTTTGCATCGACGGTACTTAATTGTATCATTTCTGTTGTTTCTGGAGTTTTTTCACGAAGAGATTCTTCTATAGAAATGTTCTCTTTTTCTTGAGAGTTACCTGCTGCTGAATCTATTTCTTGCACGGATTCTGATTTTTCATCAATTAAATTAACATTTATCTGTTTATCTTCGGTCTTGGTCGTAACGGTTTGAACACTCAATTCTGCAGTATCTGACGCATGTTGAATACTTTCTGTGGCGGTAGGAATTATTTCTTCTGTGTTCGTTTGAATGGATAGTTCAGATGTTTCTTTAAGGGGTTCTAACTCATTTCCAGCTTGTTCAGTATCTAACATGAATTGCACTGGACTGGTTTGACTTACAGTTTCAATCAATTGTTCTGGTGTGGTTTGTGATTCAATTTCAACGGTAGATATAACTTCCGGTACTGTTTGTGTCTCATTGGTGCAAGATTCTTTAACTTCGACGATTTCAGATGTTTGTACATCGGCATTTCGAGTTTCTGAACACAGACCAAAATTTACTTCACTAGTTTGCATGCTTTTTTCAGCGACTTCACTTGTTTCCGGACTATGCGTTGGTAACACGGTTTCAATCATAATTTTCTCTTCTTCCAATGGTTCTGTCGTCTGTTGTTCGATGTTCAGCATAAACTCCCGCGATGTTTGAACTGGAGCATCAACTAAAAATTTCATAAAAAATTGTTATTAAAATATTGTAAATGAGAGAATGTAAATAAATATGGTACCGTACCTATATTCTTTTCAGGGGAAACAGTCTGAATTTCTGTATTTTCTAATTCTATCGTTAATGTTTGAGTGTCCATGTCTAAGGAAGATGATTTTTTCAAGTTTTCATCCCTCGGAGAAGTTTGAATAGCTATACTCTCAGTCAATCTAGACTCTGGCTCTTTCGTTTGGGAAGAAACATTTTCAATGCTCGGTTGATCATCAGTTTGTTGAATGATATCAAATCCTGGACGCGGAGAAGTTTGCATTTCAGTATTAATTTCTTCGACTTTCAAAGTTTGTACTCCTAGTTCTAATTTATCGTTTTTCGTATCGGGTATTTGGACAGAATCAGGTACCTCAATATTAATTTCATCGAGGCTACTACCAACAGACATATCATGAATTCCTGGTTTTGTCTGAGTATCTACGTCATAAGCTTCGAATGATTCAGCATGGGTACTATCAGCATCAGCAACATTTGGATCGCCTTTCTTTCGTTTGCGTTTTTTGGACGATTTTTTAGTTGCTTTTGAATCCTCATTTTCTGATATTGGTAATACTTCTGTTAGGTTTTCTTCGTCTGGTGAAATCCTTAGCGAATCGATTTCTTCTTCATTTCTTCCTTTTTGTTTTCTCTTCTTTTTTCGTTTTTTCTTTCCAAAGTCAATTTGGAATTCCGGAGATGTTTCATCAACGGTTGTTCTCTGATCGGCTTCATATCCATCACTTACATCAGGATCTTCCTGAGGGCTTAAATTAGTATCTGACTCAGCGACTTCACTAACATCTTTTACGGTGGCACTTTGAGAAGGTATATCACTTTGAATGTTACTAGTCAACGCTTTAGAATCAAGTAATTTTTTATCAGCACTTCGTTTCTCTTCTTGATTTTCTTTTTCAACCGTAAGATCCAAAACATTACCCACTACTGGAGATTGAACATCACTTATTTGAGTAATTTTATCATTGATGACTTCAACGTTTTCCGTTGTCGGAGGCAAAATAATGCTTACTTTATCTTCTTGAATTTTCATTCCACTAACCATTGGCTGTTCTATATGAGATTGCACTGAAACTACCGGTCCATCGCGAGGTTTTTCTCTGTCATGAATCGATAAAGCGATATCCACTTTTTGAATCAATTCTACGGCCGCATGTACAGGCTCGGGTCTCACACTAACTTTAATTTTATCGTCACATGATTGATTCTCTTGGTGACCTTCTCTTTCTCGTTGTATGAAACTATCTGTCTCTGTTTTAATTATATGGGGTGTTAAATTTTCAATTTTCTTTTGACTGACTGAATGAGTTGGGTGTAGCATTTCAGTTGTACCTAACTGAGAATGGTCACCAATATCTACAGTGCGGTTATCAATAGAATCAGCGTGCGGCTCTATATCTACAGTGCCGGCTGCGAGGCCAATATCATGTGTTTGGGTATGTGAACCAATAGATGGGTCTTCAAACTTACAGATCGGTTTTATTAATGGTGGAATATCTTCGACACTTAATGAATCAATCGACGACATATCTTTAGCCGTGGATTCTGTTTCTTCTACTGGAATCTGTAAAATATTATGCATTTTAGGGTACTTTCAAACTAATATTTAATTAAATAAATTAAAACAACTTTACCTCGTGTGCTTTGTATTCTAAGTCATGTTTTTCTTTCAATGACTGATCATGCTTTTTATCATTAGTTTGATATTGAGGTGCTAAGGAAGAAGATTCAACGTGTAAACTTCCTTTAGGTTCAGAAAAATCAACAACATCGACTGTATACGTTCTATCAGATTTCAAAGAACTTTCACGAGAACTTGGTATTTCTTCCACCTTTTCCAGAGCAGATTGAATATCTTGTACTGTGAATTTTGCTGCTGTTTTGTTTTCGATATTCGGAGAGGATTTTTCTAGACTCATGGTCGAGCTAAGTATTGGAATATGTTTTTCTGTGAAAGATGTTGTAGGTTTACGCTGACTACTTTTCGCAGCAGTTGATACATCTTGATTCAATATATGAGTTCCTTGCTTCTGATTTTTGCTCGAGGTCGAAGGTAGCGAAGATGATGTTTGTGTATCCACTTGCACTTTTACTACATGTTCCTTTTCTAACGGCTGGCCATCGATTTTCTTATAAACACTTTCAAACTTACCTTGATCGTCAGTTTTTATAACATTTATACTAATGTGTGGTATATCCTGCTCGTTTATTTCTACTTCTTCAGGATCTTCAACGATCTCTTCACTCATCACCTCTTTTCCATCAATTATGGTAACTTTTCGTATAATCCGACGCGTTTTTCTAATGATTTTTCTCGACACTTGCTGCACTACTGCATGAACGGTGGAAGACGAAGATTTATATTCTCCATCCTCCATAAGTGCCTCGCTTATATCAGCTGGCTGTGGACTGAATGCAGCCAAATCGCCGCCATGGATTATTCGCTGCGTAAATTGAGGCGTAGTCTCGTACTCTTCGACATTCATCTGATCACCCGGTGTTCCAGTGGTAACTTTACCACCGTAAGTTTGTTTCGTAGCCATTTCGATCGTGCCATCCGATTTTGTTTTTGTAACAGTCAGTTGCTGGCCCTTCATGGTGGCCTCAGAAAATGCTTGAATCACCGGTGGCCCGTCGCCGACCGTCGACGAAAGTTCGGCAACATGTTGCTGCAACGTTTGCCGGTTCGTTACGAGCGTCCTACGAAGCCTGCGGACGATTATGCGCTTCGTTCCGTCACTGTCGACAACGACTTCCGTGGTAACGTCGTCTGGTTCCATGAGTACTGTTTCAAACGACTGAGGGGTGGCGTGTTGTATATTTAGCTCTGATGTAACGTTTTCTTGTTGCAAAGCATCTTGATATCTCATATCAACGATAATATCGTCGGGATTCGCGACGCTAAGCTCATGATGATCGTGATCTTGAACTACGGGTACAGAAATATTTTTAGTGGCGATTTCTATTATTTCATGCTTACCGTCGGAGCTCTTAACGACTTTAATTGACTCTTGTGCATGTGGATTTTCGATAGTTTGAGTATCGATCGTAAAGTTTTCACTATTTACTGGTTGACATATGGATACGGAGGGATCAATTTCTCTCTTGTTCGCGTCAAGAACTGCTTCGCCGGACAGTTCGTCGTCTTGAATTAAACTGAGGCCAGTTTGCAAAGATACATCTGCTAACGAGGGTGATGAATGGTTCGGAGAAGAAATATTTGACGCGCACTGTTCTAGCGCGGCGTCGATACTGTCCGATGCTGTGATTTGAGCCTTTGGCTCATTTTCTTGTAGCATTAGCTGAAAAAAGATCATTAAGTCTTAGATGCATAGATCCGATGTGCAGAAATGCATGCCGTCGGTTTAAAATTAGCAATGAAAATAGACGAGGTTGTGTGACGATTACTTCGCAAACGAGAAGTTTAAATTTAGAAGCTTTTGGTGACTGATTTGTATTTTGAAGGTTTTTAACGCTTAATTGCATCATGCACAACTTTGAACGGTTTTACCAATATCAGGTATAAGCATTGTCAAGAAGAGTTATGTCATTTTTTAATTTGAAAATAAATGATATGTTATACAAAATTTTAAATTTGCACAATACTTCATTGTTTTTATGATTTATTAGAATTTGTTATGATTTAACGGAGCATCACAACTGCTTGGATGAAATTACATCTTGCATGCGAAAATTAATAAAAATATATAAATCAAAAAAATATGAATTTAAGAACTCATAAATTTTTAGTAGTATTCATTTCTTTGGCATGATAATTGGGTATGAAGAAAGATTTAAAGAATGAGATTTTTAGAAGCAAAAGAAATTAAATTTTTAATGATTTTATCATTAAATTCTTACAGAGTATAGCCATGAGACAATTAGAGAATGATTTCTTGTATATTATTGCAATTTAAAATACAAATTAATGATGAAACTTATAAATAGAAGAAGTAAATACTACAACTAATTGCTTTCTTTCAATAGAGAATACATCTACATAGATTTTTCCTTATATGAATAGATGAAAGTATAAATAATTACAAAATTTACCTGTACGAAAAGTTTACATATCGTAGTTTAACTAAAAGAATATTACTTTGTGCTTTGATGAAAATATTGAAAGTACATCAAAAGAATGCAGTGCTAAAAGAACATGAATGTTGATAATAAATATGCATAAAGTAAAAATGTCAACACAGTTCGATACAGATTTGAAACTTTCATTTGTATGCTATACTGGAAAAATGTTCAGAATGAAGTATAAGTTAAATCTGTACCGTGTTATGTTGAATTTTTGAGTTTAAATGATTGCATGAAGAATGATACACAGATAAGCTTATAATATAGCAAATAAGATGACTTAACAATGTAAATGATTAGGCCTGCCCCTTCACCATATTACGAAAAATTATAGGATTACATGATTCCAAATTTTTGTATGATGAGTATACCTGTTGCTTGTCTATCAGGTTTTCGACTTCAAGAAGATCTGCCTTCAGTTTTTCAACTTGATCACAAATTTCGGGTATGGATTCCAGTTCAGTAAGATGCTGTAGCCGGGAAGAAACTTCTTCTTTCATTACCTGAGAACAAAGTAATTCAAATTTTAACTTACATTTAGAATGTCGATTAAAAATTATCTTGGTTTAAAAATATACATTTTTTTTCTTTTAATGTTACTTCACAAATGAATTAAATTAAAAGTATCAAAATATAAGAAACCTGATGATTATAGGTAGCGTTGCCGTCATTTATCATTGATAAAACATGTTTTATCCAGGCTTCGATTTCCTCGAAAGAAAGTTGATGAGCTTCTATTTCTTGTTTCCGTTTTGCTTGTGATTCACGAGTTTCTTCAAGTTTTATTTGTATTTTTTCGGCTTGCGATAACAATAGAGCTAGATTTTTCCGTACATCGCCAATTGAGTTTTGAAGATACTTTACTTCCATGTCTTGCGGGATACGGTTCAATTCATTGTTAATTCTTCTAGCTTCCTGGCAATAATACCGCAAATCAGCGAGTATAGTCTAAAACAAGAAACCACCCATATTATTATTGTAGGAAAAGTTACTCAAATGGCTCATTCGATTTTCAAAATACATTATTCCGTATTTTTTAGGTAAAAGTTACTAACCGCCAGTGAGCTTAACATGGTTTGCAAATCGTCACGTGGTAAAGTACGTAGAGCTCCTTCTAATTGTGCAAGTGCTAATTGTAGGTCATCGATATTATGTTTCATTTTTTCCTGTAAAAATGAAAAAAAAGGTTATTGAAATTCATTAATTTATTCTAATAACATTTTTCATTGTCATTTTATTGTTTGTTAACAAAAAAATTTTTTTTTCACAAGCTTTAATAAAAAAGAATTCATTTCTGTTCTTTTTTGCAATCAAATATGGAATGGATTAATGTTTAATGTGTCAGATCGAATAATTATAATTTAATTTTTGAACACTCAAAAAACTCGTCAAAATAGGGTTTAAGAAATTCTCAAACTTTTTTAATACCATCTATTTAGTATTGGTTAAAAAAATGTCACGCATGGTCAAATTTAAATTCAAAGCAAATTAATTTTATAATAGAAAATAAATTATTGTTACCTTATAAATTTTAGATTAAGTTTTTTAGATGTAAAATATTTACTTGAGTTAGTATAACAAAAAGATAAAAAAGTTTATATAAACCTGTTGTAATACATAATTACAATGATTATATTATGATAAACATTTAATTCCTATATTTAAGAATCTCATACATACTATATATAATATAATATAATATACAATAAATGATTTAATTACAACTATTTAAAATCTAGTTCTCCAAGTGTCATAATAAATGGATAATGATCTACTGTAATTCGAACTAAAGAAAATAAATATTCTAAATTATTGTTAGTTGATTGTAAGCGATGAAAACCATAAGCATTAGGTCTGCTTCAGCTTTTTTTCATTGAACACTTTTCAATACCAGCCTGATATTGTTTTTGTTAATGTACTTATAAATAAAAATTTAATTCACGAGTTAATTATTAAACTTTTAAATTCAAGCCACTTTCGTAAAACTTGAATTTGAACATCAATTGATAACACGTTGAAAACTCTGTCAAAAATCTTACGCATTGTTATGTGAAAAAATAGCGACAACACATGAGAATTTTTCTTTTCGTATTCGCACCTTATTAATTACAGAACTTTTTTCCGCAACCTCCACCAGATAGTTATGTGATTCCGTATTTTTTATCATATTCTCCATCATGTTAGAATCGCTGGACATTTCACCTATATTTGTAGAATACGTAGGATAGGAATCGGATTGGATAAGGAGAGAACTATTTCCGTAACTAATTGAATCATTGATATTTTGCTTATTCTGTTCGTCATATAATGTAATACCTGATCTCAAAGATAAGTATGTACTATCATCGTTCCAACTACCTAACCCTCCAGGTAAATCGGCGACTAAGCGTTCTGTTTTAGGGTTTTTTTTATTTGAATTTGATTTATTGTGATCAAGGGGTTTTTTCGTATCTTTATCTTTACCCGAATTATTATCTGGATCATCTTTTTTATTTTGATTATTTTTACTAACTGAACTAGTATCCGATTTTTCTTTGCTTTCTAAAGCAAGAATTTCAAAAAAATTTCTTTCTGCTTCATGATATTCATGCTTTTCTGGCCAAAAAGAATTATCTTCTAGTACAGAAATTGCCAGATAATCAATTGAGTCGAGTTCGGGATCCGTTGAAATGTTCGATGGAATTTCTTTTTGAGCGTTTTCATCGGACAAGGCAATTATTTCGTCATTAATATAAAAAGTTACTTTAGGTTTTGACGGTTTAGTACATGTTTGATTTTTTTTCTGAATACTGACAGTCGAATCGTTTTCATTTTCTTGGCGAATACATTTTTTTAGATTACCTGCTACTATTTTTGGTGATTGTTTCAAATCAAAAGCCCTCTCTGGTAAAATTGTTTCCGTATCTTCCGTGACATCAATCTGCTCTACATAATTATCGTTTTTTGGTTCAATGGGATTTAAATTTTGTTCTGATTGATCAGTAATACTCATATGCATCTGACCTTGATCAACAATATTATGATCGATTACGGTGCTTTCTCCTGGGTTTTCGTTTTCCATTGGTTTTTGGGAATTTTTATTATGCCTTTTACGCGATTTTTTCTTTAAATTTATTTCTTTTTCTTGTTTATCAGTACAGTTATCATCGCTTTTCTGAGGTTCAATTATCTCTTCAGTTTTTTCTTCATTTTTTTGCTGAGATTCAGCTAAAGATTCCAACGGGTTTTCTATGACTTTTTTTGATCCAGCCTCTTCATTAAAATCATCTTTCAAAGTAAAAGCGCTCTCCAAATCGAATTTTTCAATATTTTTATCCAATTTATTTTCTATTTTTGGATCAAAAGTAGTCAACTTTTTTGTATTAATTGAGGCACAGCTATCAATTATCTCATTTGTTGGCTTTTCCCACATAGTTTTATCAGCAATTCCTGCTTCTTTCATAATCGATGCCCATAGATTTTTATCTTGTCTAGCTTTTTGCTCCCACGATTTTAATTCTCTATCTAAGTCTGGATTTTTTTTAAAATCATCTTCATAATGTTTACGTATTTTTTTTAAATATTCCTTATACTCCGCATCCATCTTAGCTTTTTGCTTTTTCTTTCCTTCAATTAACCATGGTCTATTTGCAAACTGGGGCGCATCGAGAAGCATGGTGTTATTTTTTACTATATAATCATATTCCTCTTGTTCTTCAGGAGTAAGATCAGCATTCCAAGGGTGATTTTCAACAAATTGTCTCACAAAGTCTCCGGAAATTTCTTCTGTGGGTTTCAAATTTCTTACTTTGCTTTTATTATTTTCGCAGATATCGTCGTACTGGAAAAGATGATCGTCCGGTAACTTAATTTCTTTACCATCTTTGTGATCCCAAAATTTCTGCGTCCATTCAGTTTCTTCTTTTGCAAATCTAGTTTCATAATCATCAAAACATGGTTTTACTGTAGTTAAATCAATTTCATCATAAATACATTTTTGTTTTTTGGGCGAATCTTCATCACTCATATTGCCATTTATCGTTCTTTTTTCAAGTGATTTTGTAGTTTTTTTAATAGTTCCGGTGACTGGCTCAGCTTTTAATTTTGGTTCAGTAATTTTATTACTTTCTTCAATTTCCGATCTTTGTTCTTGTTTGGATAATTCTGATTGTTTTCTCTCTAAAACGTTTGATTTTGATTCTTCTATCGGTTTCGTTGTAGCAATATCCTCTTTACTTCCAGATTCATGGTCATTATCTGATGCAATACGTTCTCTTAAGGAGTTGATTAATGATTCATCAGACTTCAATTGAATGTCGTTCTGTGGTTTTTTATCCAGATCTTTAGCAATGTCAGGACTTTTATTTGATTTCATTTTTGATTCTACAACAATTTGCTCAATATTCGCTTTTGCCTCGAAAGTTTCATTTTTCATAATGTTTTGAGGTTCTAAAACTTTTGATATTATTTTATAGAATGTGTATAGATTTTTTTCAGCTTCTTCGTGACAGTGGTAATCATACTCGTATAACTTAGGCGTTTCATTCATCAGTGGATCAAAGTAAAAATTTTCATTTTCTAAATTTTCCATTTCGCTACTTCTTTTCTTGTTTTTTGTGTCCTTTTCATTGTTATCCATTTGCAAATCAATGCATTTTTTTCTATTTCGAACACTTCCAAATAATGGAGGTTCATCATTCGATTCTTTTTCAGTTGATGCAATAGATTCTTGATTGCGGTTTTTATCAATTGATTCAAATTTTATTTCGGTTGGCTCATTAGGTTTTTGATTAGATCCACTGCTTATGTTTTTTATGGTTAAGTCGCTTTGAGAATCAGGTTTTCGATTAAGTTCACAATTCTCTTCTACAATTATACTTGATGGCGCATCAGAAATTTGACTAGATTCTATGTTTTCAATTTCCGATTCAGGACCAATTTCAGAATCTTGTCGTGTGCTGGAACTATCTTCACATTGATTAATTGATTCTCTAATTATTACATTGCAAATTTCTGATTCATTATCTTTTAATTTTGTATCGGATACAACACTGTGTCCTGACGTATTATCGTTTTCTATTAATTGATTATTTTCTATTATGTTTTTTTGATCAAAAATAAGATCCTCTTGCAATTTTTCAGAAAAATACTCTAGAGGTTGGTTATCTAAAACAGATCCGACTTTATGTTTTAATTTGGTTTTCGAAGGAGTTTGAATTTGTTTAAAGTCGTCAGTTTCAACTTTTTTCTCGTCAGTAAACGTAACATTTTTATCATCATTTAAAACTATTTCTGTATTTGGTAAATCTAGCTTTTCAATTACTTCGTGAGTACTGCCATCCTCTTTATGTAATATTTTTTCTGGTTTTAGTGAAACAGAAGTTTTAATAGGAGTTTTAGAGTCAACCTTCATGCTGGCATCTTTAGATTCTGTAGTTACAGATGAGTTACCAGCAGCACTTTTCTTTTGACGAGTATTTTTGGATAATTTTGAACTTGACTGGAGCTTTACATCTTCATTTTTAGATTTAATTGAAGTTTGTTGGATGCTGCTCTCACTGGATTGATTTTTTTGGCTACTGACAATTGATTTTTTTGCTCCATTAGAACAGCATAAATTATCACTAGTTTGGTGCTCTGGTTTTACTTTATTACCTAACTGCGATATTGGTTTTTTTGAAACTTTTACGTTAGTTATATCAGGTACACGACTTGAACTTGGTTTTGATTGATTTTCTTTTGTAGATTTATGCTTTTGTTTTTCCATCATTTCGATTTCTTTCAAGGCTTTATCAATTTCATCGATATTTTTCTTATTACTTTGTTTCTTCTTTTCATTGGCATCTTTTCTTTTTTGTTGGGTTGAAAAAGATGTAGTTTTTATTGGATTAGATTCCTTGGATGGTTTTTCTCCACCTGTACGATCTTGTTTCGGCGGTTTTATAGGTTCGTCTTTTGATTGAGTAATTGCTTTTCTTTTTTCTGAAATTTCAGATTGAATTGGTTGTATCTTTTCTGGCAAATTCGAAGAATTTTTCGGCTTATTGGGATTTATATTTTTTCGAATATTTAGTTTTGAACTTTGATCAATTTTTTTATCAATTTTCGGTTGTATGACTGAACTTTGTTTTTGTTTATCATCTTTCTTTTTAACTGAGTCCCAACTTTTTGTTTCTTCCTTTTTCTTGTCATATTTTTTTGAAGAATTAGAAGGGCCAACTTTAGTTACAACGGTACTTTTACTTATGTCACTTTTTAATTTTGCAGCTGTGTCGATTTGGATTTGATCTTTTTCCGTGACTGAATTGTCTTGAATGACCTTTGGTGGTAAACCTTGCGAAAGCATTTGAGCATATGATTTTGATGAGCTTTCAGAATCTTTTAGTATTTCGGATGAAATTTGTTTTTCAGATTCAAATTTTTTTTCCATAACTGTTGGAGTAAGTTTTATATCATCAGCCAAATGAGCTTTTGAAGTTGTTTGAGAAAAAGTATCAGAATTTTCAAAACCACTTTCAACATTTGCTATTATCGGAGTTTGAATAGTTTTTAACGTTGAAAGATCTCTTGACATATTCAGAGTTTGAGGTGTACAATTTTTTATGAATGAATCATCAGGTTTGACAGAAGGTGGAAAACTGCACTCAATTGGCTGATTAAATTCACTTGATGGTGCACTTTCGATAGAAGGATTCAACAAAAAATTATTAGTTGAATTAATTAAGCTAGCTATTGTTGACATAGGCTGCGGGGAAGAAATTTGTTCATCGTGAGAAGCGCGTTCTTCAGAAAACTCATTTATCTCTTCGAAATCCTCTAATGGCTCATCAGCCCAGCTCAGTATAGGTTTTTCTGTAATATTTGTGTTTTCTGCTTTCTTTTCAGATGAACGTAATTTTTCTGCAGAGCTAGAATCTCCCATACAAATAGCAGCCTCATTTAGGTCAAGATCTTTGGTTCTTCTATTAGGTGATATAGAAGCACCTCTTAAAGTAAAATATTTGTTACTTAAACGATAAGGCATTATATCATCATCTCCACGACTACTGACCGATGAGGCTCTTGAAGAGGGTTTCCTCAACATTTCCGCATAAGAAGTTGATCCTGGAGTCCACATTGGGCTTTGTGATCTACTTGGTTTATTTTCAGTGGGTATTAACAATTGTTTCCCCAAATTTGTTTTTTGAGGATTATTTGTGTTTGAAGAATGAATGTATTCTACGGCACTTCCTTCAACGCAAAGAGTAGGGATGGAAGCTCCACTATCATCGGTCTTTTTAGAAGTCTTAAATATCGGTGGTTTTTTTGTAGGTGATCTACCTCTACGTACGGCTGCTTCAGATTTTGGTTTAATTGATGTTTTCATAGTTCCGATATCTTTCATTTTTGTTCTATCAATAGATGCTTTTGACTCAATACTTTTCATGATATTCATTTTCGAAGGAAGTATTTCTCCTCTCGATTTATCAAGAGGACTAAGATGTCGAGAGCTGGATCGTGATCTTCCTGCAGCAATGTCAGCATAAGAAATCGTACCAACTTGTAGTTGGCTTGATTCTTTGTTTGGTGGAGAATAGTTTGGATCCACTGAATGAATTTGACGGTCCAATGATCGTGTTCGCTCTTTCCATCCCTCCAATTTCATCAGTAAGGCCTGCTTGCAAAATGTAATTGCCAGGAGAACTAATTTCTTTGCAGATGATTAAAAATTGTTCGGCGAAATGGGCATTTATTAATTTTAAGATGTTAAGCATCGTAAGCACTTTTAATGATTTTAAATTTTCATGCTGGAGTTTGAAGATATAGATTTAGAATTTTATCTGTGAAACACAAGCTAGTGTTTAGCTGCATGTTTCTTAATGCATAAGAATTTTGTTTATTATTGTTTTTTGTTTAAATTCGTCGGTAGCTTAGTCCTAATGCTCGACTGCATATATTGTATAAATTAAACAAAAAAAAACATAATTTTCAATGTATTGCTCTTTATTTTTCTAGTTATTTAAGTCGGTATTGGAAAAGTACAATACATAACATTATTACAAATGTGATTAACCTTATTTGAAAAGATAACAGCTATATAAAATATGTTACGATAGACTAAATGAATCTTTGGTAACAACATTATTTGATTCGAAAATATTACGTTAAAGCGAGGAACTCAAACGCCAAATTAAAAATGTATCAATAGATCTCAAATAAAAAGCTACGAAAGATTTTTAAATTGTTTAAAATTCACAAAACTACGCATTAAAAATGTCATATAAATTTATATAAGTTTAAACGCCTCAGGAATGCAACGAGTATTCCATTCGAAAGAGTTTCCTGCATAATTTTTACTTAAAATACAAAGATTATACGGTATATATATTTTTAACAAGGCATGCCTATCGTCATACCAAATCACATTTCATTGAACTTGATAATTTTTAAAAAAGTTTAGATTCTACTATGGTTCTAATAGTTCTGCATCTGGCGTGCCACGTTGAAGTAATAATTTAGATCTTTCGGAGCGAGCCTGAATTTTACTTTGAAGCGATTTGATACGTTCCTGATAGGTCTATGTAAGAATTAATAACGAGAAAATTGAGCAATACATTTGAAAATATTCAGTCATAAACATTTATAAAAAAATTAATTAAAATGACGAACAGAATACCATATGATAACGTTGATTTTCAAAAAAAGTAATGAAATAAGAATTGATGTGTGAGGAATAATGTTTAGGATTTGAAAAGGGATGCAACAAAAAATAAATAAATAAGAGCTTAGTCGATTTCCAAAATAGGTATATGAATTTCACTTAATTATGATATTTTACTGTAAGCCACTTTACAGTGAATTTCTCACGTATAGTCTGAATATTTCATGTGAGAGATTATAATTATTTTAATTCGATTTAGCTTCTGGTAAAAATGCTTTATCCTTTAACTTTTTAATAAAAAATATACTTTTTATAACGACACCGCATAAATTTAAATAATACTTCTATATACTTTTAGTAAGAACACGAATGAAACGAAATCAAATTAAAAATACCTATGATAATGATTTCAATGATTAATTATAACACATGTAATCACCCAAATACCCTAAAAAACAGTCTATATATTTAACCAGTACCCACAAAGCGTTGAAGATTCTATATTGCATGTTTCAGGTTATTACATGAGAACATTTAGCGTTTAAAAAATAGTGTTTGTTGTGTATTTAGTTTTGCAGCTTTGTACTTTACATCTATTTTTCGAAAAAAATATAATAAAAGAATGTATACGCTACAATAATTATAAAATGAATTTAAAATTACATAAAATACTCAAAATATTGTGATATATAAAATATGTCGTCGATTCTTCTATCTATGTGCAAATTAATAGCTGCCCTTTAGCGCACAGTACATTGAATAAAAAAATAATACGGTGAAAAATAAAAAAACCTACCTGTTGTTCTTGTTGTGCCTTTTCTCTGTCATTAGGAGAATAAGTCGGACTCAAAACAGTCCGCAGTTGCTGTTCAACTTGAACAATTTGTTGTCTTAATTGTTGTATTTCCTGAAAAACGCAATAATTTTCGTAGTGGTATAGTGTTCGGATTTATTTCGTGCAACGTTCAGATTTCAATTTCTAATAGTTGCTGCTGTTGTTCTAATTATATTCAAGCTCAAACTAATTTGTACTTAAAAAGAAAAAGTATTAAATTTAATATTTTCCCTAACCTGATGGTATTTATCAAGCTGCGCAAGGCAAGCTTCGAGAGAAGCAGTTTGCTCTTTGACCGTCTCGTTCAGCACGTTGAGCTCGGCTACAATTTCGTCGGCGCTCTCGACGACTCTACTGTCACCACCGATTCCAGATCGGAAGTGTACCTGCAATTTTTCAACGCTCATCGATACTTTGGTCTTTTGTATCGTCACGTCGCTCAACATTTTTTCGCGTATCGCATGCTGATCCCTCAACGGTTTCTTTTTGTTTTGCGCCGAATCAAGGCTCTGTCGAGCCTTGTCCAACCAAACTTTGACTTCCTTCATTTTGCGTTCGCACTGTTCCCATTCTTCGCTCGTTTCTTGCAACAATGCGTTCTGTAAAATTAACAAGTTGCCGAAATCTTACTTTTTGTTTTCTTTGTTTTTCGTTTAATTGTTATGTTCTTCAACTGACCCTTTCAAGAAGATGCCCTTCAACCTCGACTTTGGCCTCTTCGACTTCGGTTAGTCTATGAGGTAAATCGCCTACACTTGTGACTTGGCCAATGCTCTCTAATTCACGGCCCATGTCACTAAGATTTTTGTTGACTTGTTTGCAACTTTTGACAGCGGTCTAAGAATATTACATGGTTTATTACATCTCAATAACTTGATTATTTGATAAAAATAAAATATATTTGATGCAGCAATAGCAAAACATTTGTATTGCAACTGCTGCATCAAATTTTTACTAAAAAAAACTTGCGCGAAACCTACCGCATACTCGTGTAATTTTTGTCGCGCCTGACTCAGACTGCTAAGTCTCAAAGGCTCCTGTAAAAATACTCTTTTCTCCGCAGTCCAAGCTTTTACTGCTTCGAGCAGAGTCAAGAATCTCTGCCAAGCGTCGAGCGTATCGCCTACTTGTTGTTTCTTTTCATCTAACCACGATTTGACTTGAGCCAGTTGTTCTGTAACGCCGGCGATGGTAGTAGTGATTCTCTGCTTTTCCTCCTCGTCCTTGTTATTATCTACAATGGTCTTTCCGTTCTTGGTCATACGCTCGAGCTTATCCGTGATAGGTGGTAGCTCAGACTGTATTTGCCTGAGGTGCTCCATCATCTTACTCGGTTCACAGGATCTATCTTGAACTTTGAGCTCGGCCTCGCGTAGCCACTTTTGTAGCTCGTCGGCATCGGCCAAATAGTCCGTACGCGTGGTTTTGGCTCGCTTCTGCGCCCGTTGCTTCTCCTCCATGGCTTGGCTGGTGTCCTCGGCTCTCAGCTCAAAGGCTGCCAATTTCTGGCCAAGATCGATTGGTATGAGCTGCTGGCTGTTCTGGTAGCGGGTCTTGGTGTCTTCTGAAATGCGCCGAAGAGCCTCGAGCTCCGAGTCAAGTTCGCGGCCGATATCGCTGAGTTCGCGCTCGACCGCTTCCTGATTCGAGTCGTAAACGTGCACCGACGTGATGCGCTCCAAAATCGATTCGAGGCACTCGCGGTGTTGATCTAAGGCCTCGTCCACACGACGTAAACTTTGTAAATCTTCCTTCGATTCTTCGGACTTGGATTGCAGTAAATCGACGAGCCTGGAAGTTTCATTAGTCTTGAATAGTAAGCGGTGTTCCGGATGCAATTTTCGATGAATGAGTTTATAGATTTTAGTACACGATTAGATTGATCACTAAATTACTTTTTTTATGCGATTGAGAAGTAACTGAAATTTGACTTCTAAACATGTTCCGTAACAATGTTTGAGCTTGTCGATACCTCATGCGAATAGTGAAGCTTTTCAAAGACTGAACAAAATATGTTACGGACTGTATGAGCATAAGTTACTTTTAGAAATGGAAGTTCATATTACACCACAGATAGGTCATTTACTTGATGTTTTATTTAAACGCGAAGAAATCGGTTTGACATACATCTTTTGTCTGTGATGTCCAGTAGTAATAATAAATTTTCAATAATAAGAAAAACTCTACCCGAAATTTTTACTCGAAGTAAGATCATGGACATCTCGAAAACACGTGCAAGCATTATCGTTAGGCTTTAAATTGTATAGAAGGTGTGATGTAAAGCGTGTCATCAATAATGCGAATGATCGAAATGTAAATTGAGTGTGCTTTTTTACAAATCGTCTCTTCACGCGCGTGACATCATCGCACGCATAAGAAACTATAATAACTGACAAATAAACATTCTAAATTTATGACCGGAGTGAACTAAGGAAAATGTTTGCCTCAAAAGCTTGTAAAAGCTTTCACATCGGGCCTTTCAAAACTATGATGATTAAAACAAACCGATGTCAATGTCAAATTTCAAATGTGTAATAAGTTGTTTGACGAATACGCTGACATCACTTGCTCTCGAATGCCAAGTTAAACGCGAATGAAAAATATTGTTAATAACGACCGATGTTATCGTATAGTTATTATATTAGCCGTAATTTTTTGATGAGTTAGCGCACGGGTTCGAAACGCAGCGAGCTATATGCACCTTGAGCACATTTATAGACGTCCGACATTCCAGCGCAAGAAATACGCTAGAAGATGTTACAAACTTTATGAACTCAAATCTACATGTAGTTTTCGCGTATAAACTAGAAATTTGCACTGGTTTAGTTGTATCGTTGCTCAAACGTTTGTTCAGTGTAAAAATAGATTGACGCTTCGCTTTTTGTTTCCGAACGTGTTATGTGTACCTTTGTCGCGAGTGTGGCTGTTTATTGTTTATCTCACCTGTTTTTGCTTTTTACCGATCGTAAACTTTGAAAAATAAAAGTTATCGAGAAGCGGAAAGAAGCGCGTGGCACTGCGTCAACGAGGATACAATGAAAAGCTCAACTTGAAAATGCAATAAGCGAGTCGAGTACCGAGCGGGAGAAAGAGTGAGAGTGCAAGAAAGTTGCCGGGCAGCCGCAGCCGCCGCCGCAGTCGAGTATTGGACGATACATAAACCTCCCCGCAGTCGTCGTCGTCGTCGGCGGCGTCGACGATCCCGCCATCGCGACGTGCATCCTAAGAATAACATCTCGTGCAGAATCTCGCCGTTTTGCTCTTATGCACCCCGAGAGAGAGAGAGAGAGAGAGAGAGAGAAAGAGAAAAAGAGAGTTCTATCTTCGTCTGTGCGGCTAGCGAGTGCTCTGAGTAATTCTATAACTGATTTCGCGCGAGTGCGATGCTTTTAGAGGCGCGCTTAACCGCGAGCTCTGAGGTTTTTCCCTTTGACTTTTTATTGTTATCGTTGTGTACGCACGAGAGTGCTAGACTTCAAAACCGCTAGTCGACTCGTTGTTTTAATTTTACATCGTGAGCGATGATTGCACTGAAATCTCGAGTCTTATTCTTGTATCATTATTTCAAGCGATCATAAGATTTATAAATATTACAATATTCTTGCGAAGTTAATTTTTTACAATTTTTACAAAATCTATTTTTTTTTTTTTTTTGAATGAATAACTTTTTCTGTATTTCTCATTGACGTGGGTCCAACGTAAAAAAAGTTTCAAATACACAACCGTTATATAGCGTTGCTAATAGCAATCGGTCAAACAATGGAGTTGTTTACTTGTAGCAGGTGCTAAATACTGTAGACTCGCAAAAAAATTTCCGCTTTTATCATTCTGTTATGTTCGATAAGTTAATTTTTTAAAACGATGTGCAGTCAAAATGAATTCAAAATTTGTCTTTTAATTAATCAATTCAAATACATATAAAATTATTCATTCAAAATATTCGCATAAAATAAAAAAAATCCTAAGTTAATTTAAAAATTTAATATAAATAATAATATAATAATTATGAATCTCACTTAGAAATGTGCAAAATATTTTCAACTGAACATGATTTTACACTTCACTTTCACTAGATAATTATTTCATAAAAATTTTCCTAACAGTACCTGAGTAAATGAGCAGTGAAAATTTTAATTCTGACATGTTTTTTATCGCTACATTCACCAAAACTTCACTGAATTATTTATTCAAACAATTATCTTCCATCAAATTAATTTGAAACTATCAATAAATATCTATTCAAAACTTTTTTCCTCTTCGCACGAATATATGACCATACTCGACTTGAGTATGAAAGCAAACTAAATAAGCAGAAAGAGTTAGCATATATATTGTGATATAAACAACGAGCACGCGAGCTCGATGCGCCTAGCCGGCGGCGGTATCCCCTCGCAAAGAAATCGGTTTTAGGGGGAACTAACTTATAATGATTCCTTCTTATGTATATCGAAGAGTTTATGTCGTTACGTCATACGCACAGATCTGACAAATGACGCATCTTCAACGTGCTTGACTCTTGAGATATGTTACGAATCCTTTCTGGATGATACCAAATTCAAAAGTACACTATTTTCTTGTGGCCTTTCTGTGTATGGGTAACTTTATCAAATTCATAGTTATTTAAATAAATGTTAAAAATAACAAAGTAACAAGAAACAACGAATTATTTAAACGAATTTCACATTACTATGATGTCATTGTCGATTGATTAATGAATTTAAGATTTCATTTACATAGTTACATTGTAGTTACGAAGGACACAACATTTAACATGTAATTACGTTGACTTTTTCAGAAGACACTTGAATTAATCTTGTTCGAGTACATAATTCTACTATACATAAATAATATGCGGGGCACACGTTTATGTCAAACTGAAATTTCATCAGTATATCAAATTGAGCAATACTACTCCATTCACAGCAATATTCTATTATTTGGATTACCATTTTATGAGTACTATTTTTATAAATATTTATTGACTATATATAATAATATTACGTAAAAGGACAATTAAAAATTTATGTTAATAAAATTGTCAAAAAAATTAACATCAAAATAATTGGGGGGTACATTCAATATTTTCGAGCAACATGCACATGCAAAATTATCAATCATTCTGGAATAGTATTGAATTTATAATTTTGAAAGTTTTTGTAATTTCATTAAAATATTCACCGATGAATTTTGTCAGTTTTATATTTGAATAAAATAAAAACTAATGCTTCTCAAATCTCTTATATTTTTTCAAGTAAAAACTGTTTAGTTTAAAATTCTTTTGCATTAAAAAAAGTCTTTGGTATTTTGGCATAGAATAATTAATTTGAAAAAATAACTCTACGAAAGGGCAAATACGCCCGTAAATTTCACCGGTCTGTAATTTTGTGAATCAATCTAACGATAATAGCTTACGATTCAATTTAATTGTGACTATGCAATTTGAATAATATATTCAAATCCGCATAGTACGAACGATTCGCGTGATAATGAAATTGATTTTTATGTAATAAAAATGAAAACAAACGGTACTTACTTGTCGACGGCAGAGCTAAGTTTATCGATTCGCTCCTCGAGAGCACGTGCAGGTTTTTCGGTAAAAGCTGCCAAGTACGAAAGAACCGGTCCTGCCAAATCTCTTACCTCTTGGGCGTCCGATCTTAACGTTTCAGCTTCCGATGTTAATTCCTGAGAAAATCAGACCAATCATTATTAGTTCATAATAGTCATCCGCATTACATCAATAGTTTGAAAGGGAAAATCAAGCCCTCGATACTCACGTTAAGTGCTTTAATAGTATCCAATAGATGCTGTTTCGATCGTACGACTGTATCGACGAGTTTGCCACGCTCGTCGATCGCAGTGAGCTTCGTCTCTGTGCTTGACCATTTAGCTTCGAGCTCTTCCCAGTGTTTGGATAAAGCTTCGAGAGCATTTTTACGAGTTTCAAGACCCGAGACCAACTGTTGCCACTCGTTACTTATTTCTTCGAGCTGTTTCTCAATGCGCCTTTTATTGGCATCATCTGCTTGTTGGATTATTTCTTTGCTACGTTCGTTGTAAAGGTCAAGCTCGTAATGTTGATTCTGTAAAAATTCGCAACGGTACAAATTATACGACTGCATTTTTCAAAAATACATTTAATCGCAATTTGCATTCTTTACCTGAATATCGTTCAATGCGTGAGTAATTTTTTGAATGTTGAACTGCAAGCCAGCGAGAGTGGAGACGGGCTCGTCCGTGAACCTGGTCCTAGCGATAACCGCTTTCACACGTTCCAACGTTTGCGAATAATCTCGCCAGGTCTCGGCGCCCTGCTCCAAGCGCGCTCGATGCGATTTAGCCGTGTTTAGCGTGTTCTTCAGGAGTTGCGTGTGCTGCTGCTGTTCCGCGCCCAATTCCTCCTGCTCGGCCGTGCTCAGAGACGGCCAGATTTTATCGGCCGCTTGCTGGATTTGCTGGGAAACGAGCTCTCGAATCGATGCCTCGCTACTGAAGTAAATCTGTAAGACGGAAAAAAAATTCATCAACGTTTATACTCTTTTATCGTTTTTATCTTGAATTATAAAAAATCGATTAAACTGTACCTTATGTTCCTCAAGATCGCTCAATATATTTTCAAAGTCTAAGCCATCTTTATCACTTTCCAATCGGATTTCGGCTTCTCGCACCCATCCATGCAATTTTTCCCTGAGCGTAGCGTAATCCGTCCTCATCTGTTTATTGCTTTCCAAATAATTTTCTCTCTCTTCCATTTCTCGCGGTAAAGATGTCAGCAGCGACACGGCTTCGCTGAACATTTCCTTCAACGATCCAGGCATACCGTCCTCGTGCTTCATCGATTCTTTGATCTCTTTGATTTTATCGAGGTACTCGTTGACCGATTTACATAGAACTTTGTGCTTTTCCAATTCGGCCTCGACACTCTCCGAGTGCCTCTCGAGCAGTGGTCGAGTCTTCACTTCTTTTTCTTTGCCCTCGAGGAAATCGAGAATGTCCGCGAGTTCATTGGCCAATCGCCTGTGTTCGGCAGCCGCTTGCTCGTGCTTCTCCCGTTGATTTTCTACGGCTCGTCTGAGCGTCTGTAGCTGCTGTTTCAAAGACTGCAGTTGCTCGGTTATGTTGTTCTTATCCGCCGCCGAGCCTTCGACGGCGATCTGCTGACCTTTGTCGGTGGCACTGGCTAAAGTAGCCTCGCACTCTTGAATTTTCACGATCACGTCTTCGTACTTTTTGATTTTTTCCTCGGTAGTTTGGTAGCCTTTCTCGATATCTCGTACGATCTCGGTATACTTTGCGATGAACGTCATTATCTCCGTAACCAAAGCAATGAACTGTTGACGCAACAACAATAGCTGACGAAGTTTTGATATTTGAGCCTCGAGAGCTCGAATCAAATCGTCTTGTTGAGAAATGACCCCGTGTAATTCTCCAACGTTGGACGAGCCAAGATCGGAGAGCTTAGCTTTGCTAGTTTTCAAATCGTCGAGAATACGCTCGTAAGCTGCCAGCATACCTTCGACATCTTCGACTCGAGATCCAATTGGTTTGTTCAAATCTTGGAGCTCTTCCTGAATGGTGGTCATGAATTGTACTGCCTCAGCTACTCGAGCGGCTACTTCTTCAGCTTCATCGATGTTTTTCTGAAGAGCAGCTGATCGCTCGTTGATTACTCCAGCGACTCGACTGTGTTGTTCTCTCATGTTCTTCAATTGTTCGCTGAGTTCTTGTTTATCAGCGTCACTGATCGTGGGCAAAATGGATTTGCCTTGTTGGACTATTTTTTCGATATCGTCAGCGTATTCTTTGGCTTCTTTTTTCAAACGATCATACTGAAAAATAAAATAATAATCATAATTAGTTTATTCATTGAATGATATGCTACAAGAAGAAAATCAATAAATCCCACCTTCGCCAACTGTTCTCGAAGCACATCGATGCTGGACTTGCGAAGCTCTGCCGCGGTGGCGACTTCCGCTTCTGTGATCCAGCGTTGGCACTTATCCAACTCGCTTTCGAAAGCCTTTCTTCCTTGCAGAAGATCGGCGAGCGCGGCCTGCTTCTCGTGCGCTTCTTTCTGCAGTTCTTGGTACTCCTCGTTCACTTTGTCGAGAAGAGCCTGCAGTCTTTGGCGATCACCCTCGTTACACTCCCTGAGCATGGCGTTGCCGTGCTTGAGCAGGTCCTTCAAGCTGCCCTCGCTGAAGCGCCGTATCTCGGACACTAGGCCGCTGTGTTGCTTGATGTCCTCCTCGACTTTTGAAGCCTTCAATGGTAGGTAGCCGCTGAGTTTTTTCAGATCGTTGCTCGTAGCTTTGATCCACAATCGAGCTTTTTCGAGGTCGTTCTCGAGCTTGCGTCTGGTCTCGACTGCCGCGGTCGCGGCCGAAATTTCTTCTCGCAGGATGGAGCAGAGCTCGGCTTGCTCGCATCTTAGAGCTTTGGTCTCGGCTTCGAGCTGTTGCTGTTCGGTGGTTTCGAGCTCGTTCTGCATGTTACCTACTCGCTTTTCCAACGAGTCCGACAACGACTGCTTTGACTCGGCTTCTTTCAGAATGCTCTTCAGAGACAGCAGTCTTTCATCGGCTTGACGACTCTCGTATCCCAGAGGCTCGTCCGAACGAGCGATGCGTTTTTTCTCGCTGATCCATTCGCGGTTCTCCTCGATTTCACGTCTAGTCGCATCGATACCTTGAGCGGTCATTTCCAAGACTTGAGCCTTACGCTGAAGTTTCTTACTGATTTCACCTTGTCTTCGTTCGACAGATTTCATTTGTTCTTCGATTTGTTGAGAATCGAGATTGCTGACGGAATCCATCACTTGTTCAGCAAGTTTCTTCACTTCCCCAATCCTTATAAACATATAAAAATATTTTTTGAACCAGATTATAAAAAAAAATATGGATTAAGGAGAAATAAGTTAACTTACCGATTTGGACCTTGAACTTCAAATTCTGAAGTTATCTCTTTGAGAGATGTAATTTTTTGACTTATTGTCAGACCACTTCCTTTTTCAATCACGTCAATCTTTTTAGACAGAGCATCGAACCATAAATGAATATCTTGTAATTCGTTTCGATACTTTTGAATTAACTCGTGGGAAGCTTGTTTGCTGGCAATCGCATCGATCAATTCAGCTTCCAGCTTGTCAAGATTCTCTTCGATGTCACTATCCTGGCCATTTGATCGAATCATTTGCTCAGCTTCAGCTTGATGTCGTTTTTCACCGACGCTCGTCAAAAGATCGTTCATCGTTTGGAGTTCAGATTGCGCTGCTTCGGCTCGTAATTTGGCCGGTCTAAATTTCCATTCAGCACACAATGCTCTTTGCTGATTTATCCAAGTAACTAAAGCATTTCTTTGACGAGTTTGATCTTCTAATTCGTTTACAGTTTTTAGTACATTGGACAAATGCGATTGCATCTAAAAAATTTCAAATCAATTATTATCTGGTTGTAACATATTTTTAAAAAGTTTTTAGATTTATTGAATATAAAAATCAAAAATTAAAAAAAATTAAAGCATGCAATTAATAAATATATAAATTTTGGAACACATTTTTAAATCAATTAAAAAAAGTTTTAAGCTGTATGTTGAACAATTATTAGTAGCACAGCAAACAAACAAATTCAAACCTTTTCGCATAAGCTGCTTAATTGATCAAAACATCCATTTTCTTGGACGTTATTGAGCAAAGCCTTAATCCGTCGAACTGGTGAAGCCGCATCAAACTGTGAAATAAATGGAGGCCGTGCACGAATGCCGATAAACTATCGATTCAAGCAGCAGTGAAAATAAAATGAGACATGCCAAAACAATTAAATGGATGCAGACAAACACACCGATAACAGATGTTAAAAAAAGTGCATAAAATATGAAAATAATCCTTACCTGATCGATGACATCGTCCAGTCTCGTGCGAACTTCCATTTCTTTAGCAGGTATTGGCACAGATGGAGAATCTAAAGGACTTCCTGGACGAGAAAGACAAGCAGCAGCTGCTTCGCAAGCTTCAACAGCAAGAGCAAGTCGAGCTTTCTCACTCAGTAACTTATTGTAAAGAACCTTTGATGAAGCAAGATTTTCTTCTGCCAGTTCAAGAGTGTCCAAAGGCGCGTTCTGATGCTCAATCACTTGAGGTTCGTATTCGTCCAAGTTGTTAAGAATACTTTCGAGGGTGTTTTCATATTCTTGGAATTTAGATAATGATTCGTTTAATCGACTTTCTATTTGTAAAGCGGTTGTCAAAAGAGATTTATAGCTTTCTCTGACATTTTCAAGCTGAGTTGAAATCGTTGGTCTGATTTGAGGATTCGATTCTTCATACGTGCGGATTTGTTCCTCTCCCTTAGTTTTCAGCTCATCCAATACCGATTCGTAATTGCGAATTTCAGTGAGCAAGGTCTGATGAGTGCTGATCTGTTCTAAAGTTTGTTCTTTGCTCACAATATAAAGCGAGTTATGAGCCATAAGCTGGAACGAAACCTGTAGAAGCCACTTTTCAATATCTTGCAAACCCAAATGATAAGCGTTGTACTCTTTAATTTCCTCGTCGATCATATTCTTTCGGATATGGACGAAATCTTCCAATGATGCCCAACGAGATTTCAAGATGTCAACTTGTTTTTCTGCTGTATCATCCTTCGCCCAGTGAGATAACTCAGCTGCCTCACTGACCAAATGATCCAAGTCAGACTTTTTGCTACGGACCTCTTCGTTGACGTGTTTATATTTCTCCAAGTACGTCTTCATTTCACCAAGTTCACCCTTCGTGTTAGGAACAGCATTCAAGATCTCTTCTGTCTGGTTCAGCCACTTTTCGAATTGATTTCGAGTTTCATAGAAATCTTCCCATCTATGAATGATGGACTTGAGTTGTGCTTGAACTGTATTAAGGTCCATAGTGAGTTGTTCCCAACTCGAACGTAATTCGGACATATCATTTCTCAACTCCTCCTGTTGATCAGAAGGTGCAGTATTAATCGCTTTGGTAAAAACGTTTTGCAAACACGAAAGTAACTGGGAACCCTCGCCGATTTTTCTGACTACATCCTGTAAAAAATCATGTTTCATTTTAAAAAGTTACTATGATAAAATTATCTCAACTTTTATTGTCTTACCTTTGTTATTCCTAACTTATCTTTTGCCCAGTTAACGTCTCCCACGCCTACGCAATCTTGAACTGAATTGTGAGCCGTCCGCAGCCAATCTCCAAGTTCTTTCTTTGCTTTTAAAAATTCTGTATGGTCTGATAAATTTTTTTCAACCTTAGAAACTAGTCCTTGCGCATCGGTTAAGAGTCCAGTATATGCAGACTGTAACTGAACAGTTTTTTCCCTTGCCCAATTACAAACGCTCATTTCCATTAAAAGTTCGCATTTATCATTCAGATCTTCCAAAGTCGGTTTTTGTCGTAATGCTTCTTCAATCAGGCTCTTGCACCTTTCCAAATCTTCTGGGGTCTTGTTTTCTTTTGCCTGTTCGTTGTTTATTTTTACCCTGAATTGGTCAACCCACTTTTGCATATTTTCCAAAATAGCAGTGAATTGCGACCAAGTTAACAGACAATCAGAAAGTGTCTTTTCTGTTTCTTGACATAAATGTTGAAGATGTTGCCAGTCGTCTTGCAATTGTTCAACATCGTGATTAATTGTATCTTGCCCTTCTTGACCTGTGGTATTCAAAACCGTTTGGCTCGTTTCGATAACTTTAGATATCAAAGATTGCCCCTCTGGAAGATTTGCAATCATCTGCTTAACTTTTCCTTCTCGTTCTGCAACTTTTTCTCTTTCGCCGTGTGTTATACTGTATTGCTGCAGATCGATTTTCATACGACGCACCCAATCAGAAGCTTCGTTGAACGCATGCTGATAAGTCTCGTGATCTTTCACTTGACTCTCCAAATTCTATAAATAATTAATATGTTTAAAAATGATATTATTCTTCATATCATTGCAAAAAAAATACTCACTTGAATTTTATGGGCAGCAAGCTTCCAAAGCTCTTCGTATTTGGCTACAGTCTCATCGTAAGGAGTTTTCTGAGAAATAGTATCATCAGCCAAGCGTAACTTGAACTTCTCAATATTTTCAGAATGACCGAGCATATCTCTTTGAACGGTTTTATACTTTTCCAAGAGCGCACGTTTCTCACTCAAGTCGTTTCGATAGGCTTGGTCGACTTGAATATTACTCTCGACCTCTTCGAGCCAGTCTACGAGCATTCGATGTACTTTATTGAGCTCTTCAAGAACCCCAGCCCTAATTGCAAGTTTTTGCCTAATTTCTTCAACATCACTCAGTAGTTTATCGAAGTCAGACTTGAGATTGTCTGTATTTTCACGAATTTTGAGAGCTCCACTGTGCTCCGTGTTCATTATGACTTTTTCTTTCAATTCAAGAGCATAGCGAAGTTTATTTTGACCTTGTTCTAAACTTTGTCGTATCATTTTGCAAGTATGTAATTTACTATTGATTTCCATGAGTGAATTCGGAATTTCTTTACATTCGTTCAGCTTATCCCGTGTACGATCTATCCAGTCTTGGCATTCTTGATACAGAGTATTGTGTTGTTGGTGCTCCTACAATTTTAAATAAATTAGTTAATTTATTTATTAATTTTATTTTCTTAAAAATATGAAAGCTTACCTGATAGTGCAACTCTAGTCTTCGCATTATTTCTTTAGCCAATGAAAGAAGTGCATTATACTTGGTAGTCAATTGCGTTACAGCATTTGAAATACGAGTATCGGCGCAAGTCTCCAGTAACATCTGAGCTCTCATATTTAATCTGTCCAAATCTTTCTGCCAATCGAACAAAGTCTGAAGGTGACCTTGGAATTGTTCTAATACATTTTTCTTTTCCTCAAGGCTATCTTGCAGTTTATTGAAACTCTGCACTAATTTCTCCGTCTGAGATAACCATTCAGCAGCCTCAGAGAATTGGTCTTCATATTCTGTCCACTTAACGATTCCAATTTCGAGCAAGTTCTTGGTATTACTCAACGAGTCGCTGATGCATTATAAAAAATTATAAAATTATTAGATTTTAAATAAAAATAATACTATAATAATTTCAAGTAAAAATAATTTACTTACACATAATTGTCATATTCTTCTTGCAGGAGCGCAACTTCTTCTTCAATGATTTCTTTCTCTTCGTTATCAGCTATTTGACAAGCAGCATTACCGTGTTCTAACGCTTTTTGCAATTTCTTCTGACCTTCTGGGAGGTCATTCTCCAGCACTTTAAGCAGAGATATTTTGCTTGCAAGAGAATCTTTATCTCCAGTAGGTTCTGAGCATTTTCCTAATCTCTCTTTCGCCACTCTGATCCACTGGATAAATTCGTTTCCACTGTCAATAAATGCTTGGTGTAGTTCGACAGTTTCTTTCTGTTTGGCATAAAGCTCTTGAGCTTGTTTGCTCAATGTTTCGTATTTAATAGATATTTCAGTGGCCGGGGTAGCTTGCTGAAGATCTTCCGCTTTCGTTGTAACCGATTGGATCATTGGTTCGAAAGCAACTATATCCTGAACAATGCTGTTGGTTTGACGTAGATTCGCTTTACGCTCGCCAATCGCCAAAGAATTCAGCCCCGCAACACCCTTTCTTGCTTTTGAAACTTTTTGTTCGCAAGCTTGTTGGAGTTTGGCCTCGCGATCGTTAATCCACTGTTGCAGTTGCGAATACGAAGAGCTATAGTCTGCCCATTGCAAAAGACTTGTTTCCAAATGCACTTTCGTAGTCGATATCTTCTTTACAAGACGTTCCCAGTCATTTTGAATTTCTTTCAAATTTGTGGCTATTTGCTCACGGCCGTCGGATCTGGAAAATAATCATTAGTTAATAAAAAGTGAGCATTATTTTACATTAAGATAAGAAAATGGTTTTACCTCGTGTTGCGCAAAACTTTTTCACCACTATTGACGGTAAGATGAACGAGATTTTGACCTTCCTCGCGCTTTCTCAAGAGTTCTTGAATTTTATCTAAACGTTCTTGTAATTCTTCGCGGCTGCTAGTAGATCCCGCATCCGTACCCTGACGGATTATCTGTTTGGCATTATTAATCCAATCTCGAGTTTTGCCGAGATTATTTTCATACTCTCGATGTTGCGCAAAGTTCGTTTCAACCTTCTGAAGTACATCCTTCGCTAAATTCACTTGTACCTGGTAGCGTGAATTTAAGTGACGTAATTGATTGTTGACGTAACTTTCCAGAGGAGTACCTTGCAAGGCAGCAGCCGACTTATTGAACTTATCAATTTGATCTTGTCCCTTAGATAAATTACTAAGAATTTCTTTAACCTCTTTGACTTGCTTTTCTTTTTCTTTCACATCAGGTAAGAGAGAATTTTTCTGAGCCTTTATCAAGATGTCAGATTGCTGCAACCAGTCACTAAGTCTTTCATACTCATCTTTGAAGTCACGCCAAAGACCAACAGTCGACTCTAATTGGTCCTTTTGATGCTGAATTTCCTTGTACAAACTTTCAAAACTCTCTGTCAAAGCGCGAATCTCGTTACGAATCACCTCCTGACCCTGAGGGCTTGTGCTGACGCAAACGACTTGACCAGTATGCTGCAGTTGCTCGACCATCAATTCGCCCTGAGCTTTCTTATTCATGAGACTTTCCAAGGGGGCTACGGCATTTTCAATAGCAAGTTTGTCGCTTAGGGAACGTTGTTTCGAGGATGGAATCTTTTCACGAGCTCTATTCAGCCAACCAATTAAATCATCGTGAGCTTCTTTGTAAAGTTTATGATGCTTGTACTGATCTTGTCGTTCTGATAATATTGACTTTATTTTTCCAAACAAATCATCAAATTTATTTAGAATATCTTTGGCTTGAGAAGCTGCTGTACTCTGCTGTCCACTTGCAATCATTTCTTCCACCTTAGATTTTAAACCATCAACTTCGATATTTTCACAACGACCTTTTTCTTCTAGGATTCTCAATTTATCGAGCTGTGAACGTTTTTCGCTCATAGTTGTTTGATAAGTCGATATTTCGTCATAGGATCCTTCCATAAGCTCAACCGTTTTATTTATATTTTGTATTTGTTCCAAGAGTCCAGCCCATTTGTTGATGGAATCATCCAAATTAGTTTTGGTCTCGAGCATTTTAGATGCCAATGAGCTCCATTGCTCCTGGAGTTTTGCAACAGCTTCATTAATTTTACCGTGTCCAGCCGGTGCAGTATTAGCAAGTACTCCTTGAGCCAGCTCAACGATTTTTTGAATCTACAAATGAACAATAGTTAAGTATGCGTTGCAAACAGAATATAAAACAAATTTTATGATTTACCTTAGCAAATCCGCTTTCTTTATAAACCAACAAGTCCTGAATGATTTCCATCTTCTTTTCAAGGTCTTTTTGCGACGAAGCAGAAAGATCGGAACAATAAGTAAGTTTAGCTCGAACGTCATCAAGCCAGTGATTACATTCGGATAGTTGATTATCGAATTCTTGATGGCCCATGACATATTGTTGCCAGCGATTATTTAAATCCTTCACTTTAACCGATAACTGTTGGTATTTCACACCCAATTCTGATATTTGTGAACTTCTCAGAGATTGTTTATGCAGTTGATGGGCCCTTTCAGTAACATTGTCCATTTCCAACTCTTTGGCACGAATCTCACCTTGCAAATTTCGCAACTTCTCCAATTGTTCTTTCTTTTCATCGAGAGTTGATTTCAGGTCGACAGCGTGAAGTTTAGTATCCGTATCGCGTAACCAACTTAAGCAGTGCTCCTTCATAACTTCATACTCGTCCCACAATTGTAATTTGTTCTTCAGTGCTTCGGTAGTGGATCTTACTGTTGATAGTAGTGATTCCCATTCTTGCTGGGAAGAGTCCATCTGTGATCGAATGTTAATCTGTCCCGATTCCAAAGTTCCTGGAATAACCTTTTCACCGAGACTACGAATTCTGCTAACTCTAGCTTCGTCATCGGAAAAGCTTTGCAACAAATTCTGCAAACGATCCAAGTTCGTGTGAAGAGATACTCGATCGAGCTCTGTATCGCCCCATACGTGAACAGCGTTCAAAGTTGCATCAAGCCATTCGTGAGTATCGAGAACAGCTTTGCTATACTGTTGATGATCGCTAACGTATGTCTCGTACGTTTCGACGAATCCAGATGCCTTTTTCATAATAGCAGCATGCCTGTTTGTTAATTCGTTCAATGCTTTATCAACTTTTTCTGATCTTTCTGGAAGAGAATCAGCTTTATCTTTCAAATCCAGTAGATCTTGCTGATGAGTCTGAATGTCGTGAAGGGCGTTGCGATAAATTTGTAACTGAGCTCGTTTTTCATCAAGTGTCGCTTTAAGTTCAAGTCCTTTTTGTAGATGACTTTCAACATTTTTTAGCCAATCATTAAAAGTCTCACTGCTTTCAACAAAGCCTGACCATCGAGATATTTTAGACTGCATTTCACGTTCAGTCAGAGTTATGCCATCAAAAAGTGACTCTAAAATGTGTTGCAGATCCAAAAGTTGTTGTCTTATAATTTCACGCCCATCTGATCCTGTTGTTGAATACAAGCGTTCACCAGCTTCAACGGTGCTGTTAACGCAGAAAACCATGGATGATTGACGACTCAAAAGATCTCTTATAGTATCCATGTGTGACATCAGCTCTTGACGAGTTCCGGAAATGTTTTTACAGGCTGCAGTGTAAGATTGTTGAGCCACTGCCAAACGTTCAGAGCACTGCTTGTATTTTTCGATGTAATTTCTATGATCCATCAGAGCTTGGTCACATTTTTTTACTAATTCCTATGAAAAATTTTAATTTGAGAAAAAAGTTATATTTAAGATAATAATAAAAGAAATATGTATTACCTTTGCAGTTGATTGAACTGACTGAAAGCGTGATGTTATTTGTTGGACACTCACTGAAAATCTTGTTTCACCACTGATGTTGATGAGATCGGATGAACTATCACTCATCTTGTCGAACTCAGTTTCATTTTGGCGAAGATTAACTAGTAAAACCTAAAGATAATTTGTGAATTAAAAAATTGTAATAACTCTTGAAAAGAAATAAAATGTCTTAATGGTTATATCTTTGAAAAATGTTTATGTATGTCTTTATGAACATGAAAGTAGAAGAAGTATTATTGCTGCTTGAAATGAAATTTAGTTTTGTAATTTGTTTGAAAATAGATTTTTAGTTAAGATTACTTTATAATCATTAGTTAAATTGATTCCTTAAAAGCATTAAATGCGTTGAGTAAAGTTGATACAATGAAAGAGAGATAGATGACGTCGACTAAAGACAAAAATCGACTGAGAATATGCACCAGACCCAGCTGCAAACTCTAAAATTTTTAAATGATCTTACTTGTTCCAGATGATCACCAAGGGCTACTAACTCCAAAACATCCGCATTACGCGACTCCATTACTTTTAATAGGTCCTAATGGTTTGATAAAGGTAAATGATGAATATCTCAAGATGACAATTAAGTAGTAAAATGACTGCTTATTAATGAACTTTCAAAGTTTTGAATTGTACACTATGATAATTATGATAAAGTATAAAATATTATAAATCGAGTTACCTGATATCTTTCTAGTTGTTCTTCCTTCTCTTCAATTGAATTTTTCAAGCAGTAGTTTTTCAATAAAGTTTCAGCATCCATCAACCAAATGAGAAGTCTTTCCAATGATGATTCATATTCATTCCATTGCTGAATCCGCTCCTCGAACGAGTGTATAGTCTCAGCGACTGAGTCAGCGAATTTTTTGTTGTCAAATCTACATTTTTAAATAATGAATTAAATTTTATTTTATCGAGTGATTTTACAAAAATATTTGCAGTCGATTTAGTTTTACCTAAGGTTGTTCAAATCTCTCTCCATTGATTCTTGGGATCTTGGAGATACAACACTCAAACATTTTGATAAATGTTCTTCTAGAGCATTCAGTTTGACTTCTCCTTCACCCAAGTGATCTTGAATCTCTATTACTTTAGTTAACTTGGATTGTAACGCTGCCTTATTACCAGTAAAATCACTGTAACTGGTCAGCTGATCCCACTGCTCTTTTTGATATTCCTTAAAAGATTTTTGCAAATCATGGAAACATTGGAATACCTCTAATACCGCTTCCAAATTCGCTAAACCTCTTGTGGAATTTTCTACGAGACGTTCGAATCGTTGATTGATAACTTGAACTTTATCTTGAATATCAACTGGTAGTTGAGATACTTGAACAAGAGAATTGGCTTTTTCTGAGATCGATTCAATGACTCTCTTGTAAGATAAGATTTCTTGTTGTAGAGTCTTTCCTTTGATTAATTTAGAACGCACTTCTTGCAAAGATGAAGGCATCAAGGAAACTTCCTGTTTAATAGTTCGTTCCATGTTATCCAGCCACGAGTATATTTGTTGCAAATTCTCTTGACAACTCGACCATTGTAGAGATTGAAGGCCTTGTTTCTTTTGTTGTTCAGAAATACTCTCCGTCAAATTTTCCCATCTCTCACGAATTTGTCTGATTTGCTGTCGGATTATCTCACGGCCACGTGACGATGTATCAGGTAGAATCCTTTCACCAGCTGATACAAGATTTTCAATGTAATTTTGGGATTGATCTTGTTCACTTAGAAGTAACTGCAATCTAGAATTTCTAGCCTCAGGATTTCCAATCAATTCATCAGAATTTAAAGCAAGCAAGTGTTGTTCCAATGGTGTTAGCCAGGCATCTGTATTTGAGAGTTTTTCGTTGTAATTTTTGTGATCTTCCACCATTTCGATGCACCGATTGATAACATCTTTGCTCAGTGATAAAAGAGAAGTGTATCTGAAATGTAGAATAATTTTTTTTATAATTGTGTCGTAACTTTATAGTTTTCACAAAAGAAAAGATCAAATTCATACCTATTACTTATTTGTGAAATCAAGGGTTTTATTCTCTCAACTCCACTTGAGTTAATTAATACATGAGTTTTATCGACAAATTGATCGATCTCGCTCTCTCTCTGAATGATTATTTCACGTTTTTCTTTAAATAAGTTTAGTTGGGCTTGTTTTCCTTCAATATCTGGATGTAATGGATGATCTCTGAAAGCAGCTTCCATTTCCCTGAACCATTTCATAAACTTTTCCAAAGGCTCTTCAAATTCTTTCCACTTTTGTAAAGCTACATTTTGTTTTAATTCGCTCGAATCTGCAAGTAAAAAAGTGAAAGAGAATAAATAAAAATGTATAAAAAAGTTTGTATCAACATTTTTAAATAATTTTTACCAATGTCTTGGATATGTTGATTTAATTGAGCCTCAAGATTTGAAATTTCGTTTTGAATAACTTCCTGCCCTTTAGGTGCCGTGTTATTATTCAAAACTTCTGCAGCATCCTTTAATTTTTTTATCATTTCCATTCCGTGCTCTTTTCCATCTTTCAAAATTGTCAATAATGCCAATTTCTTCGATATATCAGTACGTTCACCACTCAAATCATTGCATTCAAGTAACTTTTCTTTTTCTCCCTGTAGCCAATCTGAGAACGCTTTAGATTGAAGAATAAATTTATTGTGCTTATCAGCACAATCCTCAAGATGCTCTAACAAATCTCGTGAATATGTGACAATATTATTAAATAGTTGTTTGATCGAATTAAGATATACGTGGAGAGATGAGTCTTTGGTTTGATCAACTAACTGTTGGGCTTTTTCGCATACGGCTTCAACAAGTGATTGGCGAGACGTTATTTCTTGATGCATTATTTTATGATTTTGAAGCAAAGCTTTTTTCTCTTCCAAAGTGCACTTATGTATAGTATGTTGGAGCATGGCACGCTCAACATCGTGTAACCAAGAGTTTAATTGCTCATGCGAATTAGAAAAGTCGGAAAACTGAGTTAGGCACAAATCTAACTTTTGGCTCGTGGCTTGCAAATTATCTGAAAAAGTATCCCAAAGTGTTCTTAGATTTCGCAATTGTTGACGAATGATTTCTCGTCCATCAGGTGACGTATGCGTGTACAATCTCTCGCCTAAATCGATAACTGATTCGAATTTCGGATTTTCAGTTGAACGAACGTCCACAAGATCACGAATTGCTTTTTGACGTTCTTGCAATGCATGCAAATTACCAACGATCTCACTGTATTTATCTAATTTGCCCTGCAACTCCTGTATCCAGTTGACAAAATGATTGTATCGTTGGTTAAATTCATTGTGCTCTTTTGAGAATAGTTCGTATCTTGATACAGCTTCTTTAATTTGATTTTTCAAAGCTTGATACTTTGTGACCTGCTTAGACACTCTGGAAATCAATTCAGACTCGGTTTCAATCGCTTGGCTTTTCTCAAAAGCCAAATTGACCGCTGGAGCTTTAGCATTAATTTCTTCTTCGAGAGATTTTAGGCGCTGCAAATGAGCGACTTTTGCTTCTTCTGAACTTTTCAAACTTTGATCCTTCATTTGTGATTCCATATTCTTTGTCCAAACTTCAAGCTCTTCAACTATTTTTTGGAATTCTGACCATTCATCAAACAAATGATTGACTTTTTCTCTGAAAAGATCACACTTTACTAAAAAGTCTTGCCAAATTTTCTTTTGTTCTTCGAACGCTTTCATAAGAATCGGATGTCCTTGTATCGAAGTTTGCTCCAAAATAATATTTAATTGCAAATTACAATCTTCTATCAATCGATCACCTTCTTCTCTTTGCTGCAAAATATTTTCAATGAAATTTATGCTTGATTTTGCAGTTTCACGCTCAACAGCCGTATCGTCCAAATAAGCAGATGTTTCATTAACTATGGTACTTATCCAATCGCGCATGCTATCGAATGTTTGTTGATATGCTTCGTGATTAGCCACATATTTTGTGGCTACATTCACTCTATCTTCAACTTCTTCCGATAGCTTGTCGTAAGACTCAATCATATCATTGATCATGGAGTTTGACTCATCGTCTGGCATGCTTTGGAAACGCTCCTGAAGTTGCATAAGAATACTTTTATGGGCCTTTACATCTTGAGCAACGGTTTTATACCCAAGAAGTGCTACTTTCTTTTCTTGAAGTGTTGGAAGCAATTCTTGTTTACTACCCAATTTTCCTTGTGCTTCTAATATCCACTGCCTTACTTGTGAATATTTATCTTCAAACGAAGATCTATGCATCATGTCACTTTCAACTTTTTTGTGAATTAAATTTGTTTTATCAGTTAAATTGTCCAACCTAGAACGGAGTATTCTCAAACCTGATCTTACAGCTTCTCTTTCTTCAGGATTGATTTTAGGATACAGTGCTTCTGCTGCTTCGGCAGTTGAATTGTACAAACTTTGACCTTTTTCTTTTTCTTCATTAAATGCCTTCAGTTCATTCAATCTTGATTGATAGAAAGACATTGGCTTGGCTCCACCAATCTCCTCGTAAATTTTCAATGTTTCTTCGCACTTTGAAATTAAAGATTCCAACTCGTTCAAATTTTTAAGGTATTGGATTCTATTGATATAGAGTTCTTGCAGTTTGCTTATTTGTTGGACAATGAATTTTTCGATAGCCTCAAATCGTGCATCCAAGTGATTTATGTATTGTTGAATTCGAGAATCAGGGCTTATCTCAGTCAAGAGATTGCTGAAAGTTATTAATTTATTCATTTCAACTCTATTTTCTTTGAATTCTTTCTGAAGTGCACCTATTTCGGCTTGTTTTGTCTCTATATCTTCCATACTGAATAAAGTTGAACTTTCAGCTCTAACTCTGTTTTCATCTCCTTTAAGAATTTGTAATACACTTTGAAGCATAGCTTCGTAGCGTAACCACATTTGAATATTTTTTTCAAGCTCTTTTTTCACTGCTTGAAAGACTAGTTTAAGAGCTTCTAAATCAACATGAACTTTTTCTCGCTCATCTTGCAATTTTTGCAAATTTTCAGGATTTTCAACTTCAGATAATAATTGCAGCGTTTTATCGGTTTCACGTTTTCTTTCGTTGCAATCATTTATCTCGACTTCAGCTTCAAGAAGAGAGGCCAATTTGACTTCCAAATTGTACTTATCGCTATTCTGATCAGGTTCGCACCAAGTAACCTTATCTCTGCAACTAGATACCATTCGCTGAAGGTAATTAAACTTTTCGTTATACAACTTTATCAAAAATGCCTTTAAAGTTACATAAACTTTTTCAGCATGATTCGTCACTGAATTGTGCCGTTCATGAAGAGACTGTAATTCCTTCAGCAAACTTGAATGAAGTACGGATGGATACTGGGTAGCTAACTGTTTTATGTTATCATCAGTTTTCTTGAGAATTTCATCGCAAGTATTTAGTTCTACTTTCATTTCAGCACAATGTTTGATTCTATTTATAATTTTCACATTTTCTCCAGTCAAATCATCACATTTAATAACTTCCTCTCGAACCTTTGATATTATGTCGTTCACTTTCTTCAAGTCCAAGCGAATGACTTGTTCTTGTTCTGCAAAATTAGATGTAATTTTCTCCAATGCATTGGCAGCAGACTCAACTACTTCAAATTGTTCAGAAATGACATGATTAAGTGAGGCCAATGTTGGAATTCCTACTCCTCCATTAAGTTTAAGAAGTTGTTCTGTTTTTGTGAGGATTCCTTGCTGTAATAATTGATGGGCTGGTAATTCATCTCTGAACTTCATCAATTTTGCACGAGCGTTTTCAGTATCGATTAAATTTTCTTGGGCAGTTTTTAATATATTAGTTGTATCATTGAGCCAGCGAGTTAAATCTTCTTTTGCATCGTTAATTTGTTTCCAAATGATTACTTGCGTTTCATTGAGCTGGATTTTTTCGACAATGTTAGAATAAGTATCCTGATACTTTTTATGAACGTTTGAAACATTAGATTCGATAGAATCGTGGTTGAAGTTAGGCATGAGCGAAGCTTCTTTCAAAATTTGTTGAGATTTAGAGTCAACTTTTTCTAAGTATACTTTTCCCTTTTTCAGTGTTTCCAGAGCTCGTTTCTGAGTTTCGACTGCCGATGAAGCTTGATATAAATCACAGGGAACACTTTTCACTGAGTTACTCAAATTTACAGATTCTTCAATAAAAGCATTGAGTTTGTCGTTAGCTTCAACATATTGTTTCCACACTGAAAATTAATCATAGATTAATTCGTACAATTTATTTTTAGTCGATAATTTAAAATAAAAATTAAACCTACCTCCTTCAAGTTCAGCATATTTGTTCCTTTGTTCATGTAATAATTCGTGAACTTTTTCCCAATTTGAATCAATGGAAGATAAAACAACATGTATATTTGTTGATGATCTTTGATCGTCTCTAAGTAGTTCCATACTTTCTTGGTGCAAATCATCTTTAGCCGGAATACATAGATTGTGTCTTTCATTAAGTTCAGCTATTTTTTCAATTGCTGGGGAAAGCTGCTCACAACTAGTGACGGTATATGTCAGTTCTTGTAAACCATTTTGAGTTTGAAGAATATCTTCAGTTAATTTTTGTTGCATCTTTCTGAAATTCTCCCACCTTGAACTGAGATTTTGCAAATTATTACGTTTCGAGAGCAATGTAGATTCCAATGAAATGATTTGCTTCTCCAGATTGTTTATTAACGACTCAGCTGTAATGGGATTTTTCTCCTTATCTGTTATGTATATGTCCCATGAATCGATTATTTGAACTTGCTCTTTCCATTCTTTTATTTTATTTTGCATGGTCTTTACTTCGGATGTTAATCTGTCACAATCTTCAATGCTGGGTTTCCGAGTATCAGCCTCGTATTCAAAATGATTGATTTGAGCAGCCGTTTCATCATTCCAATTGAGCAATTCAGACCATTTTTCAAGTCTTTTTATTCTATCTCGCATAATATTTCCCAAATCTCTGTAATGTACTTTTAACATTTCAAATTTATCATTAAGAACTGCAGCTTCTTCTGGAGTACTAAACGATTTTAATTTACTGACTCCTTCACAAATATTTTTAAATTCAGATTCTTCGTAGGAATAATCTTGTAAAAAGGCATGAGTAGTTTGAAGATTGTCTTCGACATTATTGATGTGAATATTGCGCATTTGTGTCATATTTTGTTGAGTTTCCAGTATCCAATGCTCGAATTGAGATAGTCTCATTTGAAACTCATCTCTAACCAAAATTGAATCTGACGATTTATTTATTTCTTGACGCACGGTATCTGCTAATTTGCTCGCACGTGATTTCAACTCTGAAACGGTACCCTTCAAGTTTGTAGCTCCCTCCAAAGTTAAGCTGTGACTGATGTTATCGGACACTTGAGTAAGTGTTATCAATTGCACTTGTCTATCGGTTATATCCTTGTTAAATTCTTTCAATGTGTTCAACTTTTCCTCCAAGTTGACATTTGATGCAGTATCACTTAATTGAGCACCAACTAAACTTTCAGATCTAGTCAACCACTCATTAAAGTCTTGAATATTTTTTTCAAACTCGGTCCAATGAGACACAAGCTTTTCCAATTTTGTTCTAGTTTCGATGGCTACATCATGTATCGATTGCCAGCGACTGTGAACAGAATCAGCTTCATCGGGTGCTACAGTTTTATCTCCAAGTTGGTGGCTGATTTGAGTCAGTTGTTCTAATCTCGGTAAATGTTCATTACACTGCTTTTCAAAACAACGCGCAAAATTAAGCATGTCTGTTGCTTGTTGAAGAGTAGTTGGTTTGGAACCGATGGAAGCTGCTTGTGCTTCTGCTTGATCTATCCAAGGTTTTAATTGTTGTATTCTCAATTCGTACTCTTTCCAAGTTGATAAATTACGCGAAGCCGTCTCATGCTGATCAAGGATATTTTTTTGCAAAGAAACAATAGTTGATTGCAAATGGTTCAAGTTCGTTTTCAAATTATGTGCTTGAGGGCTAGAGTCGTTATCTGAAAATTAAAAGAAACATTATTTTAAACTAAGAAATATAATTTTATATTAATTAATTTTATCATATTATAAAAGCTTAAATCGATTACCATGTACTAAAGTTTTGAACTCTCTTTCAATCACATGTAAAGTCTCGACTTTCTCGTGAATTTGATTTTCTAGTATTTCGATTTTCATCACTCGTTCATTTGGAGAAGTACTTGGAGATTTAATATCCGAGATAAATTGTGGTGCATTTTGCGTGGCCCAATTATGCAAATCATTCATATTTCGTTGGAAATTACTCCATCGGTTGTGCAAAGATTGTAGAGATTCAATCTTTTGGGAGTATTTTAACATTGTGGAATCGACGCTTTTTTCAACGTTTATTATATCTTGATTCAAATCTGATATTTTTTCCAATGGCGTGCTTTGAACAAGATTTGAATGGGTTTCTTGCAATTGTCGGACCATATCAGTGGCCATTTTACGCATCGAAGAGTTGATTTCTTGTTGATTATGCAAATCGGCCGATACCTGGGCTGCATTATAGTATTTAACATCCTTCAGCCTTTGAAGATCATCTTCTGCTTGAGAAATCAAATTCAAAATTTCTTGTTTCTGTTCATCGTAGCTTGTCCATAATTTATGTGAATTTTTCAGTGTTTGTAAGTTCTCGATATTTTGACCATAAGTTTCATTCCAACTGTGCTCTAATTCTTGAACATTGGAAGAAACGAAGGTTGGCGCATATTGATCTTTCAACAGATCTTTTCCTTGCTGCAACATACTAACAATATGTGCTCTTTGTTGTTCTAACTGGTGTAAGTAAGATTCTTGTAGTACTAATGCATTTTTAAGGCTCTCAGGATTTTCTACTTTAGGCACTTCAATTGTTTGTTCACGTACTTTGCTAAGGAGAGTACAAACTTCGTGAACTTCTTTTCTATAAGTATAACTCTTGGAATATGTATCTGTTTTAGTCATAGTAATATCAATAGTTGGTATAAGATTTTTGTATCGTACAATCAGTTGCTCAAGTTTATGCTGCTCTACAGATGCTTCATGATCAGATCTATTTGAAGTAAGGCTATTTAGTGTTTGCATCAACCACTTCATATCTTCTTGTTTATTGTCAGTTTCTTGACACAACTCCTGAAATAGAATTTATTATTTAGTACTTATAAAAGATTTTGATGTGCTTTTTTTGTCGATAGTCACTTATAAATTTTGTTAGTTCGAAAAATATTTACCTTCAAATTTTTTATCTGTTTTCATGCAAGCAGGCAGAGTGTGAAAAAATCAATTGGTTAGTATTTGCTAAAAACGTTAGTTTCATTATGATTGTATTTTAGAAAGTCTCACCTGGAAGACTGATTTTTCTTTTTCGAATAACTCAAGAGTATTGACTTCTTGTAAAAGAGTTCTCACAGTTGTGTCAATGTGATCCATCCACCTCGACATCTCTTCGAACTTTTGCCTGTAGTTTGCCCACTGTTCTGGAACCTTTCGTAATTGGTCACTAAGATTTTCAATACGACGAAAATTTTGTAACCAAGCCTGTTCGGCATTTTGCACAGCCTCTTTAAGACTTGTATCATTCGGATTTTTATTTCTGTACGATGCTTCAATATTTTTCAACATTTGTAAGGTTTTCTCGGCTTGAATTAGTTTGCCATGATTGACAAAGAAGTCTTTATTTCGACGCAAAATACTCGATGCATCCTCATTTTTCATTAAAGATTGTTGTTCTGCATTTATTTCCATTTCTATTTCTTTCAAATACTGATGAAAAGCTACCTCATCCAATCTAAATTCCAAACGCATTAAATGCAACGGTACAAACGTTAAAATATTTTTCCAGCGTTTTTGAAGTTGGTTTAGGGTTTCATCTATTGGTGTTCTCTGTTCGACTGGCAAGAGATTTCTCAGATCTTGAGCTACGTTAAAAAGATCATGCATCCAGTTTTCATTGACGTCGCTGAAAAAGTTTTTATGATATTCTACAGACGGCCGGCTATCTATATTTCTATCATTTATTAATGTTTCTGCAGTCGACAGCCACTCGGAAATTTGTCTTTCTCGTTCTCGGAATTGAGTCCAACACTTGACACCATCATACAATCGTTGCTCCCATAATTGAGCTGATTGATGAACTCTAGCAAATCGGTCGTTCAAATCACTGAGAACGGAATTCCTATCACCTTCGGGTTTCTTGCCGTCATCAACGGATTTCATGATGTTCGTAAAAACTTTATTTTTCGATTCCAGCATCGATTTATAGTAAGGAGTTCTCGAAAAGAAGGCCTTGTGACGTTCTAGATGGGAAAGAGCTGCTTCGCGACCACCGGATAAATCGTGAGTACTGAGCAAATGTTCTGCGTCGTCCAACCAAGCTGAAATTTCACGTTGCCCTGCTTCCAATGATTCCTGTTGTACTAAAACCTGATGGTACAAATGTAGTTGCATGGGAATCATCGCACGAACTCTGACTAAATCTTCTTTAACTTTTTTCAATGAGTTCATCATTTTATCAACTTCTTCTCGAGATACATCTTGTATTAGAGTCTGGAACTTTTTGCTGACGTCTTTAAAAAGTTCTTCAACCTCTTCTTTTTCTTCATTTAGAACTTTTAATCGTTCTCCATAAGCCTTGATTCTTTCAGTTGATGTTAACTGAGACGTGGCAAGAGCAGCTTCTGTTGATTCCAGCCACTTCTCGATCTTTTCAACTCCTGTTCGATAGTCTTTCAAATTACGAATAAGATCACCTGCATGCATGTACTGTTTGGCTTCTGCGAAAAGATTCTCCCATCTTTGAGACAAGTTGATGTAGTGGCTTTTCAGATGTATAGCAACCTAAATAAATTCATTTTATATTAGCAAAAAATTATTAAAATTAATGGATAATTTGAATTTTGAGCTTACTTGATCTTCAGAAGTTGCGATAAGCAAGCTGACCGTGTCTGAAAGCTGCTGGTATTTATCTTTCCAAACGGATATATCCTGGAAAAATTCCATTTTTTCCTCCTCAGGCATATTCAGCATGGATTCTGCCTTAAATATCCAAGACTCAAACTCGTTCGATAGAAGCGACCACCTTCTCCAATAAATGACCAATTCTTCAAGCATACTTTGAACGCAACGTAAATCCATCGATATGCTTTTCCACTTTTCACCAGTTTCTTTAATAAATCGATCGACTTTCGCACTTTCTTCGTGATCTGTAACAAAAGAAGGTTTGGGTATATTAGCTACATCGATCATAGTTATTTTTTCTCAATACTGCTTTTATAAGTTTCTTACCAATATCACCTTCTCTCTTGTACTCTTCAATCACCTGTTGCATATCTGCATAAGCTTTTTGGAACTCTTGGAAAATTCTATTTTTAGATACAAAATTTTTATATTGCTCCAGCATTTGCTGAACATCTTTTTCACCACCATACTTAATACTCCATCCTTTGAGCCTCGTTTCAATGAGATAGAGGAATGCAACCAAGCAGCATTTATGCTCCAAAAACTTTAATTTTATTCTTCTCTTTGCGGCACGTACTGGAAGGCTGTCCAAACGGGACGATATATCTTGCAATTGCTCTATTGGAACTTGTCGAGCCAATGCAGAACTTTTAACTCGATTGAATTTCTCCACTACGTTTGGAAGATCTAGGAAAAACTTCTTGTGAACCTCGAGCTTTTGCGATATTATACTTGCAGTTTCTTCCGTCATTTCTTCAGATATATCATCGTCGGAGCTCAATAAGGATTCAGCGTAAGCAAGCCATCTGCCAACTTCACCAAGCTCACCTGGAAGCGAGGAATCAAGCAACCACTGCCAGCGTGACATCTGAAACAATGAGTCATAAGCGTAAGCTTCAAACTTTGGAAATACTTGCTGAACAAGCATGAAAACAAAAATAACTTACCAAATTTTCCAACTGTTTCCATGAGTTTTGTAATTGTCTCCAGGACTCACGAGAAATATTAATCATACTAGGAGTGTCTAGTAAATTTTGCATTCTATAATAAGGCAACGATTTTTCATTGTATTCACTCTTAAACTGTAAATAATCTTGATAATTTTTAGAAAAATTGCCCGTCTTGTCCATGCGATCGAGAAGCTTGACTTTTTCATTGAGCCAGAGCATGAGGGCATTGAACTCGTCTTGCACACCGATCAACGGTTGTGATCCATTACCATTGGGCTCGGGATACTTGTGTAAGAACTGAGCCACGTAGGTCATAATACACTTTTCATCGGGCTTCGGAACGTCGACGTCCTCCGGATCGAGCAGTCGAGCGATTCCCAGCTCGTTTTCAGCTACACCGAATGCCGTCTCGAGGCGGGTGCGATTTGTCGATTGTTTCAGAGCTGGTATATTGACGAGATCTGTTTTTATGGCATCTATGATTCCGAGGAAAGCATTTCCGTCTCGCCAGCTTTCTCCAAAATCTCGTACTTCCACTCCAAGATTTCTGTAAATTAAAAAGTAACAAAGTCATATATTTGAAATTTATTAATGCAGCACCGACTACAAAAAATTTCCAATTCTCACTTGGGTAATGCATTGGTGACCCATTGTAGCAGAGTTTTGCGAGCCCCTTGCTTCCATTTCTCGGTACTTTGGCGTCGCCTCTCGCTTGCTCCCGATCCCTGAGTTCCTATGCTTTCAAGACTGCTTTGGCTTCCCCAAGCTTGTCCAAGATACTCAAGAGCTCGAGCATTTTCTTCGATCTGTGAGTTCGTTAAAGTTTCGTTAATATGTACCGCTTACTCAAGTATTATAGAGTTAAAAAAAAAAACACCTGACAGATATCGAGCGTATACTATAATCGCGCTCGAGCATGCTGTGCGCAGCAATGTGCGTTCATACGTTTTAAAAAACAACACAAGCTCATACATACATTTCACTTCTTCATTGCAAATGTGAATGCATTCATTTTTAATGTTAAAGTGTGCTGGTTCACTCACCTTATGGCGATCCTTTGATCGAAGCTTGTTTAGTGGAATATTCAGGGTTAACAGAATTAGTAAGTTCGTTACAGTTTTAAGAGTTACTTGCTTAGCACTACGATATGTTTTCGTCTTTGAACATTTCATGGAAAGTGTATTCATAAAGTTAGTATGTTATTACTTTTAAAGAGTTTTACAAAGCATATAAAAAGTTACAATTGTTCAATAAGAAGTATACGTTCGCCAGAATTAAACAATATTTGAAAAATTATCGATTTTACTAGCTTACTGAATGGTGCTGAACTTAAGCGCTTCATACAAGTGATGTTTTAAAGTAATAGAAACGTGTTTTATAGTACTTATGAGAAAAAGTTAAATAATTAATAATTTTTTTTAATTGTTTGTTTATAAAACTTTTTCTTTAAAACAATTATAAGGTATTAAAAAGTTTACTGTGCCTCGATTGTTATCTTTTACGTGACGAGCATTAACTTAGTACCATAATATTGATTATTTGAAATTGGTGCTCAATAACTCAAGTTATTATTACAAAATATGAGTAGTAGGTCTAAAATAATCACCTGGAAGTATAAAATAATTGTCCAGATCAACCCTAAGACAACTGGTGGTCGTCCATCAACCAAATCTGATGCGTTAATATTTACTAATTTTATCTGTAAATAATAGTTCGGTAGTATAAATACATCATATTAAATATTACAATTACTCAATAATAATTAAACAATAATAATATAATGTACCTTTTTGCTTTGTAAAAATTGAAGCGCAGTATTAATATTGCTCAAAAAATGGGGTCTCCTCAAATTGCGGCCTTTTTCCACTGGCTGAAATAATAAAAACGATTAACGCATTGATAATAAACAATACATAAACTCATTAATGTAATCGATTCATTAAAAAAAATTGAAAATTATATCATACCAATCTTTCTCCTGATAAAATCTCTAGTAAGGCTAGCAACCGTGTGCCATCTTTCAAGTCTTCTATCAAATCACTGATTCGAAGAGGAGGGACTCGCTGAAATATTTTGAATATAATTTTAATCTCTTTGTATCTCATGTAATCTACTTCATAATTTTTTAATAAATAACGATTCTAAAACATTACTATTTCCAGTACTAAACAACAGATGACATAAAAATATCTACAAGACCTCAAGAACCGAACAAGTAGATTTCACATGATATTTTGTATTGTGACACATTATATTGTCAATCGACCGCCTCTTAAAACAAAAATAACAACCAAAAACAATTTAAGTCACTGATACCGTGCACAGCAGAAACGAATATAAAGAAAAAAAAGACTAAAATCGCGACGAGCGTAAACTGCTCGACTCTGCTAGTAAGTTTCGACACGAAGAGGGTCGCATGCCCGGTATATTACATTTTTCGTCCATAAAATACTTTTTCTATATATACGAGAGATGCTCTACACATGTCTCGCGTCACGTCATGTTCCGATAAGTTTCGATTTTCGAACGATCCGGAAGTATAAGAAAATCGCAAGACAGCCAGTTGAATTCTCCACGTGTGAGCTTGCATAGCTAACGAGTTTCCAAAGCTCGCTCGAGTATCATGGAAATCGCGCATAATAACGTGATGATGGTGGAATTTGCAGCTTGCGAGGAGCTCGCTAGAAATACACTTGTCCAAACTAATCAACGCATTGGAAAGTTTTGTTGGCAATTATATTATCCCCGTCGACCTACCTTTCTACGCGCGAGTCATAATGCGTGCATGAGGCTGAAGAGCGAGCTTTCGCGTGCCTCATGGGTATGCATGTGAGTGGTACGCGGAAACTTCGCCAAATGAAGCCACACAAGCTTCTTCGAAGAAAATAGCTCGAGGGTTTTGATGAGATTTTTACTTTTTTTACTATTAATATTCAATATTTATGCTTGATTCTTATCAATTTATTTTGAAAATACGTAGAATTTTTTGACGCGTCTTTGTTAATAAGCTTTTTGCAAATTTATTCAAATTGATTCTATATACAATTATTTACTCGAAAAATAACTGATCATTAAAAAGAATTGTGATGGAGCTTACCTTGGACAGACATGAGTTGATCCAATTAATAAAGGTTTTTTTCTGAACGCGCTCCTGTTCATCTGGAAGAAAAACAAACATGCAAACAGTTATTATAAAGTTTCTTTTTTTACGTTATTTTTTTGAAATACTTATTAATTTACTATTCTCAAGTCAAGTAGCTCATAATCCAATTATTGGAACAAGTTATTATGACAAATAAACTTATAATTAATGTGATGAATCTTAAATTAGAAAATTATGAGAAAATGATCTGCTTTCGGAAAACCTCAAACGATTTATATAATTGTACACTTTGTGTCCAGTATACCGACTTATCATTAATTATAATAACATAGCTACTAAAAAATTGTTTAAGCTTGTAAGTATATGTTTGAAAGAAAACGTCAGTGATTCAAATTGATAGATAACAATGGGTGCGTTTCTATGACCGAACGTTTCAACGGGAAATGGTTGCATCATTGTTAATATTGCGGACATTTCAAGAACGTAAAAAATTAAAAGCAAATAGTGAACAAGAGACTTGAATTGTAGTATTACAGATTTTATCATAAAAAATGAACGAAAAAAGTTTCAATTATTATTTTTAATATTTAATATCAGTTAATATTGTGTTAGTTGAACTTGTAAGATTTTAAATAAAAGATGTATATCAATTTTATACGCTCAGGAAATTCCGCCAACATTAATTGGCGCTTTGAAGAAGATTGCTCCATTCAAAAATACACATGTTACTTTGAAGTACATAGCATGATGAAAACTATGAATATAGTTCGTAAAATGAAGGATGTTTGATCACCTCTTGAGATGAATTCGAAATTTAAAATTTCGATCTGCTCAGAATGAAGTAAATATTTGTTAGTGTAACTATATTAGGAAAAAATGCTAACAACCAATATAATATTTATAATTCAGTTTTTAAATGTTTATGCCTCGAGTTACTCATCGGTTCTTTAAATTTTTAAACAAACTTTCATTAAAATTCTCAGAAATGTCTGTATAGCTATGTGTGTCACCGCGATCTGGATAAGAAAATAATTATTTACAATGAATCAAATGACTCAGGTATTCATCACGTAGCTGAAAGTGTATTAATGACTTTATCAAAATCAATTTTTACAAATAATGCATAAAGAGATAATGATAAGATAGAGTAGTAAACGCAGTCAATAAATTGTATTACAAAAAAATCGTTGTTGTAAACGTATACAATTATAAATCTATTCACGAAGATAAACGTTCCTTAGCTTATTCATCCACTCTTTTATTTTAAGTGACATTGTTTTATTCATTGAATTGCAGAAGTTACATCGAACTAAATAGTTGTGATGTGTGCATTTATACAGTCAAGGTGGCTCGTACATTTACTGCAATATGAAAGTCTTAATACCATTCGGCGAGTTTTTTACTTCGCGTGTGGTTGTTATGTGTACAAGGCTTCGGTCTTGTGCTCGAACGCGAGTGAGCGAGCGACGAATCCAATTAAGAGGAAAAAAGTAACTCAAAGGGTGAAAAAAGCTTTAATATTTCGAATTAACCGTACAGAGAGCTTACTTTTATTATGTGTAAACAATATATGATTGCTCTTATGGTACAGAGCATAATTTGAATGATGTTATACTTAATTTCTATTTATTAATTTCTACTCATGCTTAAATTTGTCAGATTGAAAATTATTTTTCTTAATATCACTGCAGTCTAAATTATACACTTTCTGCTGGAAATGTTAAAAAAAATTTTTTAGATACATTTTTGACAAATTTACATTGAATTGTACTTTCTATGTGGTTTGAGATATTTTCCTTCAGGATTACAGTGTTTCCTACTAAGTTTGATAATGTTATTCTTTTATAAACACTTTTATATAAAAATGTTCAAATGAAAAGACTTTAATCTAGACAAAGCCCTTTTCATCATTTTGCTCCCCTTTTCAAGTTTTTTGAATTTCAAATTGATCCTCTTTACGATTTCACTTTAGTAACTGAAATCCAATGAGAAATATTATAGTATACCGTGTTTCGCTTCTCCATGCAATTGATTTTATAAATAAGTTTTAACCGCATTATAAGCCTCTTTATATCTACGCCTCTATGGCAAGTGGTTCATCAGAGTCAAAGTACGTATTAATATACTAGTAAAATATGAGAAATTGATGTGTTTCGCAACTATCTACGAGCCTCACCAAATGATCGAGAAAACCCACTGCTAGACGACTCCGAGTCATCGCCTGATCTAATCTCGGAACTAGCACTCATCGGCTCACATTACCACTTGACACTCGCAGAGCACAATAATCACAGCCACCTCAGCCTTCCTCGCGGGGGGCGCATAATTTGCCCATAGAAAAAGTGCGAAAAGTACGATATTTTTACTCGCAATTCGAGTGACGAGTGCAAGTGACTAAGCTAGACTAACGTATCCGAGGGCTAAAGGCACGGCCACTGCAGCGAGCTGATGTAAGGTCTCCTTTGCCTATAATCAGTCGCGAAACTCTCCGCGCCGGCTGCAGTGCGCGGCGTGCTCGTATTGGGTGTCTCTGCTTCTGGTAGCGACGCACACATAACGTATATAAGGTATATGTGTGTGTGTGTGTGTGTGTTTACGGGAGCAGTATATATTGAGGTATAGCCGCTAGTGTCGGAGCCCGATTCACATAAGCAAACAAGCCAATGATCAAGTTACCCGCGTGTGCAGCGATCGGTGGATCGCCGACTCGCACACCATAGTCTGAATCTGGTGCTTGCGTCGATAGATGGTATACGTAACCAGGATTAGCATATAGCTTCGGTCTGGGTTATCTTACACTTGAGCAACGAGCGCCGAGCAATGGATAATATGGATGGGAATGGCAGCGACTTCGCAAATTGTACAGAGACCAGCGAGTGCGGTGGATTATGAATGAATTAATGCGTTCGTACGTGTGCACGAGCGTGTACACGAAAAAATGATATTATTCTCGTATCGCTCTTATAATGCGTTACAGTTGTAGATGACATCGTTTGCAGTAGCAGAATCAAAAGTTAACGGCACCATTACCCAGCGAAAAGTTGAATAAACTGGCCACTGCAAAACGTCCGTAACGAATACGAGACGTTACGATTTTAATGTTCGCGCGCTCGGCAACGCGGCTCTTTCAGCTTCGCTCGCCTCGTTCGCCAGCGACGTGTGCGTGCGTATTAAATCTTTGGCGCTCGTTGATGCTTTAAATGCTGTTTTACGCGTTACAAGGACAATTCTCATGCGTGTAAACGTCAAGATAAAACGGGATAATGGACGATTGCTTAACGCACAATGAAAGCAGTGTTACGAGAGTAGCGTCGTTAAATCATCTTTTGACGATTGAGAAAATTAAAACTGAAAAATTGTTCGAATGTTTATGCGCGCGTAACTAAAATGTCACGAGCATTTGGAGCAGTCGCAACCTTAATCGCGAGGAAAAAATACCGTCGAGTCAAAGACTCGATTTCGATGACAAGCGGCGAGATTCACGATCGCGTGCCTTGCTTGATACCTATCCATCCCCGATCCATATTCTCCTCTAGGAAACGTTCACGAATTGTATCATACATTTATTCCGAGCTTTTACGACAAAACTTAAATAGAGAGTAAAAAATCTTTCGGCGAAATGTAAAAAGTCACGATATCGCGCGGGTATATGTTTGCTTCAAAGTTGGCGTATGAGCTTATCGTGACTAAGAAGTTGGAACGATGGCTTTCGCGTCCAGTTTCTATATTTCGTTCGGTCAATTAATCATTACTCATGCAAGCCCCCGAGACGTCATCTACACGGTGCCTGTTGAGAATTGCGAGGACGAAACTCTTTTTTGCATGACAATAAAAGAGAACGTTTTTTGTCATGTTCATAGCTCATCAGAAATTGTGAAGCGCTCGTCACTTTGTGTGTTTGGTGTACTACTTTGTTTCGTTGATTTAATATGCCCGAGTGCATGATTGTAAGTCTTCAGATTCACTTTGTAATAACATGTAAATTACAGTCGGGGAATATTTTTTTTGGAACATGCACGTGTCCAACATATAAGAGCAATTTGATTCGAGTCAGGAAAATTCAGATACCCGAACGTTTTAGAGTACTCGAGTTTTTTTGATGAACTCATCTTGATCGATTGACTTGATTATTTATAAATAGCTGGACCCAATAGATCAAAAAAAATTGATTTGCCGACTATTTACAATAAATTTATTTTGGAAAAAAGTACGATTTATTTTAAATTTTCACTCGTTTTTTCACTACGCTTACGGCACTCGTTTGACGTTTGCTCAAAAATAGAACATGCTCAGCGACATATGCGTGGAGGTTAAAGGACTCTGACTCGTGATGTATGACGTTTAGCTATAATACGCATTCTGCAATATGCTTGCAAGTTTCGAATAGCAGCTTGCGGTTGAAGACTTTTTTACACGTATACAATCGTTGCGTAATAACTGTCACAAATGCAATACTTTGAGTATTTTTTTTTTAATAAACTCATAATTATTCGATAAAGAAACAACGGAAATATTCAAGTTAATGGTTCGACATGAATGCAAAGTTGAAGCTGTTGTTGCTTCTGCAAACGAGGCACGATACTCGAGTACATGTGTGTAGCGTGGCCCGTTCAAGTTTTCATCGATCTGATTTTACCCTTGGATATTTTGATGAACTTTAGTTAGGTAACTGAAACTAATTTGTTGAATAATTCGCATTGACGGCTTTTGTATCGTGTATTCCAAGAGTTGAAGAACTTCATTTCCGTGTTAGCATTATATATTAACGGAATTTGGTTTTATCACGTGCCGAAATAACTCAGGGCTAGAAGATTATGACCTTTAACCCTGAGATGAGGTAACTCTTTTGATTGTATATATTTAATTTTATCGTGATTTTTCTTTATAGATGTTTTTAAAGTGATCGACTTTTTTATTGCATTTTTTACTAATCGGATTTTATTATATTCAAAGTGAGTGGATAATCATAAAACCTAAAATCTTGTTATTTATCTCAAAACCAATTTTATTATTAAAAAGAATATTTAATTTGAGTGTTTGATTATTTTTATAACTG